AAATAGAGATGAGATTTTTTCCTTTTATATTACCTTTGAATGCATTTTTATTTGTTTAGATTTTCAACTACTTTGCTTTTAAATGTCAATATCTGAATTTGTTGCCAAGTTCTCTCCCTGAACAGGTCCTAGGATGGAACGTATTTAAACCCTCAGGTGGACCCCTTATTCAGAGCTTCAAAGAGTGTTTAAGTTACTAACAATAGCAAATAAAACTTAGGAGTGAGAGTTTCTTCAACTTGATCACTCGGGAAATGTGATTTTTCAAATTTTATTTAGTTCTGTATAAACTTTTCAATGGCGCTGAGGCTACCTGAGCTTTTCTGTTGACATTACTTATTCAGTTCATTTGCATGCTCACATTACGCTATAGCGCTTATTGGCAGTAACCGTCTAGCAACATTTTTGTGGATACTAGCTTGAACATATAGGTCACTGCTTAGCACTACCTTCGAAGAATTTTTAGTTCAAGCTCATAGCTCAAATTTTGAAATTACTAGCTTTGAGCAGATCTGAGCTGGCACCTGGAAATCAATTGCTTTCAAATAGATTTCATTCTATCATAAAGCTTACAGTTTGAGAATATTCACAAACAGGAAGGAGGTGTTGAATTCCTGCAGGAATTTCCGCGGAAAAGGTTGAGCTCTAGCCACCACTTTTTGGCTATTGAGTTTTGAAAGCAGAAAGCTATAGCTCATTGTCTAGTTAATCTGTCTCTTTTAGCTAACTACTTGCTAGCGAGGGAAGAAAGGGACTCATCGCATAATAAATGCAGCAAAAACTCAACACCTTCTGATTGTCTTGCAATTCATTTATTCCATGCATCATCATGGCAAAATAATATGGAAGAAAAAAACAGCAATCGCATGGATGGTACATTATAAATTTTCCCTCGACAGGTATGTCTTTTAAAAATTTTTCCTTCTAACCGTTCTAATTTAGACTTGGAAAAAACTTATTCCGGAGGGCAAATTTAAAACAAATCTTTTTGTTTAGTATTTGCCAAGCTAGCATTTGTTACACTGGAGAGAGCTTTTTTTTGTATTTTTCCCCTCATTTTATCTTTTCAAAAATTTGGCAGTTTTAATCGTTTATCAGGTTGGAAAACCGAAACGCCTTCTTTCCAATCAAATCATTTTGGAGGGCAAACTGGGTTCGTGTGCCTGTCAGATGACATAGGCTTTGACTAGTAATCAATTTCACTCACTCTTACTATGGACTCTTATGATTATTATCATCTTATATTGAATGAAGGGAATAATTTATGGAAACCCTTCTTCGGAATACCTATTGTGATGCTTTTACATACAAAGATTTATTCGCGCCCCTGCGCAGCTCACAGAATTTATGTGAACTGCTTTTGTCATAAATCACAATGTAAAAAGTATTGGGATATTAATAAAATATTTTGAGAGATCATCCAACAGTTTGGAGAAGAAAGTTGACCAGTATTTATGCAGGTTATTCCTGTGTGAGGAAATGTAAGAATATAAAGATTTAACTTGGATGAGTTTGGCTGAAGCCAGCCTTAATTAACAATAATCTGAATACTAATAGAATAATGAATAACAAGAGATATTTAAAATAAGTAATTACAATAATACAAACATATGCACAAATTATTTCACAATTCCTTTTTCATTTCAGACTAATACAATAAAAGGATCTGTGCCTAAAACCGTTTTGTAAGATTGACAATTTTGGCCTGCTTTTTACTGCCGTGTCAACCATTGTCAATAGTCTCTGCACAATGGATTCCAGAAGACAACAATGCAGGTTTGAGTAATCATTTTTCTATGCCTGAAGATGCCATACAGAACTCCAACAGCACGATAAACATAACACAACTACTTGTTAGTAAATGTATGTTTCTCGGTGATGATTTTCTATACTCTTGTAAAAATTAGCTCATGCCCCAAAATGTGCTCACGAAGGTGGAGTGCCTGCAATAAAACCCGGAAAGTTATTTTAAGTACAATTGCAAAACTTTCCAAACACAGAACCAAAAAAGGAACTTTGTATTTATTATGGCACGCAATAAAACAAACCTGAACAGCACTGAGCCAATGCTGCATATCCCAGCACCCTGACCCTCCATAAACTGAAGTCCATTTCCAAACCCACAATAGCAATCCAGCCAGGAAGCCCAGCCTCTGCCATTCCAGTCGTTGATATAGGCCTTAAAGGTCGATTTAGGTTAGGTTTATACAGGCGTAAGAGGAAAGTGACATTCCAAAAATGATGGCAAGCACAAAAACAAGAGACTGGAGAACCAAGAAAAATGCAGTATAGACAGCCAATTTAGGAACCCTTTCTTCAAGGTGTCCATTGATCATTAGTGCTAAGTTGAAAGCTTGGTGAGAATAGTGAAGAAGCACAAACCAGCAAAAAATGTTTTATTGCTAGTCCAATTAAAGTGCCATTCCCAATACCTGCATTACAAGAAAATGATATATTAATTTTAATATATTTCTGGAGTCATGTCCCATTGCGAATTAAAGTATAAAATTCAGTTATAAATAATAAAATTGGTTATATTGAATTTATAAAATTGATGTGCAGGCAGTAAAAATGAATATTTTCATATTATCAAAAAAACTAAAAACATTAAAAATTCCAAAATTTATGGAATCATTGTATATGAAAATCAAGTTTAGGCTACAAACCTTGATTGATCTTCTGTTCTCAAGCTCTATGAGGAAAGCTGCAGTTCACTATTGCCTTCTTTGCTGGAGCATTTCCCATTTTCAAAGATCCATGGTTCTCTGTCCAATGTAAACAAAAATCCATTTCTCATGCAAAAGAATTGAACGTATAAAAGAAAATGGAAGTAGAACTCCACTAAACTTCGTAACCAGTGCTTGGAATTCGATTCTGGTGTGGAAGATCCATTATCCCTAATAGAAGGTTAAATTTTAACGGTGAAATCAATTTGATATCATCAAACTATTGAAAACCAAGACCAAATTACCAGATTTCTTGCCCCATAAAAAGAAACTTCAAATAAAGATTACTTAAATTCAATAAAAAGAAGCTACACTGTTCCAAATTTGTAATCATTGAAGACTTTCCTCAAGTTTGCTTATTATCAGCAGCATTTAGATGAATGAACAGCTGGAAACCAAGACAACAGCAACCAAGAACAACCGCACCCGAAAAAGTATCTCAATGCCTTATTAGAATTTTGTCATCCAAGAAATAATTCAGAGTTGTTCCTGTAGAGAGAAAATGAAAGGTGAAAAACAAAACAAACCTTATAACTACAATCAAAAAGCGAGAATGTAAAACTTGAATACTCGACCTATAACAACAGTTATGCTACAAGTAATGACTTCCACCCACAGATAAACCACAAAAGCCCCAATCGCATACTGTGTGGATAATTTCCAATGCTAAACTACTTTCCACTGCCATTGCAAACATAATTGAGGGCCAAATTTTCCCTGCATAAATTGCAGCGGTGGAAGATTCAAAAACAAAAATAACATTCCAGACGAAAATCGTTACTTTTATACGAAATTGGAAATATGTGAATATTTACTTCTATTTGAAAGTATCTTAGCATTAATCCTAGTTGAGAAAAGTCGTTTTTATAATTTTGAAAAATCACCATAAATGTTTAACATTTTAAATTACAAGTAACATCGGCATTTTTTATCTTTTAAGTGAGATGGATCTCCTAATAAAATGAAGTGAAATAGTGAGAAATTAAAGTGACACTGCATCTTGAATTACTTCACATTTTCATTAATATATATGGTTCACCTTCATCCAATTTATTTGAATTGAAATTTAGGATTTCTTAAATGTTGTTGGTCAGTTAGATGAATCCCACCATCCTTTAAGTTGGCTTTGGTAAATCCAGCAATTAAGATTTCTGCTTAATACTAATGCTTTATCAGAATGATTGACTGTGTTTTATTAAGCATTTGCAGCCATTGTCATTTGTTTGCAAAAATAACTTAAGAATAATTATATTCACTTAACCATCTATGTTCCAATTCATAGATTGTGTGAAGGCATTTATTTAAATTGAGATACAAGTATTAGGTTTATCACAATTCCTAAGTCTGGTGCTCATTTACTAATTTTCTCTATGATGATTGATAGGATTGATTTCAAATTTGTTTGAATATTTTCTGAGTCAGGTTCACTAACATCAGAGCTGGTGTTTTCTTTTTCTCTTCAATTAATTATATTTCTTGAATGCTGATGATTGAGAAGTAATCCTGAGCTACATGTTGGTATAGTCGCAGATCGAATTTGAATTTACTTGAATTGATCTTTTTAATTGATTGTAAAATTCTTTTTTGTTACTTGAATTGGAAATTTGAAAAGGTTACATATGAGATTGGTAACTTTTTCTTTACCCTTTTAACACCGTTTCATTCACAATTAGAGAGAGATGTCCAATAAGTTTTTCAATTCTTTTTAATTGTTGTATTTAAACAAAGTTAAACCGCGATTAAAACTAAAATATTTGTTCGATATTTTTTATTTATATCATTTATCTTTGACAGTTTTTGGGTATGGGGCACAGTAATTTCATTATCATGGTGTTTTAATTTACTAATTTTTTAGGTGGAATCAACTTCTTTAAATTGTTTGATCAATTTACTACAAATTCGGGTCTCTTGTTCTTCTAAATAGTTATTTGGGGTTTAGACTGTTCTCAATTTTAGTTTCTGTTAATTAAAGTATAACCGATCAAAGATTTAATTTCAGTTTGGTTATTTAATTTATATTCTAAATATTCCAGATTTTAATTTCTTGAAAAGTAATATGCTTTTAATATCTTTTATTTTTAAATAAATTTTTTTGTTTTGGATATTTCCTTTATTAAATCTTTTCAAATATTTTCTTTTAAGTAAGAACATTTAATTCTCTGTCTAGTTGCAATATACGTTTTCAAGTTATAGCTGAAGCTGTTGGTGAGTCTGGAGAATGAATTTGACCAATTAGATTGTTTGATTTAACATTGTTTAGTTACGGATTATAGCAGCCTGTGGTATAGAAGAACTATGATCAACTCCTTTCATTTTATTTAATTGGGTTATATCTGAAGTAGAAATACCTAGGTTTTTACAAAAGTTTGAAATAATCGGTTTAGGTTCAGATTCTTTATATTTTAGCATAAATAAACAGAAGGATAAAGACTAGGTTTATCATTTCATCTGTAGTTACAAGGAGGAAAGATGATCCTGTAATCCTCATACTATTGACTTCTAATTTAAATTTAATGTAACTTTACCTATCTTCAAACTGTTCAATTTTTTGTAAATTGACCATTTGGTTTAATTGGTTCTAATATAGGAGGAGTACAACCCCTTCCAAAATCCATTCATGCGGGAAGTGTATGTTCTTTTCCCATTGGAATTGGTTTTAGGTATCAACAGTGTTTGTTTTAGTTAAAATCTGTTTTTGAAGATAACGTGTTTCGCCAAATTTTAGTTGGTAACTTATATTTAGTCCCAAAAGCGGAGGTTCATTGCTTTAATAATGAATTTTATAAATCAAAGCTATAGGAATCGATCCCTTGCTTCATCTTATAATTATGGGTTTTAAATTTCTAAAAACTAACTTTCTAAAAATATTTATTCATTTAATGAGACAGTCATATCTAGATGACCTCAAAAGAGATTGTCCTTCAACTTAAGCTAGTCTCAACGCGATCCTAATAAAGAAAATCTTGAAAATTTAAAAATCTAGCATTCTCTTACTACTTGCAGAATACTAGTATTTATCCTTCTCTCTTGGTTAAAGGTTTTATACCTACTTGAATTAATCCGATTTATGAATATATTTATATTTTTTGACTTTTATATGTTGCAAAAGTTTAGAGACAAAAGAAGAGTGATCCTTTCAAAAAGGTTTACTTAATTGAAAATCCTCTTTCTTCGATTGTAATAACATAATCCAGTTGTTAAATAAATTAAATTTAGATTTTATAATTTGTCTTTATACTTTGGAATTTTCCATTCATCAATAGCTTTACTAAAATCTGTAAAATTAATTCATTTCTATTTTATTACCCTTTTTAATTTCGGAGTTATCTGAGTCTTCAGATCTATTACTACTAGCCGATTCTACATAATAAAGGATCCATTTTATAAGAGTATCATAAATATTAATGACAACTCGTCCGATTATACCTCCGGTTATACCCCTTTTACTGCCTTTCAACTCATGGGTCTTACACGGGTTCAATGAACGGGTTCAGTGGCAACAATGTCAAGACTACTATGATATATTTATAAACGAAGGCTTATTACTGTATACCGAATTAGCAGATCTAATCCTAAGGCTCTGATACCAAACAAAAGAGAAAAAGGACCGTTTAATTAATTAATTAGACTCAGAAATTAATTTGATTTTAAAATTTTATATTAATAAACATATCATACATATTAAAACCTATATAAGCATGAACTAAACAACGATATTAGGAATTCAAATCAAATCATATAGCATTTATAAATGAACAATTTAGTTCAAGTTATGTTTAAAAATTTAATTTAACACACCATTCTTACAGAACAGAAACTCACCTGAGAAAGTTTGGGTTAAGAAATTTTGGCGACTCAGGTGTGCTCTTGCCAATCTCACCAAATGAGAAAGCTATAATTACAGCAGCCAAAAGATTGGTGATAGAATAATCAAGGTAAGTGTGTTGAGGAAGACGCCATCGGTCCTTTCTAGCAGAGTTCATAATAGCGGGCCACGCTTCCTAAAGCAAAAACAGAGAAAGTAAGCATAACATCCTATGGCTTCCACCTTTGCTCTCGACCACATACATTTTAGAGAAGACTTGGTAAGTCCTCTCAGCCAAACACATATAACACGCCTGAAAAATCATGCCAGAATAAAGAAGTTCCAAATTATTGATTTTCACTAGGGGTCAATAAAATTAATTGAGCGATTTGAACAACAAGAGGGAGTCCAAAAAAGGATTAAGCAAGCAAGGAGTACTTGTTAGAAACAACACATGGGGATTGAAACAAATGTTAATAGATGGGCAAAACCATTGAATTTTTCCTAAAAGTGATACTGTTACTTGTACATGTCAGTGTTTTCTGCTTAAACGAAAAAGAAAAAGAGGCTCTTGTAGGCTCCATTTTGGTAGCTGATGAAATATGCTCAACCAGAGCAGCCTTAGTGTCAAATTAGATAAAAAGAAGATACTATGGACTATTAACTGCATATTAGACTGTTTACATTCGCATAAAGATTTTGATAGAATTTTGAAAAATTAGGCAATAATAACATATATCCCAAGAAATGAGGATCAAGATAATGATTGTTGAGGTTAGAGCCTGCGAAGCCAAAAAATATACTGAAGAAGAAATAATTACAGAATCCAAAGGCTGCACCTTCGAAAAAAAAAAAACAAAAGAAGGGAATATTGTTATAATAAAAGGACCCCCAGTTCCTCTCCATATCCAACAATGAAAGGAAAGCAGTAGATTTAGAAGCATGAGCATGAAATTAACTAAATGCCAAATCAGATGTAACTATAATAAGGGTTGACAGATTAAAAAAAAAAAAAAAAGAAGAAGAAGAAGAACGAAGAAAAAAAAAAAAAAAAAAAAAAAGAAGAAGAAGAAGAAGAAGAAAACGTACCAAACACCAAATTGAAGGAAACTACTTGGGAAATCTGTATAAACCAAAAATGTAGTAAATCATAACAATAACAGTTATCTCAAACTCAGATTCTTTGGAATATATAAGCATCATATGGAATACAAGGAAAGAGACAAACAGATTCTCATTAAAAGAAAGCAACTTTTTGACGTCTTTTCCATATTAAAAATCTGTTTAAGTGAAAGGCATTTTCTTCGGGTCTAAATTATAGATATTCAGATTTTTTAACGTTTTGCGATGGCGGTCCATGCTGGCAACTAGTTAGAGTCAAATCATTTCATTGTCTTGTCTTGCAATGTCTGCTCTTTTTTATGTCAAATTGTCAACGGTTTGCAAAATCACTGCGTTTCTTTTCTCTGTTGAAAATTTATTAATATTGTTATTATTATTTTGGATATATAGCATAGAAGGGGTAGTGATGGAAAAGAGAGAGAAATGAATGAAGAAAATGGGAATCCATAACCACATTAAGATATAGATGGGTACTACAGGTATACAGATATATAAGGTATAAAGATATACAAGGTATATTGTATATATAAGCCAATAAGCCGGTGCGTTTAAAAATATATTAGATTGAGTTAGATATGTCATCTTTATGATTTATGGGTTGGATTAGGTCATGGATTTACTAGTTAAATCTACAAACCCGACTCAACTCTTATTGCTGAGTTGAATATACATTTACCACTGGACTATTGTTGTTTAATACTAGTGTATAACCATGTTACTGAGTTGTCTAATTTTGTTGATTGTATTTCTTACTAGGAAATTTAATTTTCATGGTTGTTGCCTGTTATTATTAAAAAGTTGTTTTCAACTGTTGTTATTAGAATATATTGAAGTTTGTGAAAATTGTTGTTATTTATCTACACATACAGTTTGGACACTCCAAATCCAAAAACCCGACCCAAGTCGAACTACATTTAGCCCTACTTGCTCCTCCTCCTCCAAAATCCAATCTTTTACTATAAAGAGAAATTCAATGTTCTTTACAATTTTATAAGAATTTTGCCCTTCAATATCTAGCCATGAAACTTCTTGATAATATGAGCTCTATACAATTTCCGTGAGGAACTTCTTGTCGTTTGTCTATTTTCGACTCCCTGCGGATGCTATAAGAACTGCAACAGCTACAACAAACATGAACAACATGCTAACTAGTAATGCATGTGTTTTTCTTGATGATCTCCTGTACTCTCCAAACAAAAGTATGCCCCAAAATGTGCCAACCAGTGGAAGTGCCTGAAAATGAAATCACCACCACACATCAAATAGTGGATTATCCAAATTTTGGTGAAAGAAAATTTTGAAACAACAGAAACTACTGCTAATTATTAAAAACTTTAGGGGTGTTATAGTAATTTGTACACATTTATATATCAAAATTGTTAATGCTTGACTGAAGCTATAAATGATTTTCAGAATTCTGTCAACAACCTGATAATCTAATATATGCATATGGTAGAACCAACCTGAACAGCATCTGCAGCTGCATATCCTGCAGCTTCACCGCCCATAAATTGGAGACCATTCCCAAGCCCACATAGTAGACCAGCCAAAAAGGCCAAACCTCTGCCATTCCAGTCTTTCAGATAAGCCTTTACTGATGATCTTGGTAAGTTCAGCACAGGGCGATAAAGGAAGGTGATATTCAAAATTATGGCGAGTACAAAACAAGAAACTGAGAACCAGAAAAATGCAGTGTAGACAACCAACTTAGCTACCCCTTTCTTCAGGGTGTTGAATTGATCATTTGTTGCTAAGTTAAAAGCCGGTGAGAAAAGAGAGAAGCAAACACCGGCAGAGAAGATTATGAAAAGTCCAATGAAGGTACTCTTCCTAAATACCTGCCATAAGAGAAAGGAGTAATATCTATATATTTTACTGCTATAGATGTGCAGTCTCATTGCAAGCAAGTTAAAGGGCATTAACAAAAATTTTCAAGTTAGTCCCATTAAGTAAAATGGTGGAAGCAATAACCTTAATTGCTCTTCTATTCTCAAGCTCGACAAGGAAGTCGATTGTTCCAAATTTAATCTTCTCTGCATTTTTAATCCCATTCTCCAGAACCGTTGATTCTGTTGAATAATAAAAGAAAGCAAAGAATGGTCAATTTATGATACAAAGAAGCAAGGAAAAGGTTAAATGTATGATGGATATATAAACTCTGAAATGCTTCATACCGTTGTTTGAAAAAACATTTTTGAATATGGTAGTATCCTCAGTCCTGTCAAAATCGTAATCTTTTGAGAAAGTACAAGGAAGAATAAAAGAATACGCACAAAACAATTCATTGACCGTCACAATTTAATGGGGAAAAGTGGGGAATAAAAAAGGCATACTCTGTTCTGAGGTTGCAATCACTCGGCAAACTGTTGAGTTTTGCACTGTTATCAGCTGCATTGGATGCGTGAAGAGCCGAAGCTAGACAGACAGCAATCAGGAAGCAACCAACACCCGGAAAAAGAATCTCAGCTTTATTAATTCTGTCATCTAAGAAGTAATTCAAGGTTGTGCCTGTTGTATTCAAATAAAATTTTAGAAAAAGAAAAGGATTAGATATTCTGTCAAATGACAAGCTACAAACTAACCTATTACAACCGTCAAACTAGCAGCAATAACTTCAGTCACTGTTAAACCAACAAAAGCCAGAGCATACTGCATGCATATATTCCCAAGGCTTAGCACAATACCACCAGCCATTGCAAACATGACTGAAGGCCAATTTTCCTGCACCAATCACCATAGAAGATTCAAGATGAGAAATTTCACCATAAAGAATAAGCAAATTGGATTGGCTTCACCTACGTTCAACTTAGAAAGTTGGTTTATAAAATTTGGTGTCTCTGGTGTGCTCTTGCCCATCTCGCCAAATGTAAAAGCAAAAAATAGAGCAGCCAGGAGATTTGTGATCGAATAATCAAGATAAGTATGCTGAGGAAGACGGCCTCGTCTTTCTAGGAGAGTAAGAATAGCAGGCCATGTGCCTAAGCAGAATAAGGAAAGCAGCATACATGCAATGGCTCCTGCTTTGCTCTCTACCAGATATACTTTTAACCCACTAGAGATAATTCTCTCTATCGGTAAAGAAATCAATGTGGGTATTTCTAGAAACTCCTGCAAATCCAACAAGCAGTTTCCGTTAATGCATTTAAGGCTTCAGGAAGGCTAAATTAAGCAAAACCCATTATTTTCTTTGCAAAAAAATCTAAAATTTAAGGGAACATTCAAATTAAAACATCAAATCTTGAAAAAGTATACAAGAATACCCAACTAAAAAGAAGCAAAAAAAAACATGAACATATGAATTTTCGAGCAAAAGGATACTAAGAATGAATATTTAGAATGAGAAGATGGAAAGAAAAACTGGAAAAGAATCGAGAAAAGACAAAAAAAAAACGCAGCAAAAAGTAGGAAAAAGGATACCATATTCAGTTTCTAAGGCCCAAACAGAGAAAAAAAAAACCCAGCTTCTATTCAGATGATATACAAACGAATGAAAATGCAGTGAGAAAGAGAGACCAACTACCATAATTAAAAAAAGGATTATGTCCAATTAGCGTTGCTACATTATCGGGAAGACCCTACCCCAGACGCCAGAAAGCGACATATAACACATGACAATCAGTACAAAAGATTCTTTTACAAATAGAGATTAACGAAGCATAAAAATAAAGCAATTCAGTCTTTAAATTGATTTGCAATAAAATAAAGAAATAGTGCGATGGCAGCAAAGCACTTCTTTGATCATAAGACTTTACCTGAGAATTGATATTCGTTAGTGGAAGTGGAGGTACACTTCTTCTGTTAATGGTCAATATCTTCAAGGTAAAGCACTTTGTTTGGTCCGACAGAAAATGGAGGGAAAATAAATAAAAGAGAATAAAAATGTCAAGTATAATCTTCCCACGGTTTAGCGGGTAGATTTCTTTCTGCTCCATGGTCTTTCCTCACATTATATATTTAGTAATTATAAAAGTTACCGTTCAATTATATATTTTTGGTAAATAAACTAAAACAAGCAAAAAGATAGGAAGAGGATCCAAACTCTCAAACCCCAAGTCCACTCTTTCTATTATGGATTCACTCCACATTTGGTTTTGCATTTCCTTTCTGAAAAATTTCCTTCTCAATATCTAATCTTTTGAAAAAACTAGCCGTTGAAAATCTAACAACTAATTCGTCTCAATAGAAAATATACTCTCTACTATATTAACTCTCAATCTCTTAGTTAAAGATTTTAAAAATCTCCATTGGATTTCTTGCTCAAGAACCAAGAAGAAGAAGAAGAAGAAGAAGAAGATGCGGAAAATCTTAATTTAGTTAGATTTTGCTTAGATTAATTGTAAAGAATGACTAATTCAGGTCGCTGTGCTGCTTGCAAGCACTTAAGAAGAAGGTGCCCTTCAGATTGCATTTTCTCTCCTTATTTTCCTTCCAATAATCCTCAAAGATTCTCATGTGTTCACAAAATCTATGGTGCCAGCAATACAGCCAAAATGCTCGAGGTACTCATCCTTTTCTATTCTTGGTTATAAATTTAATTAACTATATTTAAGATTTAAAATTAAGTGTCTGTCTCTTAACTTATCAACTCGTGCATGTAACTAATTTACATAATCTTGGGTTGCTGTGCTGGATGATTCAGCAAGTCCCAAGTCACCTGCGAGATAAAGCCGCAGATTCATTATATTATGAGGCGAAATGTAGAATGGAAGACCCAGTGTATGGCTGTGTTGGAACAATCACTCTGCTATATCAACACATACACGATGCAGAAAATCAATTAGCTAAAACTCGAGCCGAAATCGCAGTCCTACTCACTACTCATCATGCACAACAATCTCAAGCTACTACGAACCACATCAGTTTGCCAACCCAAACCTTCTTTTAGCTTTATGTAGAGGGTTTCAAGCATGAATTATTATTTATTTTTATGCTCTTTCAATTTTTATGAATTAAATTTAATCTTTATTTTAAAATCAATATTACAACAATGTGATCAATAATCTCCAACGTCTCAACTCTGGTATCCATTCTGATCGTGGTCATCCGGCAGGTCGGACCAACTTGTTAGAGTAAGACCAATTTGCTAGAGTAAAAGAAGGATGCAAACAATATTCTCAATAAAAGTTAAAGATAATCTGGTTTGAATGAGGGAGAGGGAAGATTTGTATTAAGCCAAATCTGTCAAATACAGTTGCTAGCGAGTATTCTTGAAAATAAAGGGAAAACAGAATTACAACCAAAGAAGGAAAAAAAAAAAAAGACAAAGATGGTTGCAAGCAACCCAAGCTTAGACAGTTTAGATATACTGCCCAAAAGTAACAGAATGCTCAAAAGATACCCTCCCCTTTCCTGTCTGCTACCTTTGAAAAGGCAGATACAAAACTAATTCAGCTGACGCGGTAAACTTTCTTGATTCGCAATCCATATTCTTACATTCTCTTTGTTGCCCCTTCTAGAATAAACTTTAAAGGGCCTTGGGTCTGGATCTGGAATGCTATCAAGAAGCTGGTGATAAGAGAGAAGCAAGCACCGGCCAAGAAGGCTATGGAGAGCCCAATTAAAGTACTCTTCCCGAATACCTGCCACCAGAGAGTGCAGTGGTATTTATACATGTGAATGCTATAGATGTGAGGTCCCATTGCGAGAGATTAATAGAAATGCATACAATAAAATGAAAGGTCGTTAATTTAAAAAAAAATTGAAGTTATAACATGGTATGCATGGCCGAAGTTTGTGTTGTGGGGGGATTGATCTCATGATCTAGGCTTTTATAATCAATTCCACAAGTGATATTTGCCATCAAACCAGACCCATTTGAATTAAATATTTTATTTTTTAATTTCATCATCTATTGAGTTCATATACATGAGAAAATAAAGATGGAATCTACATGCTCAGAAATTTAATTTTTCTGAAAAAGAACCAACAGAACGTTAAAATGACTGTCTAGTTTGATTTTCTTAGTTTTATTTAAAAATTTATTATTTACAAAGACTGACAACTGTACTTTATATATTTTTTTTCAATTAAGAACTATATATCTGTTATTAATAAATTGATGAACATGTTCTGTTGTTTGCAAACAAAATTGCTATTGGTACAACTCAGACTGAGTCAGCAAATACAGAAGAGGAGAGTTTTAAACACAATATCCAAATATTAAATGCGAAGATAGAGAAACTAGGACGCCCAAAGATAAAAACAGAATCCATCCAACTGATACTTTAGCATGAAAATTAAACAAGATAATTCATAGTCTGAGAAACACGAGTAGACTGGTTTTTATTTTCTCGTAACGGCAACCGGTATTAATTGCATTTGGCTACAACCACCATGACGGCAAAAAATGTAGGCCATCAACACAACTAATAATTATTTCCCCCAATTTGTAATACTACTATTAAATACATCCAATAACCCTAAATCATGGACAGATTAATGATTTTAGATTCAGTTTTCTTGTAATTACAAAGAGGTGCCCTAGTGTAAGCTTTCTTAACTCTCTCTTGATCCCTCTTCCATGTTCTCATCTCTAGTAGTCTTTGAGGACACCCTATGAAGGAAATTCCCCAGCAGCCTCTGGTCAAGAACCATATTGGGTACCTGCAAAAGGGATATATCCAGTTAACTTGAGACATAGTATCTGTAAATGTTTTATGTAAGACACAGAAAGAGATTGAAACCTTCTCCCCAAAGAAAATTTTTGTATTATCAGCTATAGCATCAATAAATTTGAGTTCAAGAAATTCGGGGGTAAGCTTTAACTTGTTTGCTTCAGCTTCTTTCATCACACTGAAAAAGGAGAGAAAAATAGTTCACTTTGTAACATCTGTTTGAAATAACCACTTGAAAAAAGAAAAAGGAAGGAAAAGAAAAACAAGGGAAATTGCATTCACCGGTAATAAGCAGCATCTGCCAGGCTCTTTTCATGAGCCAGGTACATGTGATTCTCAATTTCTTGCTGCCTCCTCTCACTGTCTTTCTCCATCAATTTCTGTTCCATAAGGATCTTGCTGACATTGGCATTCTTCTCAGCCTCACTAATAGCCATCTTCTTCGTTGTCTCTGCCTCTTTCTCAACTACTTTCTGCCTTTCAATAGCGATCAAAACCTGCACAGTAATACACAACATAAAGAATCAAAGGCTGCTCATGTATATTTGCACATGCACGAATACAGGTATGCCTGCTTATAGGCGCATGCAAAATCACTCATTAAGAGTCTTGGGAAACTAAAATATAATGCCCTCCATTGCATAGAAGTTGCCTAGTTGGATGGGGTTTTGCAATATTGGGATATGGAAAGATGCTGCCAAAACTACCATATGTCGCTAGAGAGAAAGGCGCTGTCATTATTGTAAACTTGACAACTTGATCCTTCTTTACTCGAACTAAATTCCATCAAGGAAATGCAAAAGAATGAAAAAAAAAGAATTTGTTTGATCAAAATTCAAGAGTAATACAGCATACCTTAGTGCGTTCTTCTTCCATCTGCTCAAAATTCCTTCTTATGCTATCAGGAATTGCAGGCTTTGTGACACGTACACTTATGATTTCAATTCCAGGAGCATAACGTGTGCAATCACCCTGAAGAGCATCTTTCATCTTTTCATCAATCTGAAAAATTTCACATTGAACCTTTCCATCAAAATAAATAAAACAAGAGTAAAAGAAGAAATGAAAGAAGAGAATAGAAGCTTTATACAACTATATAATACAATAGAATTCATTCAAATATGACAGTTTGTAGTTAGCATGCACAAATGAGTTCTCTCCCTCACCAAATTCAACTATATATATAGATTACATTGATGGAGTCAAAAGATGGTCATGCATTCCTACTTCATAAGAAACACAATGTCAACAGCTACATGTTGCTTATCTAAAATATGTAGTAGAGAAAAGGGAAAAAATTTTATTTAATCAATGATCCAGAACAATCCCTTCCATATACAAATTTACACAGAAAAAAAAATGAAAAGAATATGCAGCATATAATTACACGCCAGTCAACAGTAACACTGTAAATTAATCTACAATCTCACAGATATACTTTGTCTAGCATTCTTTCTCACCTGGTCAAACACATCAATGTAGACTTGTTGGAGAGAATGAGAGCTGCAAAATTGATTGATTTCATGGTGAATTTTGTCATATATCCATGTGTGGTCATATTGCACCCCGTAGTTTAGCAATGTCTCATAAACATATTCCTTATGAAGCCGGTTAACAACCTGAATCATGAATTCAAACAGTTCAGGTAAATTTAAAATGTCAAGCCTTAAGCTTCTTATGACACTAATGAGAGCAATAACATATGTTCTTACCTCTATCTTCTCAAAATTAATCATGACACCCCCTTTGGTACCACATGGAATATCCCTCACCTGCACTTTAAGAAAAGAAGATGTCAATTATTGACATGGCAATACAGAGTTCTTGATCTTTCATTAAATTGAAAATAGAAGTTTACTTGATCTGTTTGAAGTGTCACTTGAACAGGCTCATAATGGGTTATCAGAGGCATTTTTAGATGAAAACCTGAAGACTAAAATGTAAGTTCATAACAATAATGCTAGCACGTCACCAACTATAGAATGCAAATCCTAAATAAAGACTGTATGAACCACATTCACACCTGGATCTGTAATTGTTTTCAGAAGGGCACCTCCTCTCCAATACACCCCAACATGACCTTCTGGGACTTGGTGCAAGATTGATAAGCTATTTTTAAAACTTGAGGATGCAGAAGGAAGCACTATCTGTAGAATCATTATAGAATATTACAAATTTCTAGAAAAGACAATCCAGCATTTAAGAAGCGAAAATATATCTAGAATGCAACTAGTCAGCCTTTCACAAACCAGAAAGAAAGCACAATTTCAATTTGAAGGGTCTCTCAAGCATGAAAACTATAAGGCCATGCAGATGCAAACATAAAGACGCCAGCCCAACTTACTATTTTATTTAGACCTAATCTCCCTATCAATGACAAAGAAGTCAACCAATGCAAATCCAATAATATATTTGGCCTCGTGATGCTCAAATTTTGTCCCCATAATAAAATAGAAAGTAGATGATTTTATATAGCATCCATAACCAAAGCAATTTATAGTAATGCCATAATGTAATTGATGTAGTTGAAGCTGCCATTGTCAGCCAATAATAAATTGGAGATTTCAGTCTTACTTGTTTATCCATGAATCAGTAGTGTAAAATCCAAAACCTGCATTCAAGTCTCTAAAGGTATAAAGGAACTAAAAACTAGAGAGGGTATATTGAAATAATAAAGTAGAAACAGCATCGAAACAGGGAAAAAAAAATTACTAATAAAATAAATTAGATCTCCATCTGTTGTACTAGGTAAAATCCAAGCAGTCCCCACCAAAATGCAGTACATCATGAAAAATTAAAACTAATATAAGAATCAAATTTGATTTTAGCCAATATTCAACGAAAGAAACGTGTCAAGGATATACAAGCAATCCCATGAACCCGTTACCACTCTCAGTACTAAAACTCAAGTCGCAGTTCCTTCAGCCTTTTTTCCATCTAAAAGAGGAAATGATTTGACAAATGATTTAAAGAAAACAGTAAGCTATCAACGTCGAATATCCAATAGCAATGGCACTAATAAATCAATAGAACAGCTAACAAACTGCACAGTAAATAAATGGAGCAAGAGACAGAGAGATTACAACTGAGATGACGGCGATGAAGAGGAGGAATACGGTGAGAATGGGAGAGAAATCGCCGTTAGGAGGCGGAGGACGAGGCTGTCGAGCTGCTTCTGGTGTTCGATGTGGATCCATGGATTGCAGAGGGTTTTATTAACTTCAAAAATGAATTAATTCTGGGTTTTGCTTGTGAATGTTTATAGAGATAAACGAAAAAGACCAAAGGAACCTATCATGTTCCTAGTGTTAACATTGCATTTTATTTTTTCCACATCGGTAAAGATTTCTATTTTTTTATTGAAAATATTAATTTAATATATAAAAATAAGAATCCTCATATTAATTTAATTCAACTATCAAACAATAAAATGTAAAATTACTCTTAAAAAAAAATAAAATTTAAAATTGAATAACACAAGATTAAAATTACCCAAAATGGACAGGTAAGATTACCCAGTCTTCGCTCGTCAGCTCAACTTTCGTGTTTCCTTATTTATATTTATAAGGGATAAGGTGGTAATTACTGTGTAATTCAATTTCTGGTGTCGTCTTCTTCAGTCCACGCTGCTGTAACGAAGAAAGGAATATATGGGGAAAAAATGTTGGACTTACTTCCACAACATGTCATTCACTTTGTGTCTGAAAGTTTCATAGAGCTTACGCTGAGATCCAATATTTTTCTTTTCATTAGAAAACCGCAATGAGTTTTGAACTAGTTGGTCCTAATGGGCCAATGGAGAAACATATTAATGTCGGCCCTGTTTTGGGGGCCCAAATCCTTTCATAGCCCAAAAAAAATCCAGCTCCAGTAAACGCGCGCCACAATTCGCGAGAGCCGAACGTATCAACAATCCGATAAGGTACTCCACTGGCTGTTGCCCACAATTCGCGAGAGCCAAACGTATCAACAACCCGATAACGTACTCCACCGGCAGTTGCGTAAGCGGGTAACTGCTTCTCACTTTCAGTTATCGCAGGGCCTTCGAGTTCGAAGGACGGAAAGAGAAATCCAGGGAATTAAGACATTTACGCGCGGGTGACGGAAGATGTCCGCTTTCGCCCTCACAGCCAGTCCTGCATTGTTAATACCCAGGAAATGCAGAACCAGAAGGCGTTTCAAAGTTTTCGCAAACACTTTCCCCTCGTTTCTGCCCAAAGAAATTAACAATATCAAAGATCCTTTTGCTAGAAAGCTCGCTGCTAGAATAGAAAGACTTCCTGTACATGCATTTCTCTTTTAATTTTATGTGCTAATGCTTTCTCTCTATTTAATAATTTAACAGTTTTTCTGCCACTTTCTCATGATTTTGGTTTGTCTGAATGCATTTTAGTATGTTATTTACTTATTAATTAAATTAGAAAATAATTTGACTTGAACATAATCTTTTTAGTGTAAAATATCGGATATTTGAACTCTAATATATGTGGTTTTCTTTTGTCTTTCCATTCATTTCCTATTTAGCGAGTTAGTTGATTGTATGCAACCGGGTATTTGATTGATCATATAGTTTATAAAATCTAAAAACCTTTGCTTGTTTTAATTGCAGAAATTGTTATGAATTTACTTTTTGGTCCGTAGATGAAATAGGTTTAACTTGAAAGTGTCTAACTATAACTTCATGGGTTTTCATTGCCAGTTTATAAGAATGCATTTGTTGTACTTCAAATGTAGATTCTTAGGGTGTTTAATCTTTATTTGATCATATGCATGGTTTTTTTGTTCTTTTCTTTCCAATGAGTTGTGAGGTTGACATGAATCTGAATCCGAAATCTAACTTTGATCTTTGGTTATTTATAATTTTGAAAACATTCTATCTGTGTATGTTTCTTTAACAATTGTATGGTTGCTGAACATGTAGGTAAGCTTCTCAGAGAGTTGTATCATGAGTAGTTGTGTGAAGCCTTTGGTACAGAGCAATATGAATCCACTGGTTCTCCTCCATGGTTTTGACAGGTCCTTATTAATGTATTCAACAGCACAGTTGATTTCACAAAAAATGAAAGAAAAAATTGATGATTATTTGTATCTGGAGTTCACTACATGTTATAATTCAGTTCATGCTTAGAATGGAGATACACATTTCCACTACTTGAGGAGGCTGGCATGGAGACCTGGGCTTTTGACATTCTTGGTTGGGGTTTCTCTGATTTAGGTTTGTTGTGCAAGCCTCAGCATGTTTTCATGCTCTTGAATAACCATCTTTTTCTTTCTCTTGCGTCAAATAATAGCCCTTTTTTTGCTATGGTTGCCAGAAAGACTTCCATCATGTGATGTTGTATCTAAGCGCAATCATTTTTATCAGGTACTTCGTATGGGTTTTCAAATGTTCTCTAATTTGAGTCTTGACAACGGGTGTAGGAGAAACTGTCTTCTCTTTTCTTACTGTATCTAAAGGAAACTCTTTAACATCGAATTTGTTTCTAGGCATATAACATAACATAGTAACATTTACATAAATGGAGCCTTCAATTCGTGAACTCTGTCATTTAGCCATAAAAATGAACCTTTTTTTTCTTTTTCTTTTGTGAATTGTGGTTGAGATGTTGGTTCAAAAGAATTAGTATTTGAACAACCTAGTTATCATTCAGTTCTTCTACAGTATCCAAGTCTGATTTTGGCTTATTTCATACTGACTGCAGTTTTGGACGTCCCACATAAGAAGGCCTATCATCTTGGTTGGACCAAGTCTCGGTGCTGCTGTTGCAATTGACTTTTCTGTCAATCATCCTGAAGCTGTAAATAGTTTCTCAGTAACCGAGCATGTGCATATGTGCCTTGCAGTCATTTGAAAGAAGGAAAATATTTCTTTCAAGGCAAGAATATAAAAGTATTGAATATGATAGCCATGAAACTGATCATTTCAAGCTATCCTTTCAGGTAGAGAAGCTGATTTTGATTGATGCAAGCGTATACACTGAAGGCACAGGAAACCTAGTAAACTTACCTAGAACATTAGCATATGCTGGGGTACATCAGATCACTCAACATATCTTGAATTCCAGACCATCTTTTCTGCATAACTTGTTTGTCCAGTCAGTTCTATTTGGGTCCATATCCTCCACTGGGTGCGGCACAATTCTGCTGCATTGCTCCAACTAAGTCTTTTAGGGCTTGTTCTTGGTCTAAGCATCCTTTAAATTGAAACTAGTGGTGGCAGATGTTATAATAGCTTTTGTTATTTGTTGGACATGAAAGATGTCATGTCACCTTAAATGACTTCTTGTCATTGGTGTCTCATGTTATGCATTTACAACTCGTGAAATCAACTCACTCAATTAATCCTTAATATCAAATTTGTTAGGATATAGCATGGAACTTTTCCCTTCAGTTTACACAATCTGGGACTATATCTTCAGAAAAATCTAGATTCACCAAATCCTTTTTCACTACCCCACACCTATGTTATCCCAAATCCATCTCTTACTTTCCTTTCTCTCAATGGTCTGTAATGCATATATCTACATTCTAAACCATCTCAATACTTTTCTACCAAATTTCATCATCTGCTATGTTAATATTGAATCTATGTTTTGGGTTTTTTTTCCACAGTACTTAGTTAAGGTTAAAATTCTCAAAATAGATAAGCCAGGAATTGCTCTGGCCTTTATCTTTCATATTTTCACCTGAGGACTGAACATTATTAGAGCCCAAATGTGTAGATCTCATAACAAAAATTAGATATTTTTGGCTTTACGAGGAGTATTAGTTGTTAAATTTAACCCTCAACTATAATCATGCAAAACTCATGTGTGCATATATTTTGCATGCTTACAAGTGCGCATAAATTCTTTCAGCACAAAAATGGTTTTACCTTATTCTTTCAAGTCCTATCTCCAAAATGTATGGACTTCCCATCCCTCCACCCAAATCCTAACAAACATGCTTTCTTCCTTGTACTCATGGTCACCACCTCCTTTTTTCTTTTCCTTCTACTACTTCTTGACATTAGTGCAGATTAATTAATATATAATTCATAAATTTTTTAATCAGGTGTATTTATTGAAGAGCGTCCCTCTCCGCTTATATGTAAATTTTCTGGCTTTCAGTGGTATATCATTGAGTACCAGCATTGACTGGATGAATGTAAGTGTTTCTTCTCATCTGCTGGATAACATGAGAGTTTCTTAACACAAATAGGACTGCCAAATGTAGCTATTCATTCATTAGTCGTTCTTGCATGTTATTTTCCAGTCCTTAATATTTTTGCAGGAGTGAAGTTAGACCTGATATATCTGTGATTATTTCTAGGTGGGCCGCGTACATTGTCTATATCCTTGGTGGGAAGATGCAACTGTTGATTTTATGCTTAGTGGTGGTTACAATGTCATTGCTCAGATAGAGAAGGTACACACAAAAATTTAGTTTGTCTTGAAGGCAGTAAATTATTTTATTTTATTCAAACCTCATCAAAGGTTAATCATTGAACGAAAGGGTGTCCATGTTGTTTATCTATGTACTATGTGCATGGCTCAGTTAGTGCTGAATTTTAATGGATGTCTCGAGGGGATATCATTCCTAGGGCTGTCTGTCACTTTTGATTTGGAAAAAAAAGTTAGAACCCTTATTTTCCTCTTCCAATGGGCCAGGATGATGTGCATGGTGTAAATAGATTAAACATCTGACTACATGTCATATGGCTACCTCCCATTCTGAGATATCAGTTGCAAATAGGAACATTAAAAACAGGAAAAGTTATAGCTCGTGGTTAGCTGTCTATGTATATATTAAACTGAACTGCTCAGCTGAAAATTTAATTCGAACTGTTTGTGTACATGACATGACAGATACATTGACTCTAGGAAAATGAGTGTTTGATGTTGTGATCATGACAGAAATCTCTTGACTCTTCTAGTTACAGGCACGCAATTGGGGGTAAAATCTGTAGTGTTTCTTGTCCAAGTGAAATTGAATGTTTAAAAATCATCTGAAGTTTTTGCAAGTGAAATTTAGAGATGGGTTGTCTTGGTTGTTCTGCCCCAAGCACTCCAAACTTCTAGACTAGAATTTTCCTTCAGTGTCGATCGAAGTGCTATGAGTTCTTGATATTTATATATTTTCTCACATGAAAATGTCCCAATTCCCATTTTTTTTTATTTCTGCAGGTCAAGAAGAAGACTCTTATAATTTGGGGTGAGGATGACCACATTATCAGTAACAAATTAGCAGTGGTCAGTACTTTCTTAATTTCTTCCTCATATAGGTGCTAGTGAAGAACTTAAAACATTGTTCCCAACATGCTATAAAATTGGAGAGGCTAGGCAATTAGCAGAATGGACCAAGCTGGTGTAAAATTGCCATCTGTTCAACAAGACTTACCATAAACTTTTGCTAAATGAATATTCTAATTGTATATCACATTTGGAAACCTGAAAAATTGTGCTTATGTGGTTCTTTAAATGGTATGGGACAGAGGTTGCACTGTGAGCTTCCAAATGCAATCCTACGTCAGATACCAGAATGCGGCCATCTGCCTCATGTGGAAAAACCCAATTCTGTTGCAAAATTGATGTTGGAATTTGTCAAAGAAGATTGCTCTACAGAAGTTCAAACTACTCAATAGTGAAGGTCTGTCTTTTATTCTGAATTGTGGCCTTGATATGTTAATGAGAATGCTGAGTTTTGAATCCAGCTATAGGTTTATGAAATTGTTGGAACTTAGGATTCTGCTAGGACTGAAATTAGCCATTTTTTTACTGTGTAGCACTGGTAAGATTCTGGCCCTTATAATGTTAGCCAAGATGAGAAATTCATTTCTGAGACGGTATTTTAATAGGATTTATGGAATAGTTGCACTTGAGATGGTAATTGGAGTTTGCTTTCTCTTCTTTCTTTCCTATATTCATATTGTCAAGTTTTACTTTGCTCCCATCTTGTTAATTTGAGAGAATTTCAATTTGATGTTAGACCAGAAAGAATTTTTTTGACAAGACTTAGATGTGTTTGGGTTATAGACTAGAATGGGAACTACTGTTTTTAAGCAGTCTGTATCTTGGTCATATTATCATTAGGGTTTACCTTAATTTTGAAAATGCTATTTGGACTGATGATGCATCCCTCTGATTTCCCACCGACCTTGATTAGCAAATTGAAAATCAAACTTCTATTTGTATCTTAACTAAAATTACAATTTAATTCTTAGATTTTCTCTCAAATACCTAATATGGGTATTTGTAAGAAATTGGTACACATCATTATTAAGATAGATATGGCCGCAATGTGCTTTCTTAGTTGATAAGTTGTTAAGCAGTCAGCATCTCCCAGCCAAATTTTTAACTGTTACTGATAATAAATTGCTGGTTGAACTTTTGTGATCCATTAGTCCATGCATTTGGTTTGTTTTGTCTTAATGATAGCTTATTTGAATCTGTAATCGAATTTAATGAAAAAAGTTCCTTTTAAATTGATTCAATAAGCTATTGTAACTTATTGAATAGAAAGTCAAAAAAAAGGTCAAACAATTGTCATTACAAATATAAATAATTGTTCTTTTTAAAAGTTTCTTTTTAATCGTTCAGCTCGATAATTTGTTAATTCAGATTCAGCTTTCAGTTCAATTAAACAATCCATGAGTACTGAGTATTGTTCTGACTTATTTTCTATATTGTGAATAGTAGGATTGCAGATTGCCTAGTGAGAAGTGATTATGAAAAATTGAAAGTTGATAAAAGCTAAGATAATTTTCCTTGAAAAACTTATTGGTGTTAGGTTAGGATTTCATTACGTGTTATTTAAGGATTCCAAGTGAATCATCTTCATAAAAAATATGATGGTGATAAATGCACCTCAAAAAGATTTGATAATGATATGTGTAAAAGGCAGGCGACCAAGGAGGCAATAGAAAGGTTAGAGGACAAGCCTAATTCGTCACTTGCAAAGGAGTAGTAATACCTCCTTATTATGGTCGAATGTCCGCATATTCTGTACCAAATTAGTAAATTACATAAACAGCTCATAATAGTAAAAACACTTATACCAAATATTTATATTCACGTCATATAATCGAATTGCAATAATAATCATCACAAGTAGAAATAACAATTAAATAAAAATTTGCACACCAGTGTATAATTTAGTGATAAGTGCATATATAAGTCACTTTCCTAAAAAAACAATTAAATAAAAATTTATCATATAAAAGAGTGAAATAAAAATTTATCACAAGAGGAATAAGTCTGATCCAATCATCATCTTTGACAAATATTGAATGGCTAAATATAGAAATTCACCCATAAACTCTACAAGGTTAACTTTTTAGCACCCTAATAAACTCTACAAATTTAATTTGTAACTTTTTAGCACCCTAAACGTTGTATACCTAAATTTGTAAAAATTTTAATAATATCATCTATCTTTAAATCATATATTTAAATTTGTAAAAATTTTAATAATGGGACACGTTTATATTTTGATAATATTATATACATCTATAATAATATAAAGGTTTCAGGGGTGTTGCAAAATTTAAGTAACAAATTTAAGATGAATTTATGTATTTAAAATTTAAAGGTGAATTTATATATTCGACGATTTTAACTTACTTATTACCGCCATTCCCATTATTCCATAAACATTCATGCTAATTAAGACAGATTTCTACAGGGAATTGAAATCACACAACCATTGGAGTCGTGTATATGACGGGTACGAATTCTCCATTAGATTAAAAAAATTACTACTACTCTCTCTAGATATACAAAAGGGGAAAAAAGAAAGAAAAAATCTGAAAAGAAGACATCAGGTTCTACCCATCACAAGTCATATCACCCACTCAATGGGGAATCAAATTCCCCAGCCTTTTTCTTTCACATAGGAGCATGCATAGAAACAAGGAAAAGAAAGAACTAGTGGGGTATTTTTGCGTCTGGATGATGATCCCCTACCGACCCAATATAAAATTACATTCCCACCCATCCCTGCATTGGCAAAATCTCATCCACACATCCATCCCCACTTGCTGCTAATCTTCTTTTCACCTTGTAATTCATCCCCACAACAAAAACATGCCTGAAAACCAGAGGCTCAAAGAAGCAGCAACCAACAAGTTATTAGTGCCTTTAATGGATGCCACCCCATTAGGATTGTCCAAGCCAGTGCCACTTCCTGTAGGACCCAGCCCTCCAAATGGAGTCACACTTGTTGTGCCTGTCCCAGTCCCTGTGCTTGTGCCTGTGCCTGTCCCAGTCCCTGTGCCTGTCCCTGTCCCTGTCCCTGTGCCTGTCCCTGTGCCGGTGCCTGTGCCTGTGCCGGTGCCTGTGCTTGGGGTTGTGGTGCCTGTGCCGGCAGTGCTGTAATAGAAGAGAGAACAAAAACCCGCAGCATTAGTCGAACCGAGTAAAAAATGAGCGAATTTCAGATATTTTAATCGGACAGTCAACAAGAATTTAAAAAGAAAAAGTATTCTCACAATCTCTTCAAAGCACTTTAATTTTTTATAGACATACAAATCAATTACACAATGTGAAATTATAAGATATGGAATCAAAACATGAGATTGTGGAAACAGATGTCAACCTGAGCTCAAGAATCATAAAAAGGAAAAATGGACAAGAAAGAGGACAAACAACTCATGAAATATCAACATCAAGACAGCTCACATCTGTAAGGAAGATACAGGCCCCTGAACTAATACAAAGATAATCAATACAAGATATTTACTTCAATTAGTGTAAGATAATAGATCTACTGTTCCTAACCACTGTCCAAAAGTACACTTGATTAAGTTAAGCTTTTAAGAAACACCGTGAATGCTATAATTATAGCTGCTACTGCTTTTGCAAGAAAACCCTCTTCAAATCTACATGGGGTTTTAATAATTTTGGCACAAGTTCGTAGAAAGCTAGATCCTTTACCTACCTTAGACCAGCTAAGCAAAACAAAACAAGCAATGGGTGAGTGAAGTAAGACACTAAGAGGGAGAAGGGAATCAGATTCATCAGTTTATAAATTCCCCATCAAAAGAAAAATTGAACTTTGTGGACTAACTACAAATTTTTCTAGAAAGAACTGAGAATCTAAGCTTTAAGCACATGGCAAGAAATTTAATTTCTCAGATGGGAAAATGATATCAAAGAGTAAAGTTGTAAACTTTTTTTTCTTCTCTTAGAAAAAAATAAAAGGAAAAGAAAAAGGTAAACCTTGAAGATGCAGGATAAACACAAGTAGAAGGAACACCTGGACAATACCAAAAAAAAAAAAAAAAAGGACACCTGGGACCAATACCAAAAAAAAAAAAAAAAAAAAGGTAAAGCCGATATTAGTACTCAAAAAGAAGATTTCTGGAGTATATTATCTAAAAAAAAAAAAAAAAAAGGTAAAGCGATATTAGTACTCAAAAGAAGATTTCTGGGTATGATTATGGTTAATCAAAGGAAAGGACCTATTACCTGAAGGGGGACTGGCACTAGTAGTAGCAGTTCCTGCAAAATCACAGCTTCCAGTTACTTGACCCTTCCTTTGGAAATAGCTGTTCACAGCGTAGCTGCAGTGGTCTTTTACGGTGTTGGGTTGGAAACAAGCACCATTTTGAAGGATCGGAGTACAGTCAGCTCCAGCACCGCAAGCATAATCTAGAGACTTTTGTAGTGCTGCGTCGCTCAATCCATCTTTACAAACACAGTAAGTAGCACCTACAACAGAAAATTGCAAAAATAAAGAAAATGAACAGTTAGTTCACGCAAAATCAATGGTTACTCCTCTTGTTCCTTTTGTAAAAGTAAAAATTTAAAAAAAAAAAAAAAAGGTCTCAACTTCATGAAAAAAAATAAAAAAATAAATGTAAATTATTCTCAGATGAAGAAGAAAAATCAAGAGGGAGAAAAAAGAAAAAAACAAGATTTATGAAAACCCATTTCAAGAAAATATATGCAGAGTTGCATAAAGCTTCTCGATCCAAGATTTAAGAGGGGAAAAAAAGAAAAAAAAAAGTAAAGGAAGAACAATAATTAATAACCCAATTTTAGCTTACTTGAATAACCAGTAAGTGCTAAGAAAAGCACTAAATACACTAGAACAGCCATGATTATGCAAGATTGAGCAGCAAAAGAAGAGAAATTAACAGCACTTTAAGAGAGTAGAACAAAAGGATGGCAAAAGAGAGAGAAAGAAGAGAGAGGGAAAAAGAGAGAGTTGGGTATGTGTTTGTGTGCGGAATGGAGACTTCTAGACAATAATATGAGTGACGGTGGGTTTGGGTAGTGGAGGCGTCTGTATCTGATATAGGTTAGACCTTTAAGTGTATCATACACTACTTTTATATATACTAAATTACAGTATTTATACTAACCATTACAGGACCAAATAATGGGGGAATGTGTTTATGGGGAAGTGGAATTAAGCTTAAGCTTTTGTCTTTGTCACAATTTCGACTGTTATTGTACCTGGTTTCACAACGGTCATTAACCCATCACTCATGTGCATGATCAGAACTTAACCACGAAATAACTCATCCTGGTTATCGTGGTTAAGGTTATGAGTGGGTCCTACAAGTAGCTTTTTGTTTCTCCTCTTCTTCTTCTTTTTTATCAGATGCTGCCACCGTGAGTTTCCACTTTCCGCTATACTTTCTTTTTTGGATCTGTCTTTGTTCGAATTACAACTTAGAAGTGTATTTTTTAATTATAATTACATAAACTGAGTTTTTTAATTAAATTAAATTACAATTTAAATATAATTTAGATGGATTATTATAATAATTTTATTTTTAACTTGTAAATATTTTATATTTCTCTTACAAAATTTTTTTAATATTATATATTACGTTTGTTAGTTTCATTCCAATATCTAATATCAACATAGTTTAACTTGATTTCAATATTAATATTATTTATTCTAATTCAATATCCATAAAAAAAATTAGTTTTATGCAGATAAAGAGTAAGATATTTGGAGTTCGAGTTTTTTCCGATATAAAAGAGTTGTTCATATTGTATAATATATGAGATTATTCTAGTTCATCCGCCTATCAAATATAAATATAAAATTAATTTTATATTTAAAAATAATATATAAATACTAATTTTTAAAAAAAAATTGTAATTGTTTTAAAAAAAATAAAGGTGAGTCAAAGACATTCCTTTATTAAAATAATGGCAAATAACATTAAACACCACAACTTTTAACATAATAACAAATGATTCCTTTCATCATCAAAAGAGGGAAAAATGAAAAAAAAAAAAAACTCACCAAACACTAACCAGCAAGGCACCGACCATATGCCACGAGCATCTAACAGTCAGTTGTTAATACTTAATAGCTTGTCCCAATTATTGAATCAGAAGGGCATGCCATTAACTATATTTTTGCTGCTAAACAAACTGTTTTTTTTTTTTTTTAAAACAGAAAAGATTAAAATAAAGTTAACACAAAAATGAGCATAAGAAATAATCATAAAGAAGCCATGGAAGGAAAGGAAACAAGGAGTTTCATAAATCTGTAATTTGATGAAATTCATGATGCAAACTTTGAAAGTCAATCCACAGAAAATTGGCTTCTCGACATATATGAGGTAAATGAAAACTACTCCTTGATAAAAAAATGACCTTGAATTTGAAGAATTAAATATCAAAAAGTCGCACGAGGAATTAAAATTTCTTGAATCATTTGAACTGCAACATGATTATTACTTCCCACCAAAAAATTATAAAAATTACAATGGAGAGCCAATTCGATATCATATACTATAAATCAGTACAAGATGAAAGTGATGTATATAAAAATAAATAAATCTTAGACTAACAATATGCATTTTAGAATTAGAGGTGAATCTCTACTTTCTAGTCTAAAAATAAAACCGTGCGAATTAATTAACTTGCTAAACAACTTCAATAGTTACTAAAATTCATAAGCTTAATTCATTTTTCATAAAAAAATGTAAATTTATTCAACTAAAATAATATTAATAATTATTGTTCTCAGTTATTTGCAATTTAATTGTTGGCGGGTAACGACTAGCATAACTAATTTATAAATTTAAGTACAAATTCTTTTTTTTTTTTGTCAATTCAATATATGAAAATTCAAAATTTTATAATATATTATCACATTCAAATCTAATGAAAATTACATGATCTGACACCTAATTTCTATAGTATCATAAAATTAACATAATATCTTAAAAAGTAAAATTATTAACGTCTAAAAAATTTCAAATCTAAGTGCTTATGATGCCAACATCCGTACACCATTTCTCAGCACCCGTGTTTTACATATGGATAAGGTAAACCCCTTCCCCAAACACATGTTTAAGTGAATTTTTCTGTTCTTTTTCCTTTTTGGTCGAATTAAAGTGAAATTTTTCTTCTTTTTCTTGTCTTTTTTCTATATGATAAAGTGAAATTTTCTGTTTCTGTTCCATACGGATCATACCCATGTCTGACTATGGAGCATGCATACTTTGACTTTTTTTTTTTTTAGATGGTTTCAAAAAAGAAGCTCCACACGTGTAGAACAGATATATAATATGGTTCTTGAAAGTTTAGGTTCCTTTCCAATATGTGGCATAGGCGAGCATTGTTTTTGTTACCTATCTATTTAATTATTATATTACACAATAATAATTTCAATATAATATATAAATAGTAAGGTCCAATTTTAAGAAAATAATATCTAAGTAATTTAAACCAAGAATCCCCAATTTGAATTAGTATATTTTTCAAAAAAAAAATTATGATAATATAAATTGAGGTTTATTTTAAAATAGAAAATCCTGATAAATGAAAATTTTAAATAATTTTAAAAATTAATGTTGATTATAATTAAAGAAGCATGCAATATTAAATTAATATAGAGTATAAATATTTTGGACAAATATAAGTTTGTTTTCATCCTAGCTAAAATTATCTAGTATAATGTTGTTATCATTTTTTTATATTGAAAAAAAAAAATAAACCAACTGTAAAATTATACTTATAAAAAAAAATAATAAGAACACTTCAAAATATTATTGTTAATACTGTATTTACTAATATGATGATTGAAGCATGAGTTAAGTTAAGGAAGATTTTTTTAATTTTTTTTTGGGGGTACAAGTGTAATTTACTCGACTAATTTATATTTTATGAAATAACCAATAAATAGGCAATTTACTTCCGCTAATTTTACAAAAATTAGTAGTCAAAATTGGTTGTTTTCAATCCAACCTAGTGTCTACGTGGCTTTATTGAAATTCAGCAGACACAACCGACATGCAGAACTTTTTTAAAAAATAAAAAAATTCAGAGCATAATTGCTTTACCTTTTGTTATTTACTATATTTAATTGGTTATTTGTTGGCTTGTTCATAAATAATTGCACAGGATTTGGCTTTTGGGTACAAAAGAACATTACCTATCATTCAAAGGTTTATACACAGCCACCTCACCACCAGCCCAACCAGCTAAATCCAATTATACATTCACCAAATAGAAAATGGATTATTAGAAAAATGAATAATTAGAGCTTCTCTCACTTACCACACAAGAATTACGATAAAATGATAAATTTAGTGTCCAAATTTTTAAAATTTTTTTAATTTGGTATATAAATGAAAAATTTTATCAATTGAGTAACTGAACATTTTAAATCATGCAATTATGTATGCATTAGTGAATTGCTAGCTAAAAAAGATGAATAAGCAATCAGCGGGGCCACTTTAGCCTAGTCACGTGCTGACATGGCATGCCATGTCGCTGTTGATTGGTTTTAAATGTGGTGACGAGGCAAATGGTGAAAATATGGTGGGATATTATAATTCTAAGCGAATATTATAGTATAGTTCCTATAGTATGCGAAATACGATTATTTTGTTTCTGTGTTTTTTAAAATATATCAATTTTTTCCTATGTTTTTTTTCTTGTTATATTATTAGGTCATTCTGTCTAATTTTTACATTTTTTTCCGTTGAGTTAACAAGAAAAACAGAGGTCAAAGTAAAGTTATTAAAATTTTAATATTAAAAAATTACAGTATGGTTCATATAATTTGAAAAATATAACTAGTCCGTCATGTATTTTTTAAGATATACCAAAAGAGATAAAATGAATATTTTTGTTATTTTATAAGGCAATTAATAGAAAAAAATATATAAAAATTGAATATAATGATTTAATAGTATAATAGAAATAAAATAAAAAAATCTATTTTAAAAATCACAATAATAGATTAATTGTATTTTTCAAACTACAAAAACTGTAGCGTATTGCAACACTGTGAACTCGGATTCTCCGATCTTAATGGCTTGTATAACATCAGGCCATGATTCTTTCAATGTCATAAAATAATATTGAGCATGTGATAATTTTTTTTCGCCTTTTTTTTTCGTCTTTATCATACAAATTTAATCTAGAAATTCGGTGCAACAATTTATCGAATCATGTGCAAAATCTCGGAGTTGGTTCGTTGGACACATACCTAATTCCATAAGCTTTTATACAATATTGTTTGGATTTGATGCTTGCTACAATACTATTTTAATAAATCTAGTCACTGGCATTAAAAAATATTGCTATGACAATAATTCTAACTTATTAATTTTATTCTTTTTTATTTGATATTTAATTTTTTATTTAACAATCAAGTGTTAGAGCATATAATTTTTTAAAATTAAATACATATGGCTAATTTTTTTTCAGAAAATTAATCTATAAATAATATAGACATAAAAACCCAACCATTTTATTTATTTATATTGTCTTATATATCTTTTTTAGAAAAATATGCGTTCGAAATTTCGAAACAATTTTCTTTTTATTCCAACAGAAAATTAATATCGATGAAATATAATTAAAAAAAAAAAGAGAAAAGTTGCGATATAAATATAGCAGAAAAAAGAGAGTAAAATAGTCTACTTTGATGTTCCAGGAGGAAATTTAACCAGATGCACCTAATTATAAATAAAAATATCAATTTATATAATTAATTGGGCAAATATAAAGTTAAAACACTAAAATATAAAAATAAACAAATTATATACACTAAATTTCAATTTACTATTATATATATATATCCCACTTGGTTCAGTTTGATTTTTACGATAATAATAACTCCTGATTAAAAAAAAAAAAAAAAAAAAAAAAAAAAAAAAAAAAAAAAAAAAAAAAAATAAAAAGAGAGAGAGAGAGAAGTTTTCCACATGTTAGACCCATCCAAAAAAAAAAAAAAAAAAAAAAAAAAAAAAGAGAGAGAGAGAGAAGTTTTCCACATGTTAGACCCATCCAACCTACGCGTATGCCTCCATAAAAACCCTTAATTTATTCAATTTCTTGTTATTAACTCGTGGTTATGAGCCATTTACAGTGGATAGATATATATGTAGGGCAGCTTTGCTGTCCGGTGAAATGTCAAATTAATTATTTTCCGTGCAAACTATAATTTTTGTGTGTCTTAGCCGCAAGACAAGAATGCCCTCATTAAGTTCCTAATAGAGTTCAGGAATGACATTACCTTTCTTAATTTTTATGATTACGGTGGTTTTAATAGTCTTAAAATGAATACTACATCCGTCTTATTTTGTTTACTTGTTTTTTTTGGATGTTTCAAAATATTTGTAAGATTTTTAAATTTAAATAATTATTTTTCCCATGATAACACATTTTGTTAAATAAGAGACTTTTATTAATGTTTTCAATGAGTTTAAGGGTAAAAAAATAGGTAAAATAGCTTTTATTGACTAAATTCATAATATGCGTATTTTGTCAAACTACGCAGACAAAATGAGATGGAAGAAATAGAATAGAATCAATATGAGTGAAAACGACTTCAATATCATAAGCAAGTGATCTTAGATTCAATTTAGGAATTTACATATTAAGAAAAATTGTATAGAAAAAAATTCGGCTGGGAAGGGTTTCCACTTAAATGTTCGATAATACCTAAAAAGGAAAAAAAAAAATCTTTACATTTTGAGCAAAGGATACTGTTGCTAATATGTAAAAAATGAAATAAAAATAGATATAACGCGTCAAATTTTAAACAATTTCTTTGACATTTATTTAAAAGTAACTTTTAGATAAAAATAAAATTTAAGAATATTAGTAAAGGTTATATTATTTTATTAAAATTTCCGTTATTTAATATAAAAATATAATAAAAAATCAAATTTCTAACAAATCAAATAAGAAAATAGAACCATATTCCATATATTAAATTTTCATCCTTGGAAACAAAACATGGCATACTCATTTTCTATATGCCAATGATAAGGGAAAGGGAAAGGGAAAGAGAAAGAAAAAGCATGACTTCATTATTAAATAAACAACAGAAATAAATAACAGCTTGTATGAATAATTTTTTGTATATATGTAATTAATTAAATAATTATGCAAAACCAATAAAAATTAGGTGGAACCAACCAAAAGAGAAGAAGAGGAGAAATTGTTTTTTGAAATTCTGCGGTTGCTTTTATATCACTTTTCTTGATCGTTCTAGAAAGTTCTTGATTGGGGTTCTGAAATTCCCAATCCTTCCAAAAAGAGAATAATTGGACCAATCAAACTAAGCTATACACATACACTTTCCTCTTTATTTACACTTCACAAAAGAGTTTAATTAAAAAATTACCAGAAAATATTATATATATGTTTTTTTTTCTTAAAAAAATTCACAATTTATTAATAAGCTATATAATATAAGTACATTAAAATGCTTTTGTAGATAAATAAAAATATAAACATAGACAATTAAATATCTTGTTCAGAAATAATATTAATATTAATGTAAGATAACAACATTTGGAGTAGTAACTAAATCAATCTAGAAAGAAATGCCATCACTTATTGATTGTATTACCATTATTAAGTGTTATTTGATAGTTAATCAATAACTAAAGTTGCTCTCACCTAACTCATCAAGAGAGATTTTTTTTTTTCTCATTATAAATCACATAATTTTAATGCAGGTGATTTGCCTTTAATCAAATGGTAAATTAATAAGCTTATAATGCATATTTTATTAGTATTATGCTTAAAAGAATATTAAAGCTTTTACAGTTTATTAGTCTTTTTTTATGACGTGTTGCACGTTGACTGTGCTCATTTTTTATACTCATTTAATTTTTTTATATAATATTAGAGTATAAATTTTTATTTAGATTGAATCATTAAACTATATTACACTTTATAGATACAATAAATATAATTTTTTTATTATATGTTAACATACTGATTCACATAGTTTTTATAATATGATAATCGCTTTCATTTTTTTTAAAGAAAAATCAAATTGATTTATATGAATCATCATATAGCTTATATTATAAGTTTTATAATTAATTTACATATTTTGTTTATAAATTTTACTATAATCTCTTGTAGTAAATAAATGTACTTTAACAATAGAATAAGAACCAATCTAATAAATTAAATTAAATATTTTTAAATATTTTATAAATAATATAAATTTTCAAATTTTTATTTTTGTAGCCATAATTAAAATCATGAAGCATTTAAAAAATTATTACTATAACAAGTTTGGTAAGTGTTACCTCATATTTCAATATTATTATTTAAAATAAACAATGTTGAAGCTAAATTATAAATTTATTAAATTATTATTAATAATTCATATAATAATATACATGAAATAAAATATAATTAGACATGATAAGATATAGTGGTAAAAAATTTTAAAATTTTAAAAATGCTTTAATATCTTATATATATATATCTATCTATTAAAAAATAAAAAAAATCCTATCAAATTATAAAAAATATTTATATATTTTTAGATTAAAATTTTTTAAAATTGGAATAAAATTAAGGTTATTTTAGGATATCAATAATTTCACAGGACAATATCGGCAACCTAAATTATTCCCGTCTTATGCCCACTTATATTATATATATATATATTAATATAATATATATATATACGTTTTTTAATAAAAAGAGATAAAAATAAAGATTTAAAGCAATTAGAGGTTTCTTTGACAATTTTATGGAAAATACCCCTATGAAAAGGAAAGGCAAAAGTTTTTAATAAAAAGATAAAAATAAGATTTAAAGCAATTAGAGGTTTTTTCTTTTGACAATTTTAATGGAATACCCTATGAAAAGGAAAGGCAAAAGTAATTTTTTTAAAAAATAAAATAGAGCAAACCCCTTTTAAGTTTAATTAATACACACAACAAATGGTCCATTAATCCAACAAAACCTGACAACGCAGAGGAATTCAGTCCTTAATCGTAGCCCACTTCAGCCCAAAATAAAAAATCCAAAACCCAGCCCATTATGTTGTTATCGAATTTGTTATTGATAAATGCCCAAAAATTTTCCGATAACATCAGGAATATCCCTTACTTTCGAAATTATTAAAAATAGGTATTTCTTTTTTTTTTTTTTTGAATGGAAAAATAGGCAAAATCTTAAAACCCTAAATCAGAGAATAGCTCAGTCAGTCACTAGTAAACTCACAGGCCTCATCAATGGCGTCTCAAATGGCGATCTTAACTCGAACCAAAACCCTAATCAAAACCCTAAATCCTATCAAATCCATCTCCACATTCACCTTCGTTTCCCAAGAACCTCAACTCGCTGCCGAGCCAACTCTGTCCGATCCTAGCCCCACCACTACCACTTCTCTCCCTCCAAACCCAGCCTCAGGCAGCCCAGTCTACCACGAGAACTGGCGCAATCCCATCTCGAACCCTAACCCGGCGCTTAGTCAGTCCCTAATCCCTTTCGGTCTCCTTCAACAAACTCCAAATGCTCGAATCCAGTCCATGTCGCGAAATCTTGATGTCAATTCTCTATTGAATGTGTTCGCGGATTGGACGACCTCTCAACGGTGGTCTGATATGAAACAACTCTTTGATTTCTGGATAAGGTCGCTTGACAAGAATGGCAAGCCTAATAAGCCTGATGTTCATCTGTATAATCATTATTTGAGAGCTAATTTGATGATGGGAGCTACTGTTGCGGATTTGCTGGATTTGGTTGCTCAGATGGAGGAGTTTGCGTTAGATCCTAATACAGCGTCTTTTAATTTGGTGCTGAAGGCCATGTATCAAGCTCGAGAGACTGAGGCTGCCGAGAAGTTGCTCGAACGGTTAGCAATTTGAGCTTTTTGATTGATCCAAAAACCAAATGTATGCATTTGTAAAATGTTTGTGTGAATTATTTGGGAGTGTATATTCTTTTTCTTGACGAAACACTTGCATTCTGGTTGAATGATTTGATTCCATTTTAGAATTGATCACTCTTATATGAATTCATGTACGTCTGCTGTGTATATTGGCTTTGTGATAAGACATTCTTCACTATTTCAGGATGGAGCTTGCAGGAAAGGAATCTCAGCCTGATGATGTGTCATATGATTTGGTTATTGGTGTATTGTTCTTGGCTGAACAATTTGATACTGCCTTGAAATATATAGATAAGACTTTAAGAAATGGTTATATGTTAACAAGCAGAGCATTTTCCGATTGTGTGAGTAGCTGTGTTAATAAAGGACGACTGGATACATTGGTGTCAGTTATTGAAAAATGCAAGGTACTTTGACTGATTGACTAAGAACTAAATCATTCTGCGTTGGGAGCATCTTTGATGAATGTATGTTTATATATAATGGCATTTTTTGATGTGACTTCTGTTGGTATTGGATTCTATCAGACAATGGATCAAAACAAAGCTCTGAGTCCAAATTGGAACATGTGCAACTTTATTGCAGAAGTTGCAATGCAAGAGGATAATAGCAAGTTGGCATATTACGCCTTGGAATTTATGGCCAGATGGACTGCCCAGGCTGAGAATGCTAGGCCTGCTGTTCTACTTTCTGTTGATGAAGGACTGGTTGTATCAGGCCTTGCAACTGCTGGCAGGACTTACAGCTCTACTCTCTTGGATGCATCATGGGCAATCCTTCGGCGTTCATTACGTGGAAAGAAGAATCCTAACCCAGAATCTTATATTGGGAAAATATACGCCTATGCATCACTGGGGAATCTGCAGAAAGCTTTTAGTACACTGCGCGAATTCGAGGCTGCTTATGAAAATTCTGACAAAGAAGCACAGGAAGAAATGTTCTCACCATTTACTTCTTTACATCCATTGGTTGTGGCTTGCTCCAAGAAGGGTTTCGAGACTTTGGACTCGGTATTTCTTTATATTTAGAAGTCAATAAACTGGATTCATATTGTTTGCAATATTTTGATTAATGATTCCAGTTTTTCAATGTCTATATATTAATGTGTGAAGATGGAGGTCAAAAGTGAATTTTTTGGGGTGCTTATTTTCTTTCTTTATAAGTAGTAAAAGGAAAAAAAAAAAAAACTATTCTACTAGATCTTTCCAAAGTGATTTAAGTTTTTCACTGATTGGTATTTAAAATAAAATTGTGCCTGTTGTGTTTAATTCTTCTTACATCAAGGCTCTCGTATGATCACATCACTGTTGCATTAAACTAATGACTCTCTGTGGCACATGCATATGATATAATTAACTCGTTTCATCTTCTAGCATTTTTCGGAAGCTGAGAAGAAGTTTGATCTTGTTATTGTTTGTAACTTAGATTATTGAGCTTCATCATACATATTTCACTTGTTAGTATTAGTATTTGTTTTTCAGTTGCTCCAATTATCAACAAATATATGGTTGTGCTTTGATTGCATGCTAGTTTGTTGGAAAAGATTTGTATTCTTGTCTGGGTGAATGTCACTATTGCTTTTGTCTTAGGCAATACATAGGACTTCATGGCCAAAGATATTCGTTAGAGACATGCTCTTCTTTGTGGCTGCATTGAAAATGCTTACAGCCAATGTAGTCCAGAACTCCTCAAAAGGAATTATCCACACCATCTGAGGATCACACTGGAAGATATGATGCTTGTGTTTTTATTTATTTGGTTCTAGGAGTTGGTTGCTTTGATTTTATTTACTTATGAAATGCCACTAATCTCCATTTTTAAATTTCTACCAGGTGTATTTTCAGCTGGAGAATTTGAGTCGTGCAGAACGTCCATACAAGTCTGTTGCTGCACTTAATTGTGTAGTTTTAGGTTGTGCGAATATATGGGACCTTGACCGTGCCTATCAAACTTTTGAGGCAATTGGCTCTTCTTTTGGGCTGACCCCTGATATTCATTCATACAATAGTCTGATGTATGCCTTTGGAAGGCTCAAGAAGGTAGAAGTTTCAGTTACTCATTTCTCTTTCTCCTATATTTTCCCCTTCTCTCTCAAAGACATCCACACATTCTCACCAAAAAAAAGAGAGAAGAGCACCATATTATTTTGTTTCCTGCATGATGTATATGGTCAGCAGTCATGTTGAACTCTTAGCACTGAGTTTTAGTAGTATAAAACTGACGTGCGGGAATCAAAGGTGGAGACAAAATGGTGCATTTTTAGAGGGCTTATCTGCTTATATACATCTGAAAGGCTTTACACAGTGAATTGTTGCACCTACACATGCATGCACACTGTAATTTTACGTGATTCACAACTCACCAACACAAGTTCGCAAAATGTGCCAAGCAGACTTTCGTGAACTTCTAGTTTGACTTGCTATTTGTTTTATACTTGAAGTTTCTTTACTTTTCTTGTAGACATTTGAGGCTGCAAGGGTGTTTGAGCATTTGGTAAGCTTAGGGATCAAGCCCAATGCAAGGTCATATTCATTGCTAGTTGATGCTCATCTCATCAACAGAGATGCAAAAGCTGCTCTCTCTGCGATTGAGGAGATGGTGAGTTAATCCTTTCTTCTACCTGTTGAGCTCATGTAGCAGTTCTGAGATTTTACAGTTAGTTTTGTTGTTTGTGCTTAGGAATTGATGTTTACTTAATGAATCTGTTCTGTTGGCCAGCTATCTGCAGGATTTGCCCCCTCTAAGGAAACTCTAAAGAAGGTCAGAAGACGGTGTGTTCGTGAGATGGACTATGACAGTGATGATCGTGTGGGTTCCTTTGCTAACCAGTTTAAAATTCGAATGGGCAGTGAGATTCGCAGGGACATGCTGTTCAATCTCGAGTACAGCGCTGATTATGCTTGATAGGTAAATTCTGATAATTGAAATTGAGCCCTACATGTAAACAGAATATAAAGAATAATTGCTTGATTGCTTAGGACCTTGTTCAAGTTGAGATGCTGCATAACGTTTTCAGTTGGGCTATCGTAGTGTTTTTGAAATGCATCTGTGGGGGCGCTTTTGCACATCTAACCCCCTCCGCCACCCCCACATAGAGGTTGGGTCTAATATTTGGATCTGGTGACAACATCAAACTGTATTGCACCAGTTAAGCTAGCTGTCGTTGTTTTTTTTTTTTTTTTTTGAAATTTGCATCTGTGGGGGCGCTTTTGCACATCTAACACCTCCTCGCCACCCACATAGAGGTTTGGGTCCTAATATTTGGATCCTGGTGACAACAATCAAACTGTAAATTGCACCAAGTTTAAGCTAGCTTGTCCGTTGTTTTTTTTTTTTTTTTTTGGGTGGTTTAACCTTTCCCTTTTCAATTTGTCATCTAAAATAGCAAATCCTGTCCATTCCCAATTCTAGAGTTATTAATTGGATGTTAATTTTATTGAGAGCAATCTCCAGAGTCTGGGGAAAACAAGTTTACTTGCACATTTGTTGTTTTTGTTATGAAGTGATCTGTCATTTTTTTTTTTTTTTTGGTGGTTAACCTTTCCCTTTTCATTTGTCATCTAAAATAGCATCCTGTCATTCCCAATTCTAGAGTTATTATTGGATGTCTAATTTTATTGAGAGCAATCTCCAGAGTCTGGGGAAAACAAGTTTACTGCCATTTTGTTTTTGTTAGAAGTGATCTGTTAGGTTGCGAAATTGTGCCCGGTCAAGGGAAACCCTGCACCAACCATGATTTGCTGATTTGTCTCATTGGACTTCTTGCAGGTTATTTCTTGTTCTTCATGGCAATCGATTTGGGCAGTTCGGATACTGCTTGAGCTCTTCATTTCAGACCAAAGTCATTCTTGTTTGTATATTACTTGGGTGTGCTCAATTTTGAGTATTGCCAGCATGGAACTTAGGATCATAGCCTCCTATAGCCAAATATTTTCTTCACATTAAAATTATTTTTGACAAAAACTGTAGGGGCAATGAAACATTGATCCAAAACATACTTTAATGGTGACAAATAAATGTAGGACAATCTTGATAATTTATTTAGGGTAGAAAGTCTGTTAGGTGAGGCCATCACTGGTATATGGCTTAGATCTGGCGACACCTTTCTCTGCGCCACTCATCTGGAATGTGTCTGCATTTTGTAAATGTTGAAATTAATTTCGGCTTGTAAGGATTTTGCTTTGGAAGTAACAGTTCTGTGGAACTGGAAATTACATATTTACCATTCTTTTTCCACTTGCATTCAGCACTCTGACAGTTTGAAGGGTGTTTATTTGCCAGCAATGGAATTTGTTTGATGGAAAAAAAAGAAAAAACAAATTAACTGAAAATTCAAAGAATAGAGAATGTTTCTGTCAAGTTGCGATTGTCATGGTTTCAGGATTAGATGAATTCTGCAAGAACTTTTAAGTTTTGCAGTATTAACTCTTCAAATTGCAGTAATTATGATACTGCAGTAAAATATCAGCATACCATTTTATTCTTTTTACAATTGTGAAAGCCTTGTCAGTTTTTAATCCAAAACTTTCTTTCCCTCTAATTTGAACATCCAATAATTGGTTTTGAAAATCCCATGCTAAGATCTCTTTTGCCTGTGTATGGTCTGAAATCCAGATTTTGTTTCCTTATGATGCAGGAATCACAGCAGCCTTCTGAAAATGACAAAAAAAGTTTATGAGCACACGACCAAGTTATCTAGCTGAAAAACAAATAAGAAAAAATAATGACTCAAATTTAGAACTCGTAGTGGTCATATAATGCTTGTACATAAATTTCCTCTTTTTTCCTTCAACTCGAAAGAAACGCTTAGAAGCATCATTTCATTTTTCAAGCCACTGTATCTTTTGCATACGGCTGCTTATAGGTTGTTTCCATTATTCATGGCAGCAAATATGATGACCCTTTATTATGCGGAATCTTTTATCTTGTGGAACATATGTAATTCATATGAAATTAGATATCAGTTCTACCATATTATATAATATGATGAATTAAATCCAAACATGGATGACAATACTGGAAACTCTGATGCTTCTTACATGACATACAGTTCTTAAAATCATTGCTGTGGAAAATTATTCGTGGAAAATAAAATCTCCATAAATTTGTTTGTGAAAGACGATCAAGAAATGGAGACAACATAAAAAGATTCAAGTGATGGCTTTAATTATCTTACCCGTTTTTGTTCTTCCATGTTAGCTTTTATGAGAGAGTAGAGGGCAACACCTGCAATGGCTATTATTGTACCAATCCCGGTTTGGGTGGAGATTCTATTACCTGCAAGTTTTACAATCATCACAAGGATATAAAAAACATGATTCTTAGAATTGTCTGAAATATGATTGAGAATGGCCTTTGGTTAAGTGGAAAGATGATGTTTAGGTAGCATGGTTTCTTCATTTTGAGAGGGATTGAGCGCATAGGTTGAAATCTATTGTTCTTCTAGCACTTTCGATCAACATTTGGATGGTAGAAAAGCTTGGATCAAGTAACAGTTTGGTAAGCCCCAAAATGGTTAAACCTCATTATAATAAGTCAGCAATATCTAGAACCACCTCAGCTAATCTAAGCCCCAGAATAATAGGAAGCACCTTTCAACATTAGGAACAAAAAACACATTATGCGAGTTAAAAAGATAGAGAACCAATAGTTACCAAATACAACAATGGAGAACCCAATGACAAAAACTCGCTTCAACACATTTCCAACTGCATGTGTAAGTGGTGCAACCCGTTCCAAGGTATTTGTGGCTACCTGAAATTTAAAACGTCAATCTTATCAAAGTATAAATTAAAGAGAACGTATACTGAAAGAACCAAAGCAAACAAGATAGTCATAATTAGCAAATACGTGCATAGTTCTGATCCAGATTTTGTCCTACCTAGGAATCAACAGAAAAAAGTGTAGACGTCAACATAATATCTTGGTAATATCAACTTCTCACTTATCAACAGTACTTTATACGCAAGGATAATCATTTAGCCGATATAACAACTTTTGAAGGTACATTACTGAACCTTAGACATAAAAAAGTTAAAAAGAAGGAAGGAATGCAAAATCTAGATGATACATAAACTAGTATAGTGGTAGACATAGAATAAGGTTCAGATTTCAGAAAATAAAGAAGTCCAGAGTGAGACATTTGGGATGCCATGTTTGTTTATTATTATTATTATTATTATTATTATTTATTTTAAAGCCATAAGGAGAGCTGAAAGTTTCATGTTTGAGGTACCTGGTTATACAGATGATAAAACATTCCAATCCAGAACAAGTCAGATACAAATTTGACTAATCCCACTTTGGCAATTGCATCTCTGAAACCATATTGCATCAATTGAGGACCCTCAATCTGGAGAAAAAGACACAGATCAACCAACAGTCAAAGGTAACAAGAAAAACAAAGCAATGGTATTGCAGTCGGTTTCTGTGATAAGCATACTTACTAGTATTGCTGGTGGGAGACAAAAAAAGAGGGCAATTATTGAAATGTAAGCATACACATTTGTGCTGTCCATGCCAGTCTGCCAAATTTTTAGTAGAAGTTAAATATTATGAGAAATCTAGTGCATCAGATATATATTCTACTGCAGGTCTACCAGTTCGATAAGCCAAATATAAATGGCTTAAAAGTCCAGGAGGCTGTGAAATCTTTATTTCCGACCTTTTAGTTTTTTAAAAATTCTACGGCATATCTGTTGGCTTTATGGTTGATTTCATTTTGTTGCATGCCTTGCAGTAGATATATACAGAGTGTTCGAACATTGGTGGAGAACAAACTTAGCGTGTTTTCAAGCCTTAAAGAAATAGCATAGGATTCCAATTTTCAATTGAACTCTTAAAAGTTCCCCTGTCTTTTAACATCTGAAAATAATAGTGAACTCGATTAAACGGCATTGGAATCACAATAACGACGAAGAAATTATAGTTAATTGATTCATCAAATTTGAGTAGAAATTTACTTTTTAGTTTATGATTTAACTCAATTTAATCTGTCTCCATAAGACGCTTTCTTTTCTTGAAAAAATAAAGGTTTCATATTATGACATGAGGACAACCAATGGTCAAAGGATCCATATCCACCTAAACATAATTATAAAATTGAAGAACGGAATAAATTGTCATACTCTTTGAATAATCTTACCATTGCCTTTTTAGAATATATACTTCTGTAGGTAAACGCAATGTTAGAAATCATTGCACTGATGAACCCAGTCCAGTTGAAGGAAAGTTCAGTCAGTGATGCCATAGATACACCTAGCAGAGAAATCAGAAAACCTCAGCCAACAGAGTACATAAGAGGATCCAATAATTTTACGAGACAAGGATTGAATAACAGGTGTAGATGCCAAATACTCGCGTATATTTCAGGTTGTGAAAAATAGGATTTATTCACTTTTCAATAAAGGACAATGAATGAAGCAGAAAGCAGAATAATATATGTTCTCTGAATTCTGAATTACCAATAACTACTGGGGCCAATGAAATCCATAGTGACAAAGGAATTTGGTGGCCGAGCACAAATTGAGAGGCAGCAGCACTGAAGAAGGGCTCTAGAGCTGTAAAAAAACAAAATAGTTTAGGATTAGAATCCATAAACAGTACAATGCTATCTCAATATATTAACCTACTGATAGAAGAATGCATGAAAAAAAAAAAACCTGAGGTTACCACCTGTAAATAATTAAAGCAAGAAGAAATAGTAAATGTTCTTAGCGCCTAAGAGAAATATAGGAAAATCTACTTCTGCTATGAAGAAAAACCCTGGCTCTTGGACATCCAAGTGTTCCAAGCACTGAGAAATGAATTGTGTGCTTATACTTGAACAACAGGCCACCAAACTTGGATGGCCATATCGTTCTGAAAAATCACATTTCAACGGTTGGTAAAATCACAATTAATTTCCAAACGATACTTTTGCATCATTCACAGAATCACATTATCAATACCTTTGATGGTGTGTGTAAAAGATACAGCAACAGCCGCAAATGATACGTTAGACATGACATGTCCAAGGGCATGACAGAATGCAACTGGAGTCAGGAGTAACAGAAGGTCCCTGTCAATTGGCTGGTTAGAGAAGAAATCATGTCATTAGTCAAACCATAATGATCCATTCGGAGAAAAGATAGCAAGTGAAGCAATTGTAACTTACTGCGCGTTTTGGTAGACCAACACCCCAAGAAACAAGACAATATACCACTCCAACTAAGAGATGTATGACCGAAACAAAACTGAAAAATAAAAACATTTCAAAGCCATGCCTTAGTGCCTATTAAACACAAAAAAAACTATATTGCAGCGCAGTATATAACACAAATTATGCACATATAAAATGAAATCCATACTATGGATGAGTAGAAAAAGCAAAATCATCTAGCAAGAACCACATACTATGGATATGGGAAGTAATTATAAACCTTCTTGTTGAGTATGTTGAAGATTACATTTAAGAAATACCTGTATAAATAAAGCACAAATCAATCAATAATAATCTTTGAAACAGATGCAAGAACACATTCAGTCTCTAAAACACTCAATGTAATGCTACTTCCTGCCGGGTTAAATTAGCATAAAAATTTCGATTAGTCGATAAATTAATTATACACAATGCATAAAGAAGAAATTAGCACAAATCAACATTATATATACTGTGGTAGATTACCACATGAAGAAGAAGAAACCAGTGACCAGTGCAGGAAATTTCTCACCAAAGCTTTTAGCAGGCTCCACGTGTCTACAGCCACAAATACAAGTGAAAAAACAGAACTACTGTATACTCTTAATAAAATAAAAATCAAAATAAGTCTGACCCCTCGGCATCAGCTGCAGCCTTAACGACCGGAAAGTCAACGGAACCTCGTCGCCTAATCGACTGACTCCAACCGGCGATTCTCAATGGCTGGCCGGAAAATTCAATTTTGAGGTGAGAATTTGGTGTCTCCAGCAACGGCGTGAGTTTATTAGTGGCGCGATGTGATCGAGCTTTGAGTGCAACATGATTAGGTGAAATTTTGTTAGGCGATAAGTAGAGTGAAGAGAATGGAGAAGAGTGAACTGACGAAATGACAGAAGCCATAGTAAGAGGAAAAGAAGTATGTTGAATATAATCAAATGAGAACAGAGCTTGAAGAGAAATGAGAATGGCGGGGACTGCAATAGGAATTTAGAACTGAGAAAAGGACAAAGTGAGACGTCAAAATCGAGGAATTAATGTTATAGAAGCGGAGATAGCAGAGAGAGATACATTAGTTTTAAGCAAGAGCACTCATCTCATCGTGTTCTTCTTCTTCTTCTTCTTCTTCGTTGAAAGTAAAGAAGCTTTGCTTTGCTCATGAACTTCAATAATAGAGTAGAAGAACAAAGGAAAAAAAAAAAAAATGTTACAAAAGAGTCTTGATTGTCTTGTCTTTTGCATCAAGATCATCAATCATGCTTCCTCTAGAAAAAATTCTCCGCTTCTGCTTTTGGCGAAAAAAACTTATTAATTACTATTATATAAATTTGTTACAAAAAAAAAAAAAAATGAAAAAAAAAATGTTAAACAAAAGATCTTGGATTGTCCTTGTCTTTTGCATCAAGATCAAATCAAATCATGCTTCCTCTAGAAAAAATTCTCCGCTTCTGCTTTTGGCGAAAAAAAACTTATTAATACTATTATATAATTTGTTACAAAAAAAAAAAAAAAATGGTGAATTCACACATGTTTAATTTTTTAATATCATCAACTGTAATTGGAAAAATCTGATTCCCTTTGTTCATATGATATGGATTTAGTGATGAATATATGCAACATCGCTGACAGATTGCAAATCCTAATTCGAATAAAAAAATTTTAATTAACAAAAAAAACAAACATTGATTAATAATAATAATTAATAATAATAATAATAATATGCCGGATGGCGCCATTAAAAAAAAAAAAAAAAATGGTGAATTCACATTGTTTCATTTTTTAATATCATCACTGTAATTGGAAATCTGATTCCCTTTGTTCATATGATATGGATTTAGTGATGAATATATCGCAACATCGCTGAAGATTGCAAATCCTAATTCGAATAAAAAAAATTTAATTAACAAAAAAAAACAACATTGATTAATAATAATAATAATAATAATAATAATAATATGCCGGATGGCGCCATACTTATGCAGGAATGGAAATAGCGCTCTGGGTGAGCAAATGGCCTAATAGTTGCGAGTCTCGTCAGCTTCAATTAGCATTTCTGTTTGTGGTCTGACGTCAATAACATTGTTTTGTTATTTTTTTTATGAGCAAAATTTTTATTTTATTATTAAAATTCAAAAAAACTTAATATAATCAAACATCCAAATTGAAAGGATCAAGCCTCCCCGTCACATTCAACTTAACTATCAGAATAGTCGGACTTCTAATTTACTAAACCTAATCACTAAACTCAATCTTACTTTATTACATGAGTCAATCGTTATGTGTTAAAATTAGAAATATAAACAAACCAAATCAGATTTAGCTCTAATAAATTCGATTTTAGCTTGATAAGAATATGTTTAAACTCGAGCTCAGCTTATTTAGAAAATATCAAGCTCGGTTTTGATTCAAGTTCGACTAATACCTATAAATAAGCCAAGTAGATTCAATTAATCTTGACTTATTAAATTAGTTAATAAATTACCTTAAAAATGAAGCTCGACTTATTTATTAAAATAACTTAATAATTCGACTTAAGTATAATTCAAATTTAACAAATTTATCAAACGAAATCAAGCGAGCTTTCATCCAGTTAAGCCTCGAGCGGCTGACAGGTGATTATCTCGATTACAGCACCGGTTAAAACTTGGAAGTCTTATGTTATTTTGGTCATTAAACACGTCAAATTTATTATAAACCCTTGTTTATTTGAGCCGATTATCCGAGAAGATAAGGCCTCCAAGTCTAATTCTGAAGTGACAATCACATTCTGACTTCTGAGCCCAAACCAGTAAAATTGGATCCGACAGGCCCAAACATTACAACATAGAAGTACACGTCTGTCGCTGTGGGATCAAATGCTGAAGTCTAAACCCCTAGGGAAAAGGAAAACAGAAAACGCTTTCTGCATTCCAATTTCAAAATTATTCAAAGAAAGTTTATCCCAATTACAGAGCAAAACAGCGAGGAAAGCCACAAAAATGGAAGTTAGTAATGGCAAGGAGAGAGAAGAGGAACAGGATGGCATGTCCGTACATTCTCCATGTAAAGCTCCTCCTTCCTCTGCTTCCTCTCTTCCTAAGGTCTCTCTTTGTCTCCTCTATCTCAGTTAAATAAATTTGTTAATTAATCATATGGAATTAAAAAATCATGGTTCTCTTTTCTTTTCTTTTTTTAATTCCTGTTTCGGTCAATTAGGAGCAATCACAGGTTGAATTGGAGCTCAGACTATTAGAAGCTCTTGAAATCTATCCTCCTGTCAAATTGAGAGGCAGGTTCCTTCAGAATCCTCTTAAAGTTTCAATTTTGTATGCATGCATTGTTTTTTATTTCGAAGTATCATTTTCTTTTGTCAATGAAATTTAGTAAAAACAAAATTTTATATCCTGTTTTTAAATTTTAAATTTGATTTAATCTGTATCTAGCAATTAGTGAACTGTATCATGTTGGTAAATTTAAGAAGAAACAAAATGGGAAACGTGGAATTGGGTGCTCACGGTGAAGCAAATCTATAGCTAGCAATTAGTGAACTGGAATTGTCAATCAGGCAATTGATATTTTTGATGTTCAATTTTTGTTCTCTAGTGAAAGAAAAGCCAGATTAAAGAACTTGCACTATGGAATTAACTATTTTTCTGTCAGTAGGAGGAGCAAAATTTCGAAGCTTGATTCCTTAGAGCTGGAATTTAGTTGGTTTAAGTTTTTGTCTTGGTTTATCAGTTGAGTTGCTAAATATATTTTCTGGAGTATCTTAATCATAGGAGTCTTTAGAATTTCAATGAGTCACCAGATGTGGCTTTTAACCCATCAGCCAATTTTTGGCTTTCCTGCATAGTTTTTGAGTGTAGAGTGTTTCATCCTTATTTCTCAGATGGGGCTATTCTAGGATTGGATCTCATTAAGGTCTGTCCAAAGAGGTCGCTAATTTCCATAATTCATTTCCATCCTGAATTTTTCAGTTTATATTACACTTCAGTGCTAACTGCCAAGGCTATTGTTTATTTTAAAAAATAATAGATAATCACCAAACAAATACTTTTCATGCAGGCATGCATCGCCACTTTGTTCTTTATGGTCTAATGGAATTTCTGCGGAGAAGGTTTTTTTGTCTCAGAAATTCTTTTATTCTCGTTCTTACCTGGTTTTGATGCAGAGACTTTCTTGATATATGTTTTCTATTACATGCTGTTAATTCTTTGATGACTTCATCACAGCTTTGATCGACACTTTTCGCCAGATGAGGTTTTGCAGTTGCTGGACCGTTTCTATAACATAGAAATGCTGGTATTCAACAATTTTCATTATATCTCCCTTTTAGATTATTTTCTTATCACTAAAGATGTATTTGTGGTTATGTGATGGATGTAGTATGCTATTGATCAAGGAACAATCACATGGACAAATGTATATTCATTATTCATATAAACATATGTGTGCTATTCCATTCAAATCTTTATCAAGTCTAGGAAGAGAGCATTTGCAAAGTTTCTCGGTATTTCTGCATGAAGTGGTCGCTTTAAAGATTTGAATATGCACCTGTAAAGGGGTTGCTTTAAGGATTCTTACAATTATGCCAAACACATAACCCCTTTTGAAACACTAAAATTACAATCTCTGGTTTTTTTATTTTTTTATTTTTTTTTATTTTGGACATTTATCTTTGCTGTCAGAGTGTATACAGTGTTTGTTGATATGGTGTGTTCTTACCGAGTTTCAGAAACCAGATGATGATGAGGCAGAAATCCTGGGTCATGAAGAAGATTTTTCCTTGCCTCAAAGTTATTTTGTTAAGGAAGAGTGATATTTCACAGTTTTGGTATGCGTTCATTTCCAACATTTACTCGGTCCTTATTGTGTCATTAGAATGCAACAGGGGACAAACTTGAGAGGAGGTAGATATTACTTATAATATAAGAGTTTTTATTCTGGTTGTAATTTTTCTCAGCTGTTGCTATCATATGACTTTACACTTTCTTATTTCGGGAAGATAAATTTGTAAATACATTTAGGAATGTTCTGCGGTGCCTACAAGTTAACTAGTTTATAAGTGCTACCACTCTATAGTGTTTGGATCATCAAGGCATAAGAACATCTAATCCTCCTATGAATTTAAAATGAAATCCATTTACTGTTGCTTTCTAGTGTGCCAAGCATTAATAATGATTCTTTTTCAATTATAAAGGACTTAATTGATATGCATATATCTATTATTCAATGTTCACAACTATTAATTTTTGGACTTTGATAACTCAACTTCTCCCAACTTGAAAATACTGTCACCAAGAACATTAAGCAAATTTACGTGCAAAGGCATGACCGGTTAAATGAACCGCTGTTTAAATTAAGTCAAATCATATATATATTTTTTTTCATCATTTTTTATAAATTATGTATGATTGTGTATTTCTGTTCACCATAAATCAAATCAATTACAATCAAATCAAGCCATATAAATTTTTTTATAAAAAATTTTAAGCTACAAATAATTTTATTTGTGCATCCGGTTCCGGTTCATTTTTAACATTCATATGAATCTTAACCGGTTTTTGAACCACCAATTTCAGTCTGATTCATTTACAGTACAGTTTGATTCCGGTTAAAAACGATCCATGGCCATGCCTCCGAGCAATTATATCAAGTACCAATTTGGTTTGAGGGTATAAAACTTTACGGCCTTTATTCATTTTTAAATTTTGATGTACAGGGGAAAAAGTGCCTATAAAAATTGGATTTTGCAAGTAAGTGTATCAGTTTTTTGGATACCCCGTTGTTAATATTAGAGCAGATACTTTTCAACAGCACTTCCCATCTTTTTACTCCATCACGTAGTTCAATCTTTTATTTATCAAAGTCTGCAACTCTGTATAAACTTTTCAACAGCAGCACAATTGAAGCCGCCACTGCCGCCGTTCAAATAACATAGTATTACTATGCAAGATTAGCTGTTATTATTGAAAAGCTCTTCACTCTGAAAAAAGTTTAGCCTAGTAAAATACAAAACCTTTTTATCCACTGAGCTGCAAATGTCTTTAATGATCAGTTCCATTCTTGGAATTCTCTAAATAGTAAGAACTAAGTTATATTTCTTCCTTTCTTCACACTCAATAACAACCTCAAAAATTCTAATCAAATGCAGAATTTCAAGGAGGACATGTCTAATTATAGCAAAAAGAAAAAAAAAAAAAAAAACCCTCAATATATAGACTCAAAAGCCTCAGCTCTTCCATCATCAAAACAGAAATCAAAATCATTTCTGAAGAATAAAGCAATATATCAATTCTTGAAAAATGGCGTTGCAAAAGGGATTCATTGTTTTTGCTCTCTGCATGATTTTGTTGAGCACAAATATGATAATGACAGCCACAGCACAGTAACCAAGAGACATTGCAGACACAGACAGCTCCACATTTTGAAAGGATGACAGCTCCACATCTGATAAGAAGAATATTGGAGCTAAGACAGGAATGGGGAAGAAATTGAAACGATGATTAAAAGCACCCCAAGTTAATTAGTGTCAGTCTTACTGGCATTAATCAATAATTAGCAAGTTTTGGGATTTTCCAATTGAGTTGGGTGGTTTATGTTTGTTTGGCTCTGGAAATGGGAATAGCGTAATGCATTTCCTGTAGAATAAGATTTGCTTCTTTTTGGTTGATGAGGTTTTTGTATTTTGAATTGTGAATTGAAATTTTTGTTGAAATAAAGAACACAATTTTGAATAGTTAGACTGTATTGTTTAGATTTCCGTTGGATCTACTCAATTCACTTACTTTTTCCAAACTCGCTGCTCAAAACGTTCCCTCTACTCACTTTCCGACTTATGCTCCGCTGCTAAACTCTATTGCCACCTCGATTTATCGCCGAGTCCTCAAAGCATAATAAAGATTCCAACTTTTCGATTTTTCTAAACAGGAACTTTACTTACTGTGACATGGTCCAAATCAGCCGAGTTGCTTCGTTCAAGAACAACTCAGAAGCTGACAATTGCCACCGTTGCATTTCCCTGGTACAGCCGAAATGCAGAGGATAATAAAAGAAAAAAAAATCTGGGAATGAGAATGGGAACGTGAACGTTAATGCAGTTTCTATATTGGGATTTTGTTGTTTATTTTTATTCGATTCAAAAGGAATTAAAAAAAAATAAAGTCAGGATAATTGCATATTGAATATACAAAAACAACTAACTATAATTAAACCTCAATCATAAATAAAGTCTTTTGTCTTCATTTAATTTCTTTTATAGCTAACTAGGCACTAATATCAAAATATTATTCAGGGCCGCCAAGCTCCGAGGAAAATTTTCAATTTCCCTTTAACATTAATAAAAAAAAATATATTTTTTATGTTGACAACCGTCTTATAGTTTATTTCCAACCTCTTCAAAGAACTATTTACATCGTAACAATTGAATATAGAATTTAATATAATATATAAGATATCTTTTGGATAATTTCAATCGAAGCAATTGAATAGTCGATTAATATTTATTTGATAAGACTGATCAATAGAAGTACTACAACACTATATCATATATTCTATATATCAGATTAAATAATTATCATATTTATGGAATATGATTCATTTTCCAGAATAATATGAGCTTTTGCAACAACTTTCCTATGTTTATCATGTATACATTAGAAATAAATAACTACAAAGATGAGTTGATAACTTCATGTAAAATGGAGCTTATACCATCTCTAGAATTGACTCACTGTCCATATATTGAAAAAGAGTTAGTAGTTATCTATTCCTGCAATTCCATGAAATTGTTAAAAGGCCAAATTTACCAAGTGTATAAATTCAAGGTAAAAGCTTAAATTTGAGTGTTGTCCACTACAGAGACACTACTTAGGCAATGATAACGAATGACATGAATAAAAACAAGTCCTTATGTCAAAATTTTATATCACAGGATTAAACCGTAAAATGAACATCTTGGAGAGAGTCTTTAACATGTATATTACTATGCAATTAAATCTCATCTTGCTGATTACAAAATTGAACTGTGAAGTTAAAATCTTGGAAAAGATCTTTAGTATAATCACTCTCTGACTCAAAAATAATTAGTCTCTCATCTAACCATTAAAAAGATAGCAAGAAACTCTTGGTAGTATAAAAACAACAACCCAAAACTAAGTGTATTGAGTTCAAAAGGCTTGAATTTCTCCCAAAGAAGCTCGTAGGCAACAACATCTAACGGCATAATGAGAAATATTTCATCATTTCATAAAAGGTTTCTACAAGGAAAAATATTTAATAGACATTAAAGCAAAGGAAAGAAAAGGAGAAATTTGTTTAGAAAAGGGGAAAAATATCAAAAAGACAAATAGAGGAACAACAAAAATGGAAGAGCAATTGATCAATCTATCGTCAGGCTTTGGTGGACTGCAAAAAGACTGTAACATCAAGGACTGTCTACTTCGTTCAAGTTGATTCAATCCCCTTTTGAGAAAAGCTAATAAAAGAAGCCACTTCTGCAAAGTACTTTACCCTCCCCTTGCCATGGGCAGGATTCTCAGTTTTCATCAATGCTGGCTCTGCAGAGAGATTAATAGACATTTAATTGCTCTGGCAAAAACTAGAAGTTCGGTTCATTGAGAGGAAATTTTGCAGTAACGTACCTCTCCTCCTTCTGCAGGTTTGGATTCTTCACTTTTAAAGTTATCCTCACCTGCATGGATGCAAATTCTTAGAGATGAAGCTAAAAGAGGTGCATTTTCTTCTTTCTTTTTTTTATTTTTTTTATTTTTTTGGTTGGGGGTTCATTAGGTTCCTGTTGGGGTTGGAACTCTAGACCTTGCAGCCTAGAGATGATTTTAGTACAACTAAACCAAAACTTTTTTTTTGTTAAAGAGGTAAATTTTTGTACCGTATTAATTAACTGAAATTTTGCCAAAGAAATTCCTAGAGATTAAGCCAAATAAGGCAAACAAACTCAAAGATTAGGTCCTTGTTGAGCTTGTACTGTACCTCCATCCTCAGGCAAGTCAGAAGTCCAAAGAGTAAGGTTGTCTCTCAACAACTGCATAATCAGTGTGCTGTCTTTGTATGATTCCTCGCTCAAGGTATCCAACTCTGCAATTGCCTCATCAAAAGCTTGTTTGGCCAAATGGCAAGCTCTGCAAAAGTCTCATCATTGTTAATAAAATAAATTATCTAGCAATTCAATTACCTTGAAGAGATTGCACCAGAGATAACATACACATGACACACCTCTCAGGAGAATTCATGATCTCATAGTAGAAAACAGAGAAGTTAAGTGCAAGACCAAGACGAATTGGGTGAGTTGAAGGCAGATCTGTGTTTGCAGTGGCAGAAGCAGCCTACAAATAAATGGCAACAGAATACTTCAATTAGGACAAGAAAATAGATGAAGCTCCATGTTAACAAAGTGTATTTATGTCAGAAGAATCAAAGGAACGTGCCTCATAACCCTTGAGTGACTGTTCAGCTGCCTCCTTCCTTTCCTGGTCAGTCTTGAACTCAGCTAGATAGCGATAGTAGTCACCTTTCCTGAATTCGTTCACGCCATGAAACGATACATTAAACAAAAATAACATTAAGGAAAAAATGTTACTCCAAAAGAAACAAATACCAAAAATTCAAAATCTTGTATGCATGTGCATAACAAATTATAAGCAAGATTAACATAATTATGTCTTAGACCATTTATTAACAGTTTAGCATTAAGATTGAAAACCTCTTTTCCGAAAAAAGAATCACCTCTTTTACATGTTATTTGGAGCAAACAGTTTAAAATTGCCTTCTTTTACAACAAAAACATGTTATATACAACTTAAGAATAGCTTCCAATGACCTATTCAACGCATTCACTATGGCATGTTTTTTCATATTAGCTCAAACAACAACGCTAAAAAGACACAAAGTGGCACATATCAAAAAGAAAGATTATTCTATCCCGTATTTGGTTACGAATTTTAGAGAAAAGAAAACGCAACCAATCATCGTATTAAGCAAAAGTATCCCTCTTTTCTTGTTAATCAAAATAAGGCGAGAAGACTGACTCACATCTTGTAGTAGAAGACAGTGGCTTCTCCGGAGGTGGAAGATGGGACCAGATGCTTGTCTATGATAGACAGAATGTCGTTGCAGATATTAGCAAGTTCCTCCTCTACCTTCTGGCGGTAACCCTTAATCAATTTAACATTATTCTCATTTCCTTTAGTCTCTTCCTTCTGTTCAATGGATGACATAATGCGCCACGAAGCTCGCCTAGCACCAATCACATTTTTATAACCCACAGACAGAAGGTTCCTCTCCTCCACAGTCAGCTCACAATCAAGTCTTGCAACTTTTTTCATGCATTCAACCATTTCTGTTTCACCATTCAAACAAACATTTCATAAAGCTACCACACACTTGAAGTGCAAGTAATGATTCAAATGAACAACATTAATATTACCAATGCAATATATAGTAAACAAAATCTAAAAATCAATGCCGCACCAAAAACTGTTTTTTTTTTTTTTTTTAACATCAGAAATTAATCAAGAGAGGCTTTTTAGGATTTTAACCTTTAACAAGTTGCATTATGAGACTTAATAAAATGAACTGAACCTTTTAAGCTTTTAAACCTAAAAATAAATAGATTTTTTGGATTGGGCATTAGAATAAGGATCAAAACATCCCTTGGTTTTCCTTAACATATACTTTGGTTCCTATTGTTTCATAATTTGCATATATAATCCTTACGTTACTTAACAGCAGCTGAAATTTAGATATTTGGAAGGATTTTAAGGTTAAGGTAAAAAATTTAAGGACTAAAGTGCAATTTAACATGAAAAATTAGGAATCAAAATGCGGTGAAAAATTCAGGAATTATGAAAAAATTAGAGCCAAAATGCATATTAAGAAAAATCTAATTATGTGAAACAAATTAAAATATAATGAAGAAAACTAATCATAAAACATAATTTATTTGATTCGACTATTCCAGCTAATAGAGGTATCTCATTTAAAACTCGACCAGTAATCTCGCCAACAAATGATCTCATTCAATTATACAAATACATTCTGATATTTGGATTAAATACCAAAACGACACCGAGGAAAACGATAAACAGCTGTATATACCTTCATAGCGCTCGGCTTGCTCAGCGAGCTTGGCCATGTAAACATGAGACTCCCTCTCCTTCTCGGTCGACATTGGATAGACTTGAGAGAGATCAGAAGCGAAGACGGTAACGCTGGTAGAATCGCCAAGTAAAAAAGGAAAAGAACTACAGAGAGAAGGATTGGAATGAGAATGGAGAGGTTGAAGAAAAGAAAGGGGAAATTGGTTAGAGAAGTGAAAAGCGAGGAAAATGGAAAGGGGTTAAATAAATATAAGGGAGTGGGTGTGAAAGATGGAGTGATTCGTGAAAGGAGGAAGACCAGATCTGGACCGTTCGTTGGGTTTCTAACTTTGAAACTTTGAAAGAGGAAAAGCGCGCATTTCGTTATTTTTGTGTTTATTTTTATTTTTCCCTCTACGATCCATTCAAATCCTTTTCTCTCGGAGGGGTCTTTTTGGATTTTACATCTCCTTTTTCCTTTTATTATAAAATATAATTTTTTTCCTTTTTTTTTTTACTAAAAAATAAATAAATATGCATTTTTTAAAAGAAAATAAAAAATATTAGGGTGTGTTTACTTACGGAAAAAATTTTTCTGTTTTAAAAAAAAACAGTTTTCTTAGAAAATAAAATTTAGAAAATAAAAAATGAAAAATGCAGATTAAAATATAAAATTATATTTTAATTTAAAAACTTCACAAATATTATTCATGACTTTCATAATTAAAATAAATTATTATAAACTAACTTTAGAAATTTTTTATTATCGATTGTTTATAACAATAATAATAATATCAATTTTTTTTATTATTTTTTAAACTTTTTAAAAATAAAGAATGTAACATATTTGTAATTTTAATTTTAATTTAAAAACTTCACAAATATTATTCATGACTTTCATAATTAAAATAATTATTATAAAACTACTTTAGAAATTTTTATTAATCGATTGTTTATAACAATATAATAATATCAATTTTTTTTATTATTTTTTAAACTTTTTTAAAAAATAAAATGTAACATATTTGTAAAATAATAAATTAATTATATATTAAAGCATAATATTAATTTTATTTTTTAATTTTTATTTTATTTAAATATTTTTATTTATTCAATAAAAATATTTTATAGAAAGTTATTTACAGATATTATAACATCAATTATGAAAATATCATTTTATAAAATGGAAAACAATTGAAAAATATACCTTTTGTTATAAAAGAAAACTGTAAAAAAAAAAAACTTAAAAGCTGTTTTCCAAAACTTAGTTAAATTTTATAAAACTGGAAAACTATTTTCTAATTTTTCAAATAGAAAACTGACTGATTTGAATATAAAATTTTATTTTCTAGTTTTTTTTGAAAACTTTTTCTAAAAAACTACTCTAGTTTTCTACAAGTAAACACACTCTTATTGTTCTAATTCCTGTCTAATGCTAAGGTTAAGGTCTTTAACCATCCTATTCAAGGGTGTAATTAGACTTTACGCATAGGAAGGAGTAAAAATATAAATAAATTGATTGAAAATTAAAATTTGGAAATTTTAGGGAGGCCATAGCTTGTCAACTATGATCTAGTTTTCCCACTGTGTCCTAAACATGTTGTATTTTTCATTGGGTAGTTTTTAAAATTAAATCAAAAAGTTTACAAATGAATAATTGATTCAATAGTGGCAAGCTCTTTAAAACCTTTGACAACCCTGTGGCATCTAGACTCCTCTTATAATTTAGGCTAAACATGCATCTTCCTAGTGTCTTAATATAATAACTGATTATAAAAGCTTAACATGCCATATACATAAAGCACATCCAAGGCATAAAGTTTTAGGGAATTTTGGATAGCATAATACTGTCTATATCGAGACTTCATCCACGAAGAGATGAGCACTATAGGCTTTTGGCCCTGTAGTGTTTGTTCATGGAGCTCTTCTTTTATGGAGAGTTAGAGACATCATCTTCTCTAGTTAGAGTATAATGCCCATAACCTAGCACATATAGAGTTTAGTCTCGACTATCAGGCTTTGGGTTAGCTAAAAATATTATGGAAAGTCTCTCCCTTGCAGGTCCTTCGCAATCTACCATCTAGCATACTAATCTCATATCACACGACTTAATACATTCATCCTTAGGCATACTGTGGTTTGGCTCTATATGTATAGCGGATGCACTCACCATGCACATATATTAATTAGTATAAAAATATTACATGTTCTCTAATATATTATTTATTGGATTAATAATTGTATTATCTCATAATTGGTCAATATCAACATAATGATATGTAGCTTAAATAAAAGAGTGCTCGCTTCGCATGTGAGAGGTACAAAGTTTGATCTTTTGCATATCCGTTGTTTTTATTTGTATGTATTTTTAAATTTAGTTGAATTTTAAATTTGTATAAACCGTCATTATTGGTTTGATTTAAACCGTCATTATTGGTTTGATTTGCATAACCCTTTCAAGCCGAACTATAAACTCATGTATATTGTATTTTCTCATCATACTCTTCATCAAATCAAAACTAATATAAAGGGATGTAGCTCAAATAGTAGAGTGCTCGCATTGCATGTGAGAGGTACAAGGTTTGATCCCTTGTATCTCTATTTTTTTTATGTATTTTTAATTTTAGTTGGATTTTAACTTTTTATAAACCGTCATTATTGGTTTGATTTGTATAAACCTTTCAAACCGAACCATGAACTCATGTATATTGTATTTTTTTGTCATACTCTTCATCAAATCAACACCAATATAAGGGAATGTAGCTCAAATGGTAGAGCACTCGCTTTGCATGCAAGTCGGTTTGATTTGCATAAGCCTTTCAAACCGAATCATGAGGTCATGTATATTGTAATTTTTCATGACACTCTTCATCAAATGAAGGCTAATATAAGGGGATGTAGCTCAAATGGTAGAGCGCTCGCTTTGCATGCGAGAGGTACAGGGTTCGATCCCCTGCATCTCCATTATTTTTATTTGTATGTATTTTTAAATTTAGTTGGATTTTAACTTTAAATTTAGTTGGATTTTAACTTTTTTTATAAACCGTCATTATTGGTTTGATTTGCATAAGCCTTTCAAACCGAATCATGAGGTCATGTATATTGTAATTTTTCATCATACTCTTCATCAAATTAACATTAATATAAGGGGATGTAGCTCAAATGGAAAAGCGCTCGCTTTGCATACGAGAGGTACAAGGTTTGATCCCCTGCATTTCTATTATTTTTATTTGAATGTATTTTTAAATTTAGTTGGATTTTAACTTTTTTTTTTTTTTTTTTATAAACCTTCATTATTGGTTTGATTTGCATAAGCCTTTGAAACCGAATCATGAGGTCATGTATATTATAATTTTTCATCACACTCTTTATCAAATCAAGGCTAATGTAAGGGGATGTAGCTCAAATGGTAGAGCGCTCGCTTTGCATGCGAGAGGTACAGGGTTCGATCCCCTGCATCTCCATTATTTTTATTTGTATGTATTTTTAAATTTTTATTTGTATGTATTTTTAAATTTAGTTGGATTTTAACTTTTTTATAAACCGTCATTATTGGTTTGATTTGCATAAGCCTTTCAAACCGAATCATGAGGTCATGTATATTGTAATTTTTCATCATACTCGTCATCAAATTAACACTAATATAAGGGGATGTAACTCAAATGGTAGAGCGCTTGCTTTGCATGCGAGAGGTACAGGGTACCGTCATTATTGGTTTGATTTGCATAAGCCTTTCAAACCGAACCATGAACTTATGTATATTGTATTTTTTGTGATACTCTCCATCAAATCAATGCCAATAAAAGGGGATGTAGCTCAAATGGTAGAGTGCTCGCTTTGCATGCAAGAGGTACAGGGTTCGATCCCCTGCATCTCCATTATTTTTATTTGTATGTACAGGGTTTGATCCCCTGCATCTCCATTATTTTTTTTTATAAACCGTCATTATTGGTTTGATTTGCATAAGCCTTTCAAACCGAACCATGAACTTATGTATATTGTATTTTTAGTCATACTCTTCATCAAATCAATGCCAATAAAAGGGGATGTAGCTCAAATGGTAGAGCGCTCGCTTTGTGTTTCTCGTCATTTTCTCCATCAAATCAAAATGTTAGTCCGACGTTCCTCGCTCCCTAAACCCATCCTTAACTCCTTTTACCACCAGCCTCGCCAACTCTTCCGTCTCTTAACTACAGCATCAATTCAGCCGCAGCCATCTCCGCCATGCCCAGTCAAGCCAGACTACCTCCTTCGAGTCTGCACCATCCTCTACCAGCAACAAAATTCTCCAGACTCCAAACTCTACTCTAAACTCTCCTCCTGCAATTTCCACTTAACCCACGAATTCTTCCTCCAAGTCTGCAACAAATTCCCATATTCTTGGCGCCCTGTCTACCGTTTCTTTCAGTACACGCGGCAAACACCTAATGCGCTTTTTGCTCACACTTCAATCTCCTTCAACAAAATGTTAGACGTCATCGGAAAATCAAGAAACATTAATCTTTTTTGGGATACAATTCAAGAAATGGCCAAAATTGGTTTGGTAAATGATAAGACATTTATAATTGCTTTGAAAACGTTGGGTTTGGCTAGAGAGTTAAAAAAATGTGTGGAATTTTTTCACTTAATGAATAGTTATGGGTATGAATATAGAGTGGAAAGGTTAAATAAGGTAGTAGAAAGCTTGTGCAAAGATAAACTTGTTGAGGAGGCAAAGTTTGTGGTTTTAAAGTTGAAGGAATGGATTAAGGCTAATGAGATTACCTATGGATGGTTGGTAATAGGATTTTGTGATATGGGTGATATGATTGAAGCTTCAAAAATATGGAATTTGATGGTCGACGAGGGTTTCGAGCCAGGCATCCATGTGTATGAGAAAATGATAGAGACATTTTTCAAGAGAAATGAGTATAATGAGGCTGTGAAGCTATTCCAAACGATGAGAGTAAAGAAAATGGATGATCTGGGCCTATCTACGTATAGGCTTGTTATAGATTGGATGTGTAAAAGAGGCAAGATTTCGCAAGCGAAGATGATGTTCGACGAAATGTCTAAGAGAGGGATTGAAGCTGATAATTTGACATTAGGGTCATTAATTTATGGGCTATTAGCAAGAGGGAGAGTCAATGAAGCTTATAAAGTTGTGGAAACGATTGAAAAGCCTGACATTAGTGTTTATCATGGAATGATTAAGGGATTATTAAGGTTGAGAAAAGCAAGTGAAGCTACGCAAGTGTTTAGAGAGATGATTAAAAGAGGGTGTGAACCTACAATGCATACCTATGTAATGCTATTGCAAGGGCATTTGGGAAAGAGAGGGAGGAAGGGAAAAGATCCACTTGTGAATTTTGATACAATTTTTGTTGGAGGTTTGGTTAAGGCTGGAAAGTCACTAGAAGCTACCCAGTATGTAGAGAGAACAATCAATGGAGGTCTTGAGGTGCCTAGGTTTGATTATAATAAGTTCTTGCATTATTATTCAAGTGAGGAAGGTGGTGTTATATTTGAAGAGATGGGAAAAAAATTGAGAGAGGCAGGGTTGGTTGATTTGGCGGATATATTGGAGAGATATGGTGAGAAAATGACTACTAGAGAGAGGAGGAGAAATAGAGCAGTTGAGCCATGAAAATGAATGTTTTTGCTTGTATATATTAAATAACATATGGTCTGTTGATACGTTAAAAATTTTTTTTTTTTTTAAAAAAAAAAAAAAAAAAGGAACCAATTTGGCTATCCCAGCTTCATGTGCCTTTTATCCTTTCTTATTATTATTATTATTTTTACATGAAAATAATGAAAAAAGAACATATAAACGAAATAGGATTCAACTTCTGTAGATGCGAATGAAGAGCAATGAAGAAAATATTGATTTCAAGACCACATAATTGAGTTCAATCTACAATTTTTGACCTTCCATTTCCACTCTTTATAAACATATTCACTAGAAAGCTTTCGACATAATCTTCTCAACGGTTCAGCTGACAATAAAATTTGACAAAAACCCCTTTCTGCTCCTACAAAAAATAAGACCCAAATCCAGCTCGAGAGACAATATAATGTATAACTATAATTCCGTGGACTATCAGTACACCCTCGACAGCAACTATATTAAAAAAGGAAAAAAAAAAAAAACACTCAAAGAATTAAAAAAAAAATGATGAATTAATTACTATAAATGCCTTGACAAAAAATTGCATGCTTTCCAGCTATTTCAGCCAGCCTCGTTTCTACTCTACAGCTTTGCTTCCCTTGGGTTTTTGCGGTCAGAGTCACGGTGTTGCTATCAGAACGATTCATGCCCTGGGAATAACAAGAACATCAAAGTCACTGTGAAGCATAAGTCTTTTATCATGAAAAACATAGCACACAAGCTTGTGTACTGAACTTATAGCACTTGCAAATACAGGTTTTGCTTGCAGAAACGGGGGTCTCAAGTCATTCAATAGAACAACTTCAGTTCATGTAAAACTACAGCCTTGTTGCCATGTGGCATATATTCAAGGCTTTGGTTCACATATGCAACTAATGCAAGAAATGCTGCTAGAACTGCTTTACAAGAGCATCTTGAATCAAGGAAAGCATCCAACTTCTCTGAAACTCTGATTCATGTGGACATAAACAGAGCTAGGACATGTAATGGAATATGTGACTTCTTTATCAAAATGATTGATGAGCTTATATGACAGCATCAATAACACATTCTTGCCAACAGGTTATAATTTAATGGTTTTCCAGACAGATAGATAGGAGTTACCCGAGCTAAAAAGACTTCACACTTCCATGTTGGTGAGACCCTCCTGATGCTAGACCAATCATTTTTTCAGAAATGGCTTCTGGCAAACTAGTAGCCGCTGGTCACTTCCATTCTGTAAGTCGATCACCCTTGCTTCCCAGTGTATTTGTGTAGCAAGCGCCCGTGCCATCTCAATAGCTCCTAATTTATCAGAAAGAACAACCCATCCCTGCCAAACGAACTAGATGCATAAATTTGCTGCATAAAAAGTAACTTCCTGAAAAGGATAAGGCGCCCAGCATTGCTACACATCAAATATGAGATGAATGCCATTCTGTTGTCTTAAATGTTAAAAAAGAAAAAAAATTCTGGTTTCTTAGTTCTTGATCAATTTTGAAACATACAACTCCCTCCCTCATAGTTTGGTCAACTTAGTGCTCTTGATCTTCATATTTCCTACTCAGGCCTAAAGATGGGGCCTATATATAGCATACATTAGGTTCTAATTTGCGGAAGTGAGAAAGATAAATGATAATGAAAGTGTCAAGGTAACTAATAATAAATATTGCAAATATAACGGAACATAAACTAGATAAACTCATGAGAGGCATTGTCTATGAAAAGTAGAAAGTGAGAAACCTTGTGGGACACTACATAAATCACTGAATGATAGCCAATGAAGATATATAGGGGCTAATCTAAAAAGAAGAAACACCAGGAATACAGTGAAAAGTACCTCAGGGCGCAGAATCCTATCCATCTCTAACAGCAAGTCCATCATGCTGCATCTCTCTGAACTGAGATGTGAGAGAAGCCCATTTGCATGAAGCATGTCATATGTTCGGGGATATGTGGGAAATGGCTCACACCTTGCACCAACAGATAAATTAATTTTGTTTCAGTAAATCTATTTCCTAGAACTGGATAAAATAGCACCAGCAAAATTTCGAGAAAGGAATATGACATCTTGGGATGGAGCTAATGAAAAAAAAAAAAAAGAAAGCTTAAATTTCCTAAAATTTATGTACATGAAATTTGATTTGGAAAATCCAAAATAGAGAAGTTGGAAGTTCAAAGAGTCTTTTTATCTTTTGGAAGTAAAGTACTACAGTCTATCAGCAAAGTAAACCACGTCTCTGTTTTATGAACCCTAAAAAGTTGCATACAGCAATCCAGCTCATGATTGACACATCAATCTTTCTTGAAATCTTATTTTTAGAAGTACAAATGATGGTATTACTTGATCTATTCTAAACAATTTAATAAAAGTTGATATCAAAAGGACTGAATATTTTTGAGACACAATCTTTAATTTTTAAAACTTTCTAGGTCATCTTGAATGAGTCAAATTGATAAGTTAAAAAAATAAATAAATAATTATCCAAAATGATAACAAGTCATGCAGATTATCACAAAGGTGACAACATATTTTTCAAGAGCGAATAAGGTTTATGCTCATCAGCTTGCAGTTTTCTTTTTCACAATGGAAACAACATACCAATCATGCAAAACACCAGCAAAACCTCGGTCAAGTATGAGAGGAAGCGTGTTACGTGCCCAAACAGGAACGACATTCATCACCCACACTGATTTCTTTTCCTCCAGAAATGCAGCATTTAAACCCCCATAATGAGCATTCATGTCCATCACGTTGCGTATCATATTATATGGAGGTAATGGATCTTCATCCCCTGGCCTCTTAGGATGGTCAGAGAAAATTAAGGGCGTAAGCAAAGACCAGTAGTTTCTTAGAGCTGATCCCCAAACCTGCAAGTCTTCAAAAAAATCTTCAGGCTGAACTCCTGCAAGGCTAAAAATGAGTCAGCAAAATAGGACAGCTAAATAATGTGGTTAAAAAAACTTAAGAACATCATATAAATGTTGTATGGGCCTTTGCTTGGCAGAATAGTTAAAAAGTCTTGGGCTGCAAAACACAAGCCTGAAGGTTCAAGTCTGGAGAACAGCCACTTGCAGCAAAATGCTGAAGAATATAACCATCTCTAATTATTTATCCCATGTAAAATTGGTATGGACAATATCTAGGTAAATTATTATCTTAATCTTTTAAAATGTCATGATGAAATAAAAAGAGGTTACATCAAAAAATAAAACAAAAAAAAAAAAAGATAAAAAAAAGATAAAAGGTAAGAAATAAGTTTGTTTTGAAACAATACTTTCCATGAACTTGAAGCTCAGCTGAGCTCAACTGGAAACCTGAGGATTTTTTCTGAATGGGAATCCAACGTTTGCTAGTGGTCCCAGAAATACACGCTGCAAGGGGTTGATAATATGGTGGAATATCATGTCCATCATTGCAAAGTGGTGGAGTATCCTGCTTACTATAGTAAAGAAGGGGAAGAGAGAGAGAGCATTAGTATGTTTTTGACTGTAGAGTTACTTAGTAAAGGAAAGAAGGAAAAGAAAAAAGAAGAAAAAGAAGATGCAATAGGTTCAATTGTTCTTTCATAAGTATAAAACTCGCCCAATAATGTATCATCGTTAACATCCTCACCGAGATTTGTAGCAGTGGACATCCACAGTTTTCTGCCAGATGAAAGTCTCATCCTGCTGAGCTAAAAGACTCCAACATATTTTTACCGTTAATTCTTCTATCACAGCCACTGTGCTTCTCCTCCTCGCGTTCAACGAGTTCCCTTGTGGCTTGCTCATTGGCGAGGTTAAAACAAAGTAACCTCCAGGCTTGAGAACCCGATCAACTTCAATAAGGAACATACCATCTGTTATATCAAAGTCAATATTAGAAAGCAAAAGAATGTGATTTCAGTAAACAAAATCTTATACCTTAGTTTTAACAAATTCTTTCCAAAAAAGAAAAGAATATTGGGAAATGTCTGCATAATGCCAAATAATGACATAGAAAAATATTCATAAATATTTTTGCACACACTTTCTGAATTATAAACTCCACAATTCAATTGGTTCAGATGCACTAAAGTTGAGTGAACCTTTTTGATTTAAAGTTTTATCATTCACTAATTACATTTGCACAAAAAAGAACTTCCAAAGGAAACATACAAATGTAAGAAGACAAGGATTAATACTGACGACAATTCTTCCTGCCATTTCAAGAATATTGAATTTTATCAATTTATCAGAACAAGCATTATTTCATTGCAGCAAATAAAAATGTTTCAGAGAAGCTGTTCAATATATTTACTTATAGCAGTTTCTTTCAGTGAAATAAGAAAGTTTATTTTCCTGACATTTCATCCATCAGCATGTGTCTAGAAGTAACTAGAAGATAACCAATAACTCTCAAAATCTAAAACTGACTTTAAGATTAAGAAGTATAAATGAATATCAAGCAGCATCTGATGTGTGTCAGAAATTCTATTTGTTATGGCCTCACTGAGATAATGAGGTTTTCATGATCCCAGCACCAGACATGTTACGCAAGTCACACTTCCTCTAAAAGGGATTATAACTGTCAGCTGGAAGTTTCTAGTTGAATCTATCCAAAAAGCATGCTCCCAAACCATGACATAAATTTATAATTTTGTCCATTTGTAGCACCATTTCTTTCCAGATGGAATAGATTAAATTCATTTTTCTAAATAATGTTTACATAACAGTCACTTTTCTACACAATTGTAATGAGTCTGTGGGTCTCATATTGGGTCAGGTGGGTACCTCAACAAGAGGCATGAGGCTCAGGTTAGCCGTCGCCTACTTGATAACAATAAAATGAGTCTTTTTCACAAGTTACTAAGTAATGTGCATCAGTAGTCTAGAGGGAAATCCTCTATATACTTTCCTAACCATAGTACACACCAACATATAATGAGTTAGTTAAATGAGAAGAAAACTGGAAAAAGGTTCACACGAGGTTAACAGTGCAATAGATGTTTCCTAGCACTGTTAATTCTAATTCGAATTTATACAAGATATATGATTGTCTATCAGTGTATTCAAAAGAACCCATATCTGAAAGAAAAGGCAAGATATCATCAATAACAAACAAGAGAAAGCAAGCAAGCAGAAATCAAACTACAACAATCCTTTTTGCAGAAAGCAATTCTACAGAATGCTCACATGAAGCCATCCAATAATTAACACAAATATGTGAAACCAAAAAACCTGGAGGTACCTTTTTCATTCCAAATAATACCACATTGAGCACAATGAACCATGTCAAATGACAATGATGGATATGGAAGCTGTCGTGCCATAAAATTGCCAATCATTGCTGGAAGACCTCTCTCAAGGGCCAGCTGAACTTGGCTACCAGTTGCCTCATATGCCGCAATACAAACAGCCATTAACTTCAGCGACACTAAATGAGCTCCAAAGCTACCAAATCCACATCCAATATCTAGTACAGTTCGCACCTGTAATTAACAAAAGCAAATGAAAAACTATAAACCAACAGTCACATTCTCAGATTTCCATTTAAAAAACTACAAAAGGGCACACTCTATGGCATCTTGATTACCATAGTCACAAACTTCAATACAAGCCTACTGAAGAAATTAAACATTCTATTGAAGGACTGGCAATGTTCTTCCCCGCAATACAACAAGAATAGGATCTATAAAATGCCAAGAAGACTTACACCAGCCTGAAGAAATTCAGAGTCACTTCCTAACCCTATCATCTCCGCAACCTGGCGTGAATAATCTTTGACACCATCAAAGTTCCCATCTTCTGAGTGAAAAGCAATTTGATTCTCTTCTAGTAACATTAACCTACAAATTTTGTTAAACAAAAAGAAAAAAATAATAATAATAAAGAAAATATATGACGCTAAAACAATTAAATCATTTTAACTTTCAATGACCAGTTTAATGCGACTAAAATCACTTTTAAGATTAAACAAAAAGAATTACCTTTTAGTCATGCTTCCAGATGAAAGAAACTGGTCTTTGGTAAGTTTTACATTTCCACTCCATATCACATCCCGACCAGCCGGCCACCTTAGGGGGATCTTATAGTCTTTTGGAGGGCGAACCAAACACCGGTATCTTGGTCTTGACATTTCACAATGCCGATCAAATTCCTCCCCATCATTAAACCCAGCCAACAAATTCGCTGAAAGATTATAACAAGGCACATAATTTTCTCTTTCTCTCCCACAAAGTCCCAGCTCCTTTTGCCGACTAGCTCCTGATGAGAGAGTTCTCAACTCCAAATAATCAACTGCAGCTTGCTCTTTCAACCTTCTATAATTTGAATAAATGTCTGTCACTGGAGTGCTAGTCACGGAATCAAATGCACTCGACGAAGTGGATCCTAATATAGCAATTAGTGCAAGCACACAAATGAGGCACAAAAGTAACCAACTGGATGGCGGTCTAGGACCGAAAAAGACAGATGGTTTACTGAACCAGGGGCTTCTCATGTCCAAATTGTTAAAACAATTGAGTCTTCGAATACACTAAATAACTGATGTTAACCTAAATCTCCAAAAACTGCGAAAACCATAACCTATCATAACATATAAGCTTTTACATATGTAACCATGAATCCTCACAATTGCCACTAGCATTGAAAACAGTCTCCTGGAGATCTTTCAACACAAGATCACATCAGCAGGTACTCGCAGTATCCAAAAAACAAGAAAACAAATGGGTCCTCTATACAACAATCATCAACCGAGTTCAAGACAACTGAATTTCAATCCTGATTATGAATCAACAATCCACACAACTCAGCTATATAGAAGAATTGTATTCCCAATCAGACCTCAGTGTCTCAAATACAGAGAATTGAGCACAATTAAACGATCGAAACCAGTCTCCAGTAAACTAACCAATCAGATCAACCTGCCAGATAAGTCAGAATAGGAAACAAAATGAATAAAGAACAAAGCAAAATCAAATATGGCTGAATTTCGAGTCTCCAACGGTTTTTTGGCTAACTACCAAGAAAACAAAAAGAAAGGACAATCTCACAACAAATCAAATTCAATTTCAAACGAAGAAAAAAGCACAGTTACATTGACGATTTCAAATTCTCCTTCACTTTACAAAGTTTAAAAGAAAATTACGGGAAATGAAATGCAGAACTTTCAATTTCCATAGAAGTTTAGATCTCGACAAGGAAACGAAAATAGAGATCAGATCAAAACGACAATGGGACAAAATTATATAAAAATCCAGCTATTTAGACGAACGTGCATTAGTTACCAAAATGGAAACAAACTGAACAGTAATGGAAGCGATTTAGGGTTTTTGGAGTAAATACCAGTTCTGGTTCGTGGAAGAGTGGAGATTGAAAGCTCAAGAGAGAGAGAGAGAGGGGAAAAGAGAGAGGTAACTATTTTAGGGAGAGTCCAATTATTCCGGGTTTGTAGTTTTCATTAGGCGCGTGTTTGTGAAAAAGAATAAGATAATAATTAGTTTAATTAATAATATAAAATCAAATACTAATAATCAGATCTAAAGGCACGATGATTATGACTACGGAGCAGGCAAATCACCTATCATTTCTGCTTCTTTAACACAAAATTAATTAATGGCTAAATAACCGTTTAGTCCATCAAATTTAATCATAATTTGCAATTTCATTCTTCTTGTTCGTAAATGCATCCGTTAGTTTCTAAAATTTAGCTGCATTAAAATATTTAATCCATCATAGTAATTCAATAACAAATATCAAGGACTAAATAATAATATTATACTCTCTTCGTACTATAATCTTTAACATATTTTCTTTTTTCATCTATCTCAAATAATTTTATTTTGTTTCTTTTTTTAGAAGTGAATAATATTTAAATACTCTCTTCGTACTATAATCTTTAACATATTTTCTTTTTTCATCTATCTCAAATAATTTTATTTTGTTTCTTTTTTTAGAAGTGAATAATATTTAAAATTATTATATTTTTATTTAATATACTTAACCATAACCTTCAAACTACTACATTATTATTAATTAAAATTTTAATATAAATAAAATTAAAATATCAATCTTTAACCTTTCAAGAAAACTCTATTTGATTAAGCATTTGGTTAATTTCAAGAACAACGTAGTATAGATAATTTAATTTTGATGCACATTAATATAAGGATATTATGGAAAAAAAATAAATAAATAATATATAATTTAGCTATATTAATTAAGTTTTCTCAATCTACGTGCAAATTTAAATGAAGACAAAACTTATAAAATCGAAAGAAATATTAAATATGAACAAATATTGCAAGATACTTAACATTGAAGGTGACACTTTTTGAACAGGATAACTAAATAATTTAACAATTTAAACCTTAGTAACCAAGTAAGAGGGACGAAGTTGTAATGATATCTAAATTTGAAAACCAAATAGCTATTTACCCATAATTAATTAAGGTTGGAGGGAGAGAGAATGATAGTGATTTTACGGTGTTTTGTACTTTTTTTTTCTTCTTTAAATGTACTTGCGCTGCACTACTCCATTTTAAAACTAATTATCTATTTGGAGTTTTTACTGGAACGACAAATGATGTTCATTTAATTTAACGAATGCTTGTGACTGTGCATATTAATTATATTATTATTTATTAGTACACGTATTAATTTAATTTAATTATTGGATGGACATGAGACTAGGATATTGATCATTAGATTTTAATTAGTTGCTTCCAATTGGAGGTTAGTATAATAGTAATGCTTGCGTCTCATATGAAACTGTCAAAATAGGTAGCATCATAGATAACTTTGTATATGCTGATTTGAGGTTGTTTGTCTGCTTGTTTAGTAGGTTGTCTGTCCCATTATACAAATCAGGGGTTAGCTAGACCCATTAAATTGACCCGTAACCACTGTCTATTTCAAAGACCGAATGACCCTTGAATTGTTCGATCTGTGTATGTAGATTTCTTTATTTGGTTACATCTTTGATTCAGTAAGCAAGCCTAATATATCTTCTTTTTTTTTTTCCAAATAATAATAATAACAATTTTATGTCAAGATGAATTTTCCAAACTTACAACGTCACAAACTCTCAATATTTGGGATTTAGTGACATCTCAACTGCTATATACATATAATTCAAAAAAAAAAAAAAAAAAAAAAAAAAAAAAAAAAAAGAGTTAGATTAACCATTTAGTGCCGTCGAATGTCAAGATAATAATCTAATGGTAAGTGCATATACTATTGACAATAGATTTAAATTCGAATTTCCCTCCTAAAAAAAAAAAAAAAAAAAAAAAAGAGTAGTTAACCATTTAGTGCCTCGAATGTCAAGATATAATCTAATGGTAAGTGCATATACTACTTGACAATAGATTTAAATTCGAATTTCCCTTCCTATTCAAAAAAACCATTTATTAGTATCTCAATTTTAGCTGAAATTATGATCACATCCATATTGGTTAGCAAAATTATATTGTTTAGCAAAATCATTGATTCATACTGAACTGATTAAATTATGTAATTATTTTATCAAAAAATATCACTTTTACTATTAAGTGAGAGACTAAACGGCAATTGTGAGAGTATAAATGTAAATAATTAAATGATAAAAAAAATATAAAATAATACTTTTTGGACAGAAAAACCAAGTTGTAAGATTGAGCTGAATTTCATAGACAAATTAGTGATTTTAACAAACAATATGAATGCTATAGTAATTCCACTAAAACTCGGGACTAAATGGTCAATTACCCTAAAAAAAATTCGTTAAACAACTATCATCCGTACCGATAAAATGAACATCACCAGCTGCTGGTTCAAAATTAACAGTGGAATTGCCCTTTTGCTGTATGTAGGAGCTGGAGTTTTTAAGCCAACAAATAAATAATAGCTGAAAGTGCTCCACCACAAGAACAACAAGCCTGTCACCAGCAACCTGAGGCCCTACCCCATTGTAATACATTTTTGTATCAGGCACTTTTCTAGCCACCCAGCTACTGAAACTAATGCTGCCAGGTCACTCATTAATATATTATCACCCTCAATTCAAACACTATTATTATGGTTGGTTAGTTAAAATTATTCCTGAAGCAATTGGTTGAGTGCTTTTTGAGCAAAAATAACCTCATGAGGGAATGTTCTGAAAAGGGTATAAAACAAAAAAAGAAAAAGGAAGCAAAAAGAAAGTCAAGTTTAGAACAAGTACAAGAACTCATCCGTTCATACTGGGGTTCAACGATTATAAGGTTATTTTTATATAAGAATGACCTTATAAGCCCATTAGATTTAAAATTGCAATTATTCCAATGCAAACACAACAATAATAACTGCATTTACACCAATATAAATTTAATGGATGACATGGTCATTCTTATATACAATCTTATTAGAACCAACTCCTTTAGACTACCAATTCCAGCAAAAATGTAAAAACCACTTGCCTTAGACAGGAATCAATCTGCAACTAATAACATTTATTAAATGGACCCATCAAAGAGAAACTTATGGTACCTATCAACCATTACAGCTCAATCTTTAGAGAGAAAAGGGCAGAAAGTTATAGAGCCAGACAGTACATTGGTGTTGCACAAACGAGAACTCAGCTACGAAACTTGGGATAGCTCTTACTTGGAATAAATCACTGAATCCAACAAAATTCAAACTTGAGACCTCTTAATAGATATTTCAAGCTTTTGCTGCGTGGATGTCCCCTCAGGGACATAACTCAGCTTTCACTAATACAAATAAAATACAATATAGGCTAGGCCAAAGGAGATGACTAATCTAATCCCACAACAATGCAAGTCTGTTTGTGCAAATCTGTTACTTCCAAATTTAAATAACTTCATAATCAAACCTTTTAGAATGACTTCCTCCAAGGACGCTTCAGAAACAGACAGAGTTTGATATCATCCCCATTATCTTCCTTTAAGCAGTTCCAACTTCCCTATTCAAGTAATCCACAAACATCCTCTTAGCACTTTCTGCATCTGAAGGCGGGGGCGGTCCACTTAAACTTGTTTGACTTGTCAACTTAATGAAAGTCCGCCGCAATCTCCGTAGCTCTGGCAACCCTACAGACCTTGAAATGTTGAGAGTTGGTAAACCCTGACCAAGAGAAACACCATTTGGTGTGGCCCCAATTGCCTGGGACTGTGCTTCCACAATGACACTAATCACTTCTTGTGTTGCCCTGTCCAACTCATAAAGAGAATTAGCCTCAGAAAACCGTGTATTTTGTGTAGCAATTGTTGGTTGTAAAATTTTAACATCCCGAGATTTGGAGTCTACTTGTTTTGTTAAGTATGAAACAGCATCTAAAATGGCTGTAGAAGATTTCTGAATTCCATCTTTGTATGGCCATAACTCAAACAAGGGAGAATCCCATCGATTTCTTCTGTCTGGCCTCTCAAACCTCCTTGCCAGGTCCACAAATATGGCATCATCATATGCAGCTTCTCCTTTCTCTCTGCGCTGTTCATTCCATTTTTGACATTGAGTGTCTTCCGCATCACAGAATAACACACAGTACCTTATCCCAGCGGCACGAGCCAAACACCACAACTCATACCTGTAGCCTTTGATGCTGTTTAAAGAATCTATTATGATTATATTGTCTTTTGATACAGATCTATCAACTTCAGACCTAAGTACTCCTCTTAAATTTTTCTCAGCAGTCATGTTAGCGTAACTCTGATTACGATCAAGATGGAAGGAAGCTTCATCAATGACCCTAACGGTTAATTTAGATTCTGATTCTTTGAGAGCTTCAGATAAGCAAATTGCTGCAGTGGACTTCCCACTGCATGGCTGGCCACAGATTACAACCAAAGCCATTTGAAGAAGATTGAGAATTTGTGTAGGGGCACTGAGATGCAGCTTCCACAAACTTGCTTACTGTTTAAAACATGAGACAATTGCATCAAGCACAATTCCTCCCTCCTGTACCTCTTACTTGTTTTTTAGCAGCATTTATAAAAACCATGACATGAAAATGAAGATTGGATCGAAAAGACAGATTCAAGGTTATCAGAATAAAGCTAGCAAGCACATGTCAAAAACATAGATGCTGTGATTATCATCCTTAATTGAACCATTTATCATAGAGAAAATGAGAACAGAGAACTATTACAATAAAAGAACGGAATATGGCGATGAAGCATTCAGGCCTTGTTTGGTGAAAATAAATGTGGAATTCATTTTAAAACTTCATATCATATTTGATGTGTATGAAAATGTCGCTTTCACTCCCATAAACTCAATGTTATGAAATTCAACACAACTAAGCCAAATACTATCAAGCATAAATAAATTCTAAACTTCACATTCATTTATATCAAACAAGGGATTAACGCTAATTTAGTTTGAACTGTTTGAATGAAAATGCATCCACTGAATAATTTTTTAGATTCATAAACAAAGATTAGATAGAATGAACACGAAAATTTATTTTTAGATGTATCTAGAATTTCATATTCATAGGGCAAAGTAAATTTAAAATCAAATTCAAATAAAAACTTTTCATTCCTAATGATTCTACAACCCCTCAAGCCCAAAACTGTTAATCTTAACAGAAATTTATACACATAAAGGTGTTCTTTTGCAATTATTTTCAAATTATAAATTTCCTCCATCCTTAATCATCCAAGAACCCAACACATTTTAAATCAGCACAAGAGGATTTTGCATACAATATAAGGGTTTAATCCTTTCAATAACTAGAAGAAAATCATAAAATCTGCGCGAAACATGCAAAAGCAAATAAAGCAAAAACAACTCTGTCAAAATAAGCAGACAAAAACGCGAGAATCTAAGTAATTACTTACTTGATGGAAAAAGCGATTGATAGAGTTAAAGCGTAGACAGAAAAAGAATACAGGCAAGAAGGCAATTTACTCCATGGACGAGTTCTGTAGAGAATCCTGCGAAAAGGTAGAAGAGACTGGAGTCGACACAAACCTAAAAACCCTGCTCAAACGCAAGATTAAAGATGGGCTCGCTCTGATATGGGCCGGGCTTGATCTCTTCTCTCTCTCTCTCTCTCTCTCTTTTATTAACTCTATAGTTTACGATAAAAAATCATGTAAAACAATATGAATTTCAACTTTAATTTTTTTTTTTATAGATAATTTTCAACTTCAAATTTGATTGTATATAAAATACGTAATATTTATTTGCATTCTTATATTTGATCACCGTAGATTAATCAGAAGCTTTTTCTAATCATATTGTTATTAAAATATCATACCTTTAACCATTTACGTTTTCTAACAATATTTGTATGACTTTCTCACATTATGAAAAATTTATATAGAAACTCACGTGAATGAGAGAACTCACAAATTTTGTATGACAAGTAATTAACTATGTGCATTTTCCATATTCCTCCGCACATGGGAAAATTAGAAGTAGCTCCTTAAATAAATAAATTTGCAAATAAATGAGTTAGTATTTATTTATTTTGCTATTCAATTATTAGTATTTCATTGTGACAATAATATTATTGTTAGAAGTACTTTTAATCCATCCTTATTCGTGTGTGTGTGTGTATATATATATATATATATATATATGAATGCCTAGGTTTGTAGACATTGTAATATTATCTATTTTTTTAACAATATTTGTATGACTTTTTTTCACCAAAAAATAAATTCATGGACAACTAGTTGTGAATGATAGAATTCACAGATTTTGTACTACAACTAATTCACTATATATACATATATATTTAGTGATTGTATAATGCCAATAATTTACAAATACATACAAATATAAAAATATTGAGATATTGGAGTAAAATTAATAATTATATGAAAATTATAGTTTTATATAATAATAATTGTTTCACAACTGATAACAAAAGATATCAATTTTAAAATTTAAATTTATCAAATTCAGAACTGTTAATCATGAATATGATAGAGATAATGACTATTTACAGATAAAGTTACAGCAAGATGGATTAGGTGAATTTTGTTGCTGTGAGTAGATAAATTTGTCCTATTGAATTCCATTGCATATCATTTGGGTTTTGGATTCTCATAGTTTTGCAATCAATAGATAAGAGAGAAATGCCATTCATAGATGAGAGAGAAATTATTTTAATGCCTTTATAAGATATGAATGAGATAAAAGCTATCAAATATCAATTTAAGAGGAAACTTATACATAAAATTGGGTATGAGCCATTGGGCGACACAAATGAAGTTACTATAAGATTCAAATTATGAAATGGGTATGAAAGTTTAAATTTATTAAATCTGGTTATGAAAATCAATATTGTAAACATTTAACCAATTAGAAAGAAATATTACCTATAAAAACTATTTTGCTCAATTGATCGATTTTTTTTTTTTTTTTTTTTTAATCAATATTGTAAAAACATTTAACCAATTAGAAAGAATATTACCTTATAAAACTATTTTGCTCAAATTGATCGATTTTTTTTTTTTTTTTTTTTGTGTTTGCAAATTGAATCAATTCTTTTTTTTTTTTTTTTTTTTTTGTGTTTGCAAATTGAATCAATCTGATACATCTCCTATTTTGTCCAATCTTTTCTATATACATCAAAGAAGCAATTTAAAAAATAAAATATAATTAAAAAAATGAGGGAAGAGGAGGAGAAAAAATGAAAAAACATGGAAAAAAATTTAGTTTTTTTTCTGTGCTGTTATTTACAACACTATCATCAGAGGCCTCACCCTCTTCTTTGCTTTGGAAATCCTGTTTCTCAAGCTCTTCCCAGGAAAAAAAAAATTAATTTTAATTTTTAATCACAATTAATTATGACCTATTTGTTTCTTCCCACTCTCTGAATTTTCAGCCTAACCGAAATGATATTAATAAGAAATACATGGTCATATGTTTTGAGGTGTAAAACTTTGTATGTATAATTGGATTTTGTAATATAATCATTTTAAAAAAATATTATTGCCGCTACTTATAATATGTTTTTATTACTGAATTTTGGTCATTGAGAATTAACTTTACAATTTTTTTTAAATAATTCTATATTTATAATTATACTATTATTTTATTTGAATCCATTAAACTAAGTTCAACCGTCCAATATCATTCAAAAATATTGAAAATTAACAAAATGCATTTCCCATATTCCTTCACAAATAGAAAAATTAGAAATAGCTCCTTAAACAAATAAATGATTCAGCATTTATTTATTTTGTTATTCATTTATTTGCATTTTATCGTGATAATAACATTATTATTTAGAGGTATTTTTATACAGTCTTACTTCATTTCAATAAATATATATATGTGACGGTGCGTTTTAAGCAAATGAATTGATGAAATAGGATGTACTAGAACTCGAAATCGTAGCATTGTATTCAAAATCCATATAATTTAGAACCTAGAATTAGAAGTCACTGCAACAGTTTGATTACAAGTTTGTTGTCCTTGTGTAACCTCTAGCAAAACAAATTAAAAAGGAAAGCAATAAATAAATAAATAAATAAATCTTTTATTTTCATTTTAACCGTTAAATTTATAAATAAACTCTAACTATTTTATGAAAAAAATTCACCAAAAATAAAAATCTTATTTAAAAAAAATATTTTGCTCAATCTTATTAAATTTTTATTGTGATTGACAAACAAAATTCTGTCCTCCAATTTCTTTTGCATTGTCTAGTAAACTAAATTTTGACGTGACCCACATTGACTTATAAATAATTTGTTCGGTCTCCTCAAGCAAATGAACAGATTGATAATTCCTAGGATCAGTGCAAGTGCCAAAACGTTTCATTGTCTTCAAAATCCTAGTAAGCTACAATCTACATTTACAAGTCGCTAGAACAGTTTGATAACAAGTTTGGTTGCAGCCTGGAACTTCTGATGAATAAAGCTTGATCTCACAATCTAATGCATAATTCTACCAAGAACTGTAATTAATTTCCTACTGCTAAGCTGTAATATATATACGAAAGAGAACGCAGAAGATCGAATCACCAGAGATAGAAATGAACCTATAATAATTGAATTATCAGAAATTATGCTACTGCAGAATTGCACTTAGACAAGAAAGAGATAACTCTAAATAATGCAAAACTTAGAAAACGAAAAACAATCCGTATTTCCTTGATGGAGAAGTAAGCAAACAGCAGAAAAACACAAGAAGCTAAGTAATTACTTACTTGATGGAGAAAGCGAGTGATAGAGTTAAGCGAAACGAGAGGGAGGAAGAGAAATCAGAAAAGGCAAAAAGGAAATTTACTCCATTACCGCGTTATGTAGTGAATATTTTGAAGCGTGAAAAGGGAGAAGAGACAGTCGATCCCAAGTAAAACCCAGCTCAAACGCGATTGCCAATCGAGATTTAAGATGGGCTCGGTCAGGTATGGGCTGGGCTTGATGAGCTTTGAGTTTGTAACAACATGATTAATATTGTCTATTTGTCTCACAATATTTGTATGACTTATTTATATCATGAAAAACTTATAGACACTAGGTGGGAATGATAGAAATCACAAGTATTGTATTGCAATTTCCAAGTAATTTTATTGCATGTTCATATTGGTTGTGTGTATATATATATATATATATATATATACAATGACAACATAATATTGTTAATCTAGGAATATATATATATATATATATAGTTTACTAATTAATTAATACGGAAATTTTGAGATATCGGAGTAAATTGAATAATTATAATTTTATGAGATAAGACCAGATATATCTGAATGTATTTCATTACAAAATATCACCAATCAACGTTTGTGTTTTTATAAAATATGGTGATTGTGTGCTCCGTGAAATTAACCAATCTTTTTATAATATCTAGATAATTAGATCTATTTTATCTCGTACTAATTACAATCCATCTAACGGTTGAAGAGAAAAAATTTGGTCGAAATAAGCAAATCAAAATGCAAGAAGCCAATATGAAAGGAAAATCAATGTTAAATACGATTAAATGAATTTGTATATAATTGAGTTTTGCACTAGTATCTATTTTTATCACCACTTCTCTTTCAACACCTTTCATTACATTCGCCCTTCCTTTATCTAATTCTATTTTCTCTCCTTAAAAAGAAGACCACACCTTTTTTTTTCTTTCTTCTTTTATATACATATGAATATAGAAGGAGCAATTTAAAAAATTAAAATGGAAAAAAAGATGAGAGCAAAGGAGGAAAAAAAAATACATAGGAACATAGAAGCTGTTAAGCTGCTTTTATTTGCACCACAATTCCCATAGCTCTCACCTTCTTTGCTATCGAATCCGCCTTTTTAAACTAATTTTACTTTCTAATCACAAGTAATTGTAAACTATTTTTTTTTTTTTCTCCCACGTGTGAATTTTCTTTTATTGTTTAATTCTATAAATTAAATTTTGTAACTGAAAATTTGCACAAGTAGTTTAATTCTATAAATTAAATTTTGTAACTGAAAATTTGCACAAGTAATTGTAACCTATTTGTTTTTATTTCTTCTCCCGCGTATGAGTTTTCTTTTATTGTTTAATTCTATAAATTAAATTTTGTAACTGAAAATTTGCACAAGTAATTGTAACCTATTTGTTTTTATTTCTTCTCCCGCGTATGAGTTTTCTTTTATTGTTTAATTCTATAAATTAAATTTTGTAACTCAAAATTTGATTGATTGAGTGTCACGTGCATAAAAGCTGAGGTTGCTAGTTGGATTTTTGCAAAATGATTAACAGATATTGTTTTCATTGCTTCCCTGTTTTTATCATTGAATTTTGTTTATCAAGAGTGAATTTTAAAAACTTCTAAAAACAATTCTATATTTATAGTTATATTATTTTTTTTAAACTGCAGTATGATATATGTCATTTAAAACATTAAAATATAATTAGTTTTTGACTGCCGGTTGTGCAGAGTCTTAAAAAAGATTTATTACATTAAATAAATAGATTCAGTATTTTAAGTAAGAATTTACTTCAATAATTTTTAGATTTAGCTTACATATATCATCTAATTTTACATTTAATAATATTAAAAAAATTTTCGCGAATACTAATAGGGGCAATCATGCAAATACCAATCAATTTAAAAATAAAAATAAATAAATAAATAAATATAAATCGATTGAGTGGTATTAATGCAATTGACTTTCAAGAAATTTACAATTTATTTCGATTGTTATTTTCATCGTTAGATGTATTGTATTCGAAACTCAGTTTTTATATTTGAAATTATTTATTTATTTATGTATATATCTTAAAATATGAAACTTGTTTGTAAATTTTATCTTCTTTGATTGAAGTATTATAAAAAAGACTTAAAATTATTACATTTAATCACATATTATTTTGTTCATATTTTAAAATTTTATTGTGATTGACAAATTTCATTTATATAATTTAATATAAATTTCTATCACAAAACAAAATTCTGTTTTCACCAATTTCTTTTGTATCTTCGAGTAAACCAGAATTTGGACGTGCATTTTTTCAGCCGATACATTGAAATTTCTCTAGTTCATTGTTTGGCCTCCTCAAGCAAATGAACAGATGAACAATTCCTAGGACCAATGCAAGTGCCAAAACGTGTCGTCGTATTCAAAATCCCTCTCAGTAGAACATTTTGATTACAAGTTTGTTGTCGTTGTGCAACTTCTAAAGGAATCAATAAGAATACTCTCATTCAGGTTATGCCCTGCAAAAGAATGCAACAAATAAATAAGCCTTTTGTTTTCCTTGTAACTGTTAAACAAATAAATACGCTCGAACCAGTTCGTGGAAGAATTTCACCAAGAATAATGTAACGCTACCGGAACATTACCTATAAAAACTATTTTGCTCCATTGATTTTCTGATTCTTTCCATTTGCGAGCCGGAACAATCTCATATATCTCCCTCACAGCCTACCAGACAGTTAATAACAAATTATTTACAAACTTCACTACGCAACATTAACTTATGTGTGAAGAAATTAGCTATATCAATGGATAAAACATGTAAAATGAAGACAAATAAGGCATAGCATAACATAGCAGCCCACGTGATATGTCCATCCATGCCTCAAGAGCCAAATTAGATTTTGGGTTGCAACCTGTACTTCTGATCACTGACATTCAAAAGCTTGATCTCATAATCTAATGCATAATTCTACCAAGAACTATAGTTAATTTCCTACTACTAGAGCTGTAATATATGAAATGAGAACGCAGAAGATTGAATCACCAGAGCTAGAATGGAAAATCCACAAACTCTAAGTAACCGATGTAGAATGATGAGATGAATAAACATATCATAATCACTAACAGATAGTTTCCAACATTACCTGCAAAGTATGCAGCTCATCAGAGTTATGCACCCTTAACACCCCTTTGCAGCGATATACATCCATGCCATCTTTCTTATCCCATAGAATCTCCTCTAGCCATAAACGAACCTATAATAGTTGAAATATCAGAAATTATGCTACTACAGATTGCACTTAGACAAGAAAGAGATAACTGTAAATAAATTAAGAAAAGGAACACCAATCCTTATTTCCCATGCCACGATATGAGTTTCTGTTAAGGTGGTCGTGAAAGCAGATAGCAAGTTTCCATAGATTCAAATTTAAGTGATTTGCAGTGTTCATACTATTTGCAAGATTCTATAGAAAAAATCAATACTTTACATTTTATATTAATGTTAGAAATCAAACCAAGGCTGTTAGACATTTAAGGATCTATAAATATAGGTCCAGTAACCAAGCACACATTCCCAATAAAAAAGGATCGAGAAGTATAAAAATACAAGGAACAGAAAATACTTGAATGCTGAATAAGTAAAAATCAATATCTATTAAAATTTTGGGAATAATGGAAAGGCATTTTCAACGATATATCAAGTAAACAGCATCAAAAAGCTATACGTATACAGTTCAGTTATGCAAACCTTATTTCAACATGCAGTCCATCAAGGGCCATACTTTAGCCCAGACAAGATCAAACACACCTAAATGTCGAAACATTTGCTCAATACCGTGGTAGATTGGTGATAAAGAAATTAGCACCAGCTAAGTAACACATTCAAGACATTTGATCTGACTAGTCCAAAGCATGCTTTTCACAACATTAGTAACCCAGTAGTAGCAAATCCTGTTGACAAGGTTGTGCATCATCGCAATCAGGCATATCAAATGACTACCTTAACAAGATCAACCTGCTGTGACTCACTAATGCAAATGGTTCGCACGCCACCATCATGAAGATCCCTGGTGGATAGTGACTTGCTTTCTTCCAATAGTGCTTCCAAATGCGTGATATGCTACGAGAACAAGAAGAGAGAAGAATTAAGATCCATTCAAATAAAGGTAATGCTAGATTGTGAGCCTTCTGTAACTTACAGTAGCATCATATGCCTGGCGATTTAGTATTTTAGACAAGTCAACTTCACACCGAGCGGAATAAATGATATCGGCAAGGGAGTTAATATGATGTATTTCTTTCTCCAATTCCTCCAAGGTCCCAGAACCCTCTGAAGAAACCAAATCAACCTTGTTAAGAATCACAACATCCTACATTAAACAACAAAACTAATAAGGCCACAGAAATTCCCAAACTATCCCACATGAAAAAATATTGAACAGAAAAAGAAGCAATCAAATGGTCCATATGATTACAAATTATACAGGATTGTTTAATGCAGACACTAATACATATAAACAGATGATATATACAGAAATGCTCAACTCATCTAAATAAACCAAGGCATGGTCTGCAAACTACTTAAGCATGCTCCATGAGTTCTATTTGTCCATCTTTCTGTTTGGCGTCAAAGACTCAAAGTTTCTAACATATGTATTTGATATTAAGTCAAAATGTTGCTTATAGGCATCAAATAAGTAAGACAATTAACATTGCTCATAAACAGTACACCTACACCATCTATAAGTCATGAGAATTACCGCAAATGCTATTTGAGAAAATGCTTCAGGAAATGAAGATGAGACACGATGCTTGTTGAGCTGAAAAGGAAGATTTTTGGCATCCACAACCTGGGTAATCAGAATTTTATTAAAATGTCAAACTGAAGAAGAAAATAAATGAATAATAACTTGTCTTCATATATAAAAACTTCATGAAAAATAAATTATCACAAGCTTAATAACTTGCAATATAAGATAAACTACATTTCTTATTCCATAAACACAAGATGGGATTAAACTGGGTGCCAATGCCTCATTCTAATGCTAGTTATCATGCAAGGCTTATAAAAAATGCTGCAATTGGTTTGCAGAAGATATGAGAAGAATGGACCCTTACTTGGTTGATGAGAAAAAGAGGAAAGAAATTAAGGAAAAATAAAGAAAGATTTTCCCACTGAAATTCTAATTTTTTCTTCAATTGTGAGGCAAGTTGGGTAAATTTCCTTGAAGCTGCAGAAAGTCTCTTTAAGAGAACTTCTGAAGAAAACAAGCTTCCATGTTACAGTTAACTCTTCATACAGGCACTTTTTTGAAAACAACTTTATGTCTAGTATTCCCTAGATATCCAAATGAGAAAAGTAATTTTATTTTCCTTATCTCATTCTTTTCCCATCAATTTTTCCTTACTTTTCTTTTTATTGGTTCTTAAAAGGAAAAAACAACATAGCATCCCATTAAATGAAAACGTATACTAAATGCATGTTATTGAAAATCGCATTAATAGACTGCCAAAGAAGGATGCAAAAAAAAAATAAAAAATAAAAGAGTTCAGAATAACAAAGATACGATGATAATTTATATATCAAATTATGATATCTCATAAGCTGCTATATCATTTTCCATTAAAATCAAATCTTAGGTCCGAATACTGCCAGTTTATGATAAACTGATTTATAGCTTAGAATGATCAGAAGAATGTAGATGCTTGCAAAGCTGGAAGAAGGAAAAAAAAAACCTAGAGCATGTCACGTGCAGTGAGTACAAGTTACTGATTATGAAGAACAGACTTACAGTGATTATAGAATCAAGCTTCACAACTGATTCTAGTTGATCATCCAACCACAGAATAGAGGCAAGAGGAGCAGGATTTGCTAACCCAGTGGTCTCAATTATTATATGATCAAGTTTACTGGAAAAAAGAAACACAATTTACTAGTCATTAATTACTGCTAGAAGTCCATAGCCGTCAATTATCTAAGATTTTCTTGGCAAACTATCTATTTGCCACTAAATTAGCTACCGAGTGGTTAAAAAAAAAAAAAAAAATCTTTCAGGTTCAACAATAAAATCTAACAAGTTTCATCTCTAAAACTATAGTGCTTATAAACAAGGGAAATTCAAATATATTCACAAAAAAAAAAAAATAAATAAAAAAAAAAATACAGAAGCAGCACCTTTCCTTCTTCTGTACAAGTTGCTCAAGTGCTTGAACTAAGCTATGCTTAACTGTACAACAAATACACCCATTTGCCAACTCAACCCATTCTTCAACAAGGGCTCCGCCTTCCCCTTCGTTTATCATTGCCCTCTCAACTCCGATCTCTTCACCAAACTCATTCAAAATCACAGCAATCCTCTTTCCATGTTGAGAATTCAATATATGGTTAACAAGCTTAAAAAAAAAAAAAAAAAAAAAAAAATCCAGTGTATGAGATTATGCGAAGGAAATTTTACAGTCGACTATTGGCCGCACCAGATAGCCCATGGAGTACACTAACCGAAACGTCCATCTGTGAGCATTGAATGGATTGAAGTAAAGCTTGGATGGATTCTTGGCAAGTTGGTCGATCAACTTGGCTACTGTGGCGGGTTTCTGACCTCTCTACACCATATCATAGAAGTGTTTCTTCTGCTCGCCTGCCGCCTCTACATACAAGTTCAACACATACTGCTCCAACCCTTACCCATAACCTTACTTAAACTACAATGCTATTCAACTTAATAAATATTATTTATTTTACAGGATAATACATAAAGAAACAAAAATAATTTTTACAACTAATCACAAATACTATGTGGCAATTTATTCAAAAGTGAAAAACCCAAACGTTGCCCTAAACGGACTAAAGTAATTGGAGTTAATTCAGGAAAATTAAAGCACCTAAGCCATAGGTGCGAAAATCAAAACATTAGCCCAGCTTGCCTGAAATTGCAATGACAATTCTACCACTCAAATAGCCATATAAAATATTAAGAAAAAATAAATTAAATAAAAATAAAGCAGATGAAAATAATAATAAAATGACAATGAAATCATCTATATCCACTATAATAACGAAAGCAAGCCTTGAAACTTCGTGTCACTTTCCCTTCTTCAAAATAAAAAGATAAAGGGTAAATATGGAAAAAAAGATTTATTACTTTTTGAAATCACAAATATAATAAGTATGTTGGAACAAACTATTTTCTCAAATATGACAAGTATTATGAAATAGAAATAGTATACATTAAGATGGATAAGTGTATTAATGATAAATTTCTTTATCCAGTTAAGCCTATCATAACATAAATTTATGCAAACTAATATATAGTTTAGCAATAAATGTATATTTGACTCGATATTAGATTTAAGTTTGAATTCCCTTCTTCGATACTTAAAAAAATAAATAAATACAAATTTATGTTATATACGTTATAGCTAAATTCAGTTCAATTTCAAACTATAACACTTGTCAAATAATAGAAAAGAGAAAGGGTGAACTTTTTACATGCACATATACGTGTTTCTAAAGTTTATATAAGACAAAATTTCATTTGTACCTACTCTTAACAATTATAAATTAATAATTTTTTTACATACTTAAACTATAAATTTTCTTTCATTACTTTCTTAAAACAACTTTAAAAATATAATATGAGATTACTCTCCTTTTACGTCTAATATTCAGTAAATTGATAAAAATTTATAAACAAGGAAACTCAAATTCAATATTTTATAATTTAAGTACTTTTAGAGAATGAGAAAATAAATTATACTATATATACTTACTACCTACACCTTATTGACTTTTGTTCCTTCTATTTTTCTTTCACCTATTATTTTATTTTCCCTCTCGTTTTCTTTCTTCCCAAACAGAGTAAGTATTATATCAAACCCTAATCTGAATTAAGCACGTCAATTTGCAGAAACACGACACTCTTGATTACCAGTCATTGTTGCATTACTCTTGCTTCAAAGATTCAGCAACCTCGAGACTTACATGATTAATTTAATTACTGAATAATTAAGAATTAACAGCGAAGGAAATTCTATAGGTTGGCTAATATCCCTATGCTATTACTGCAAGTTGGTGACAAATGTTGACATTGAGAAAAACATCAAAGAACAATGACTTGTTTGGCTGGCATGAAATAATGCTATCAAAATTTTATTGATGTTAAATATTAGATAAGTTGAATTTGGAATTAAAAGACAAACCAAACTTCAAAAAAAGAATCCAAAACCCATCACCCCTATAAGATGTTAAATAAACATGTACAATAGTGGAGATAGGATTTTAAGTTCGCCAGATACATAATTTAAGTTCCGAATTTTTGCGAACAATGTTATAGTATTCTGAATTTTAAAATCAATTTTGTGTATCTTAAACTTCACTTTTTGTAATAATTTCACACCTCCTTATATTAAAAGTAATACTCCCTTTGTCCCAAATTATAAGTCGTTTTGTCTATTTCAAGAAGTAATAAATGATGTTTTTCCAATGTTACCCTTATTTACACTAAACACGATAAATACTTTACAAGCAACTATTAGTTTTGAGATAAAGAAAATTTTGGTTAAATTAACCTTGAGTTTATAATAATTAAATAGAATTAATTATTTTCTTAATCCTTATGAAAAAACCTTAAACGATTTATATTTTATGACAGAGTGAGTAATTTTTAAGATTTTTGGCTTTTATATACACCATTTTTACGTTTAACTCCATCTTCCTTTAGAGGAGACGTGGGAGCTAAACTCATTGGAGGGAGTATATTGGCATGATGAAGCTTCCAAGCTAGGAATTTGTTTCCCTTTATCTTGTAATAATAACTTTGTATATTGGATTACGATTATGTTTGGCTATTAGTATATGTCCTATTCAACAAGAAGGATAACATTATCCCTACATTGTTTTTTTTATTGAACCTCAAACATGTATAATTATTTGAGTATCTAATAATATGCCATAATTCATAGTTCTTGGTGGGGTGGCACAAGAAAATCATGATCCTTTGCTACTCCATTCAATTACTTGCAATAATAATTTATTTCATTCTATGTTCTCCAACAGTTTGTTTAATATTTTGATTAAGATCCAAATACCGTGAACCTTATTGTTTATATAAATTGAGAGAACAGATTATAAAAAGTTACTATTTAACTAAGAGAATAACTGAGAACTACTAAAACGTTAACGATACAGTAAAATAAATTTTACATTGCAAATTTTATTAGTTAGAAATTTCAATTAATCCAATGGTTCCACAAAAATTACTTATCAATTTAAACTCGATTGTGATTAAGCTTGAATTTACAGGAGCTTGTATCAAATTTTTTTTTATGTTCTTGAATATATTACAAGGCAAACATTCCCGCTCTTTTATATCGCCACTATCCCAATCTTGGTGGATCTTTGCTAGGCACCTTCTATAGTGGCTAGTGGGAATAAAAATGTTGAATTTAACTTCAGCGATCTAAGCACCCAATAAACATCGGTGAATACTAAGTTAATAAAAAAAGCAAGTAGAAAAAAAAAATATATGTATACCACCGCGTTCAATTCCGTAAAATTTTCTAACAATAGTGATTTCGGATTTTAATCTCTAAAAAATTTCACTGATTCAATTGGTTATTAATGTGTATTATTCAAAGGAGAGAGCTATCATACGTAGCTCATAATATTATTTCCACCTGATTCTATTCAAATGGCTTTTCTTCTTTTTTTAAAAAAAATAAAAAATAAATAAAGGAGTAGTAAAAACACTAGTCCTCCTGAAACAAGAAAGTCAGTTATTCTTATACATAACCAAAAGCAACCGATAACAAAAAGCAATAACCACATTAATCTGAAAGCAATCCGATGCATACATATATATAAAATAAAAGTTATTATATTATATATGAAAAACGTGTGAACCTGAAGACTTTATTCATTACTTTCAAATTGGCACCAGCCCACCACCACCACCAACACCACCACTATTGCCGCCTTTTGCCACCCTCATCTTTTTTTTAGCGACAACTCATTTCACATTATGTCTACGAAAGTTATTCCTATATAAATCCAAATCGGTCTTGCTCTTATTCATCTTTGTCTTATGTATAGATATATAAAATAAGAAAATCTCTTTCTCATCGAAAATCCAAATCAATCATTCTCTGTCTAATTGCCATCCATCAGATTTAAAAAAGCCATCTCTCTCTCCCTCTCTATTGCTCCATCGCCTTTGATAGAGTGAAGTGCTAACTAACAAAACCATGGCGATTAGGAGGAGAGGCATAGCGGCGGTTATATTGGTGTTGGTATTCGCTTTTGAGATTGAGACAATCTGTTTGGCGCAGAGTATTAACAGAGGAAGCTTTCCTAAAGGTTTTGTGTTTGGCACTGCCTCTTCTGCTTTTCAGGTTAGTTATAATTTCTTCTTTCAAAACAAACTGACTGAAAATGGAAAATTGAAAGGAAGCTTTTAGTTTTAATGAGAGCCAATCAATCGTATTTCTTTTCTACTCCTTTTCTGCGAAGATTGGCTAAGAAGTCAATTGTTCGTCTCTCATGTCTTTATCGCGTTTGCCGTTTATAAGGGAAACAATACCATTATATTTTCACGTGACTCCTCTGTCGTTTTGGTTGTCCTTATCGTTTATAGGTGCGTGCCAGCAAGCTCATGTATTGTAGTTTGCTTATTCGTTGAAAATAGATGGAGCATCAAATTCTCTAGTTTACGAGGCAATGATGGCTTTTAATACATATAAAACGAACAAAAAAAGCTTTGAAATGAGCATCCTTATTCTAGATCATAAAATTAATATTTAAAATTTAAAATTTTATCCTTTTAACAAGTTCATTTACTGAAAAATAGAGCTAATATTCTTACTCTTAACAGAAGCAAAACCGCTTATCATCCATTAATATTAGTGAAATCAAACATTATCATTCATCGAATATTAGTGAAACCAGACAAAAAAATATATTATTGAACAATAATATTATTATTATTAAAAAAATAATAAAAATATTAATTTCATAATTATTGAACAATAAAAATATTATTATTAAAAAAATAATATTAATTTTACTGATTATTAAAAGACATTAAAAATATATAATATTAATATCATTAATGATATTAATTCTAACTTCATCAATATCTAAATTAAAAAATAAAGAATCACAAATTAGGAAAAATAATATAATGTGCCAATGTGACCTCAATAAAAATGCTGAAGCGCCGTTGTATTGATTATGAAAGCGTTAAACTTTTATATAGATATAATATATTATATAGGTATGTAATGTCGCACGTGATACGCTATTAATTATGGATTTAATTATTATTATGGATTTAATTATATCTTAAAAAAAATTTGGATTTGATTATTATTTTTTTTCATCGATCATTTTCTTTGCAGTATGAAGGAGCAGTGAAAGAGGATGGAAGGGGACCAAGTGTTTGGGACAAATTCTCACATTCTTTTGGTAATACTTTATTAAAATGGTCTTCACGCCTTTCTATAATGCTGTTTAGAGTAATTACATAATTTTTTATTGGTTTAAACCTAATTTTTTAAAAATCCCTTATTTGAAAGTTTTCCACAATTCAATTTTAGGTCTATAAAAATAATATTATGAAAATCAATTATTCAAAGGCCTATGATTAAGAATTCTTCTTCATTTTTTTTGATTCCGAGTTTAAATTAGAATTAATGAGTGGATTCACTTAAAACCGAATCGAATTAGTGTAAAAATAATAGATCGAATTTTTGTTAAAAAAAAGAATCAAACTCAACCAAATTATAAAATTTGGTTCAATTTATTTTTTGGTTGTCTTAATTTTTTTATTAAATCAGTTTGATTTTTACGGTATTTCAATTTTTTGGTTTTATATAACAAAAATCAAATTAAATTCACGGAAATTTGGTTATTTTCTATTAAAACATAAACAAACTGAATTTTTTTTAAAAATTATGTTCAGCCCTAAAGGACAATCTTCCTAATTTAAAAATGCTCCATTGCAACAAAAATTAAATAAATAAGGGTTGATAAAGTTTTATCTCAATAATATTTTCATTTTATATAAAAATATATGCCGCCGCGAGTTGAAAGTCTTAAATTAAGTGCTCATGACTGCAACAACTTTCCCCAATTTAAAAAGTGGGAAAAAATTACTACTACGGTGTAGCTTTGAAATTATATGATCAAGTTTACATTGCTTGCAGGCAAAATACTTGATTTTAGTAATGCTGATGTGGCTGTGGATCATTACCACCGTTTTAATGTACGTGCTGCGAGAGCCTAAATTTTATGTATTTAAGCAATAATAAAGTCATTTAATAGCAAAGTGCTATATTATTGCTTTCTTTAACTTTATAGTGTGACTGTAAATAGGAAGATATTCAACTTATGAAAGACATGGGCATGGATGCTTATAGATTTTCAATTTCTTGGTCTCGAATATATCCTAGTAAGTTCTCTTATACAAATAGTAATTCATGAATTTAAATATCGAATGATCAAAGCTTCTTATAATATACTTATCTGCATACAGATGGGACAGGAACGATAAATCAGGCAGGAATTGATCATTACAACAAAGTCATCAATGCTTTACTTGCTGCAGGTACTTTCTTTATTTAATCATTCTCTAATGCTAATAATTATCATAATCTGGTTAGTATTATGCTATCTAGTTAGTATTATGAGGGGGATCAAGGTTCAGTTCAAACTCTATACTTTAACCCATTTATTTTTGGAGTCATTTATCTTCCTTTTAATCAAATATTTAATGCAAACTTCATTCATCCTCTTTGAAGCTAAATCAAATCGTATCGAAACGGATTTTTGGCCTAGTTTTGAACATGCAAAGTTTGATTTTCAAAAGGTTGATCTACAATCCTTTTAAACCATGAAACCAGAACAGGCATTTCCAGAACTGGGATCACCCTTATTGTTTCTTAGTCAGAAAAAAGCAAGTGCTCAAATTCTAATATGATAAGGGTGCCTAAAGAAAGTCATAGCAAATAGAGATTCTCTATGTTCAGAACCAGGCTTACGCTTAAAAATGTTTAGTTACCTATTGAAAACAAAATGTGCAGGAATTGTGCCATATGTGACCCTATACCACTGGGACCTTCCTCAAGCCTTGGACGACAGATACAATGGATGGCTCAGTCCACAGATCATGTAAAAGACATTGCAAAACTGAAAAATATATATGGTATCACAAATTGCACATTTATATGATTCAATTCAATGAATTAACATTAGTCATTTACAGAAAGGACTTTGCAACATTTGCTGAGACTTGCTTTAGAGAATTTGGTGATAGAGTGAAGCATTGGATCACATTCAATGAACCTCACACATTTACTATACAAGGTTATGACGTAGGTCTTCAAGCTCCGGGGCGATGCTCCATAATTCTGCATCTCTTCTGCAGAGCTGGAAATTCTGCAACTGAGCCTTACATTGTTGCACACAATGTGCTGCTGAGTCATGGAACTGTGGCAGATATTTACAGGAAAAAATATAAGGCAAAACAAGGTGGATCAATAGGCATAGCACTTGATGTTATGTGGTTTGAGCCAGCAAGTAATTCGACAGAAGATATTGAAGCAACTCAAAGAGCCCAAGATTTTCAGCTTGGCTGGTAATTATATCCTTCAAATATTTATTCACTGATTGACACATTTCCATTTCTGTTACTATTTTCTATTCCATTATCCGAAAAGACTGGAAGTATTAACTGAATAGATAGACTTGTTAATTTTTTATTTTCTTGTTTTCTGTCTTGCTTGCAGGTTTATTGAACCTTTGATATTTGGTGATTATCCGAGTTCAATGAGAACTAGAGTTGGAGACCGGTTGCCAAAATTTTCCAAATCAGAAGCTGCTCTTGTTAAAGGCTCTTTGGATTTTGTGGGAATTAACCATTACACTACTTATTTTGCAGAACATAATTCAACTAACATAATTAATAGTCTTCTTAATGACTCCCTTTCAGACTCTGGGGCCAACACTCTCCGTAAGTTAACATAGCAAAAGTTTCTTTATTTGACATAATGTGAATGCATGCTCTAAATCAACTAAGAATATGTGTGTTCTTGTTATTTTTCAGCATTCAAAGGTCTTAAACCTATTGCAGACAGGGTAAGCAATTCATATAATTGACATATCTTCGTGTTTCATCAATTTCTACACTAGAAGATGTAGTAATACATCAAGTTGTCTCTAAATATGTGATGTGAGATTGCAAATTCAAACTGTAATCAAAGCTAGACTAACCTTTATTAACTTGAATTTTTAGGCCAGTTCTATATGGTTGTACATAGTTCCTGAAGGGATGAGAAGCTTAATGAATTACATCAAGAGAAAGTACGGGAATATTCCAATCATTATAACAGAAAACGGTAACTAATCATTTGAAATTCAGTTAATCAGCTTAATTTCCTTAATTTATCCTATTAGTAATATATTTTCTTAATAATTTTCTTTGCAGGAATGGACGATCCAAATGACCCTCTTAAACCCATTAAAGAAGCTCTGAAGGATGAGAAAAGGATCAAATACCATAACGACTATCTAACTAACTTGCTAGCTTCCATCAAGTATGAATAACTTTTATTTTAGTGTATATGGATTCTCCCATAATATGTTGAGGTCTGCAATATGATCTAACATTGCATTGTTTTGGCCATTGCAGAGAAGATGGGTGCAATGTGAAAGGGTATTTCGTATGGTCATTATTGGATAATTGGGAATGGGCAGCTGGATATACTTCAAGATTTGGTCTCTATTTTGTGGATTATAATGACAAACTCAAGAGATACCCTAAAGATTCCGTTAAGTGGTTCAAAAATTTCTTAACTTCTACTTAAAATGTAGACAAAGCAAGGAATTAAATTTTAAAATTGAATGTTATTTGTTGCTTTATATTACCTTTTCTTTCTTGCAAGAAGAAGAATTTCATCAAACAAAATCATTATATTACACAAATACGAGCCATTGGATGTATAAAAACTAATTCTGAAGATTCATTATGTAAAAGAATTGAGATGTGATATTTGATTTTGTAATGAAGTTCTACAAAATAGCTCTAGTGTATCTCTTTAAGCACAATTAAAAATCAAATTATATATTTTTTAAAAGGAAAGATATATTAATTATGCTGTACTTTTTAAATCTGTAGAGATATTTTTGGAAAAACAAAAAGGGAATTTGAAATTTGTTAGATGTGATTTCGGATTTATAGTAATCAAATCATAATTAACCAGTTGAATTACTTAACTTTTATTCCACACATTGAACGGCCAGGGTTTAATCCTTTTAATCCTGTGGTTAAGATTTAATTATAGAACGACGTCAACACCAAATTCGAAACGTATTAATCTAGAGTACAAAAATTGTCACAGTTCCAATCCTACCCTAATTCGGTTTCCAATTCCAAGATCCCCAAATTTCCACTCGATAAGGAAAATTCAAAGAAGGAAAACTTATAAAAATATGAACCTCGTACCTTGTCTTCACGGAATGGAATGCAATATATAAAGATCGCTTGTGCGAGCCTATTTATTCTACGATAACAAGTATTTCGTCTTCATAGTAAACATGGCGTCTGAATCTTTTGATTCTCTTGCTGCTTTAATGGCAGATTTGGGTTTAGATTCAAACCCGACTGCTGGTGAAATTAGGGTAGAAGAAGACTTGAATTTAACAATTGGGTATAGATTTTCACCTTATGATTATGAGTTGATTCTTTATTATCTCCTAAAGAAGATCTTGGACTTGCCTCTTCCTTTGAATATTATCACAGAGATTGATCTTCACCAGTATGATCCTGACCAGCTTCCAATTAGTAAGTTTTTTTTTCTTCTTTCTTTCTTGGTTTATTGAAAAAAATATTTATCATTAGGGTTTTTAAAAATTTTAATTTTTTATGTAAATAAAGATGATCGGATTTATTGATATTAATATGCGACGCATTTTATATTAAGGAAAACCAAAATTTAATATATAAGATTAAGTGTATTTATATTTTCTATTTTCAACTGTTTTTTTAAGAATTAAGTTTATCATTTTTGTTCTACAACAACCGTATCACAATTTCTATCTATTTTCTAACAAGTAATATCTGAGTATCTAAAGCTAACAGGTAAGGATCGGTTGTTGCAGGTGAATTTAGTTATGGCAAGCCAGGAGAGGCATATTTTTTTACACAGAGAGAAAGAAAATATTCATGCAATTCACTGTCAAAAAGGACCACTACAACTGGTTACTGGAAAGCTACAGGTCTTGATGTTAAGGTATTTCACAAGAAACTACATATACATATTGGATTCAAGAAAACTATGGTTTTCTACTGGGGAAAGGCACCAGAAGGAATCAGAAGCCCATGGATCATGCATGAATATAGACTCAATCCTTTTTTGTTTCCTGAAGCTCAGCAGGATGATACCCTTAAGAGCAAGGTAAGTTTAAGAACAAATTAATATATATTAATTTCTTTAACATTAATTAATTATGTTCTGATTAATTTTTTTTTTTTCTGTCAGATTGAGAGCTATGTGGTATGCAGAATTCGAGACAAAAGTGATAGTTTAGATGGAATAGAAAGACCTGGACAAGGGTTGGACGAAAAAAATAAAGATTAGACGGAAAAATTTCCAAGAACGGCAATGTTTGAACATCAGTTCTTGTTCTTATTTTAATTTATAAGAGTGAATTTAGTTTTTTTCCTATATATAAAAATTAATATCTTACTAGTTTTTTTTTTTTTTTTTTTTTTTTTATCTTACTAGTTTTTTTTTTTTTTTTTTTTTTATTTTCCTGTTGCTACTCTCAAGGGTATCACTTTGGGAAAATTATATAAGTTTTGTTGGACACAATAATATTTTAGTCTTTTGTCATTAAAAGGTGTCATTTTTTGGCTAAACCCTATAAAATTCTCAATCTTTTAAACAAGTCATTTAGTTTGAGTTGTTTTTTTTTTTTTTTTTTTTTATTTTCCTGTTGCTACTACTAAGGGTATCACTTGGGAAATTATATAAGTTTGTTGGACAAACAATATATTTTAGTCTTTGTCATTTAAAAGGTGTCATTTTTTTGGCTAAACCTATAAAATATCCTCAATTTTTAACAAGTCATTTAGTTTGAGTGTGTCAAGTGCGTCCAGCGACAACAATTTTTACAGTGTTCGAGTAATATTTTTATAGCGTTGGCCAATATATAACTTTTTATAAGAGATTAACCCTTCGGTAATATATAGCTTTCTATAAGAGATTAATTCATGTAATTTTTAATTTTAAGTATAAGTTTAAACTAGAGGTTGAGAGGTTAATCACTGTAAAATTTAACTTTTAGTCTAAGTTTGAACTAGAGATACCGTTTTATAAAAGATTAATCTATGTAATGTTTAACTTTTTAACTTTTAATGAACAGTTACTTAAACAGTTTAACGCTATGAAAAGTTAACTACTCATATTAGCCTCGATAACATTTAGCTTTTCAACTTTTAATGAGAAGTTACTCAAACAATTAAACAATTTTAAAATAGCCAACAACTAACAAAACAGTTAATTCTGTAGAATAAACCTTTTGTCTTTTTATTGAAATTAATGGCAAAGAATGTAATTTTTGATGGCAAGATCTCACACTTATACGGTGCAAATGTCAAAGACAATAATTTTTCTAAATAGTAAAAATAAAAGGCGTAATGCATAATTTTGCTGTTGAATTATTACAGTTTCTTCTAGCAACCCCATAAACTTTGCGGGGGTTTTATCACGACTATGTACTAACAAATCATGACCATTCCTAAAATGTAAAAAAGAAGTGAATACACGCACTTAATGATGTAGATTGAGTAATAACACGTGTAATTCATATAGAGACCAAATGTTGACTGGGAAGAAATAAATAAAATTAAAATTAAAAAAATGATGACAGGAAAAAAATAAATAGAAAGAAAAAAATGATATTAATCAAGGAAAAGTCGCTATTTTTATTAATTTGCTTTCTTTTCAGAGATTGTTGGTCAATCTTTTTTCATTCAATGTGCACGAAGAGCAATGTAGAACTGGGCGAGGCAAAGCTTAGAAGCGACGGGAGAATTAGAGTCAAAAACTAGATAACTCATAACAGCAGGCTTGGCTATTGATCTGTAGAGCAAGCCGAGGAGATTCTATGGTGGTAAGGAGCTGAGAATAAGTTGGCAAAAAGGAAAAAGGAATGAGACTCTTTGAAGGGATTCAGTCCAATGCTAGGTTATATACTGATTCTTAGTTAGAATACAGCCACACCGTCATCTTCGGCATCATCATTGGAATCTCCACTTTGCCTTTTTTCTCGATCAGTCCTGCTCCTGCTTTTGTTCTTGACGTTAATAGTTCTCCTTTGGGCTTTGACGGTTTACATACAAGGCTCATATCTCATGGACCAAGTTTTTGATCTAATGGCATTAGGAAGCCACGTTGGACACGCATTTGGTGATTCACTCTCCCAAACGCTATTGAATGCACATTCTTTTTTAAATCACGGTAAAACTCCTATAAAGTTGAGAAGCTACTAGAAAAAACGGTGACAAGGGTAAAATTATGTGTTAAGCTAAAAATAAAATAGTGATTTCCAATTATTTTTTATTTAAAATTATTATAAATATAAAAAATCCCGTGACTAAATTGAAAATAAATTACATAATTTTTAATCTTTTCCGCAGCTTCTAGAACAAAAGTTGACAGTCTAATTCCATCACGTTCCGTTAGTCTTTGCAATCAATTGAGAATTGTAAAGTTATAAAAGATGATTTATGTGACAGAAGACAATTAATCTTCACAATATTGCTAAATTAAGTGAAGATGCATTTAGAATAATAACGTAATGCCTACTCTTCAATCACCAAACTCACATAAAAAATCTGTCGCAAGGATTGCAAAGTGCTTCAAGTGGGCCCATTCACCTAATTATTTTTAATTTTACTTTTAATTGTTTTTATTTCGAATAATTAGAGATTAATTATGTCCAAAGAAAGTTGTTTTTTTTTTTTTTTTAATCGAAACTTTGCATTACTCATAACAAGGAATTAAACATTGTGAAATTCGATTCCAGGTATGGAGACAAACAAAAGAATATGAAGCTCTAATTAACATATGAATTCCAATATTATCTTGTCTTCTAATCTATCTAATAGTCACATCTAGCTTAGAGACTAACAAATCGTTGCAATTGTTTGGATAACCTCCCAAGTCCCACACCGAACAAAAATGAAAAAAGGAACCAAAATATAATGGTTCAACCCAACCCATTAGTATGAGGTTTTTTGGGAGGTGCCCAAAAACAAATCCGTGAGGATTTGGCCCAAAGCGGACAATATCATACTAATCCGGGGTTAGATGAGGGTACGCGCGGTCCCAACAACGCAATCACTAATAATTAACTCAAGTTCAGAAAAATCTAAATTAGAATAGTTTAAAGAATAAAGAATAGACTGACAATTGTAAAAATGCAACCTGGAGAGAGCTTATTATTCATGAAAAACATTAGAAAGGAAATCAACTTTAACATGACTTGGAACCTCACTCCAAACCTCAAACTATCATGAAAACAAGATACTCTAATAAGTGCGTGCTCTTGTGAATATAAACTTAAAAAGCTTCAAAATAAAAATTTTAAAATCACTAACTAATTAGATTTTTGATACACCAAGTCATACCCTAACGGTAAGATTCGAAATTCCTCCCACCCAAATGCTCAAAATAATAATAATAATAATAATAATAATAATAATAATAATAATTTTCATCAACTATAATTTGATAATTAAAGTTCTTATCAAATAAGTTTCGTTTAACTGCTCGGTACAAATTAATCATCAATTTTCATGAAAAAACTAAACCAAAAATCTTTTTATTCTAAAAAACTCCTATTGTATTTTTAAAGTAATTGAAAAAATCAATCAGATGATATTTTGATTCTTCATTTGTTAATATGATTTTTTTATTTATTTTATTTTTTATATTAATTTTACTAAAATTAGATAATTGACAGTATCTTATTATGCCGGACATTATATTGCTCGTCTTTGCCACCTCTCAATTAAATAATAGTAATTCATTTCAAAATAATAATAATAATAATAATAATAATAATAAACCAAATTGTAGTGTCTTACACATTCAATTCAAATACTCTTGCATATTCGAATGTTCATAGTTTTAAAATTATTATTTTCTTCTAATTTGGATCTCTAACTACCACTTGTATATTATATGACTTCCATCTTACTCAAAATTATGTTCTCACCCACCATTTTATATTCTTTTGCAATTTATTTTCTAATATTTTATCATTTTATTATATATTGTTGTTTTATGTTGATACTATTTTATAATATAATTAAATATATTCCTTTTTATTAATATCTTTTATTTTTTTAAGAGAAATTTTTACATCCTATATTTCTTTAATTATATATATTTTTTTGGTACAAGACTGAAGGAATATTAAAATAAAATAAAATAGATAATATGCAACACTATTTTATTTTATTTTTATCGAAATTGAATGAGTTACTTCATATAGATAATTATTTTTGCTAGTAAATTTAAAATTAATTAATGTATTAATTAAAAATCCATAGGTAGTATGTTGATTCATGTTTGTTATAAAGGAACTTTCTTATAAGTTAGACCATTTGCTATTGGTAGTGTCGGTGGATCAATAATTAATTTATATTCATAGGCCAAAGATATCTAAATGTTGTAATTTTGCATTTAATACTTAATAAATGAGAAATATATATAAACTAATTATTGTTTAATGCATTGTTACAATCTCGTATCACAATAGCATTCTAAATTACAATTATAATTAAATTATAAATAAAAAATGCATTTATTAGCAGACGATAGTATAATTTATCTAACTTTTTGACTATCGATAAATGAATTGACCAAAGAGTGGCCACTGGACACGTAAACAAAATCTAAATGGTCCATATTAAGGGATAAATTATGTAATTTCATTATTTTGAGCATTAATGGTTAATGATGTAATTAGTGAAAAATATATATATAAATATTTTTGCTTTGTAGAAGTTGTTTTTATTTAAAATTATGTTTTTTTTAAAAAAATAAGCAGTATTAATTAATTTTTTGTAATTTTAGTATTGTTTTTACTAAATAAAATAATGATATGCGTGCAATCTATTAAAACCTATCTTATTATTTTTCTATTTTCTTATTTTAATTTTAGTTATAAATTAATTAATTAAGAATAGAGTAATTATATGAAACGAAGAGCAAATTTGGTTAAATTGAATAATATTTTATTATAATTTAATTATTTTTTGAATTAACCTATAAAAACTTTAAATGACAATAGTAAAATAGTAACTCGTATTTTATTATAATTTAATTTAATTAATTATTTTTTGAATTACCCTTAAAAACTTTAAATGACAACAGTAAACTCTGTGTTACAAAAATGAATTGAAATATAATATTTTGTTTATAGAAATTAAGATCAACTTTATATAAAATTGACAAGAAGCGTTTATTACATTACAATTCATTACATAAATTTTATTTAATCCGTTGGGAATAAATTACTGTGGTTGATTGACCGTTGACGCAATTAAAGTACTTATTTTTTTTTTTTTTAAAAAAAAAGAAAGAAAGAAAGAAATGGCCCATCCTATAAGTGGTACAAGTTTTTGAAAATGGAAAATCGAAGTGGTTAGATCATGGAAACCTGAGTAGAAAATATATACTAAATCTCTATATAAAGAGAAGCGTCCCTTTGATCTCCACGTTCTTCGGCAAGACCATTTTCTCTCTTCTTCTCTGTCACACCTCCTTCACTCTCTCTCTTTGTTAACCGTAAATTGCAAGGTATAATCTCATCTGATTTATCTCCTTCCTTTCACTTTTTGATCTGTTCTTGCAAATGGGCAATTTTGCTTTGGTGTTTGGTTATATGGGCTTATGTTTGTTTTAAGTAGTAAGCTTGTTACGGAGTTGGGGTTTTAGTTTGTATATGATTCAGTCTATGTGAACAGATCTGTAGTTGTTATTTTGGTGTATAGATCCATGATAACTGTTTGTTATGGATCCCGTAGCTGAAATTTCTGTTTGTGATTTATTCATTACATTTGAATATTTTAGGTTTTTGGAATTTGTTCATTTTGCGTATTAGATCTATGTTACGTCTTCGTTTTGGATCTGATAGCTGAATTTGCTCTGTGGCTTATTGATTGCATTTTAAGATTTGCGGGTACTGGAATTTGTTCATTTTGGTTTTGAGAACTTCTATTAGCAGTTACCTATGACCTGGTGTCTGTAATTTATAAGGCAATGGACTCCAATCATAGATCTAGAAATCTAATCCCCTGAATTATCATTGATTTGTTTGCTTCAATTCAAAATTGAAACCACATAACTGCCAAGTTCCAGTTCAATGGGATTTAATTTTGAGTGTTTTTGTGATTCTTCATTTAGTTAGTATTCAATCTGCATACATTTTAATTAAATTTATAGTTCACAATTTAGTTTAGAGGAAGAATTATTTATTCTGGATTTATTACATTTATGTTATCAGACAAGTGATGTGTTAAAAAATTTGGAGTTTGGGCGATTGAGAAGGTTTTATCTTGTCTTGGTCATTTATGTCAACATAAACTTGCTGTGGACTGTTGTCTTTTTTCTTACTGTAGGCTATTCATTTCATAGCAGATAAACATGGTGAAGATTTGTTGTATTGGTGCTGGCTATGTTGGTGGGCCCACCATGGCGGTGATTGCTCTGAAGTGTCCAGAAATTGAAGTAGCTGTAGTTGACATTTCTGTGGCACGAATCACTGCCTGGAACAGTGAGCAACTCCCCATCTATGAGCCAGGCCTTGACGGTGTGGTGAAGGAGTGTAGAGGAAAGAATCTTTTCTTTAGTACTGACGTGGAAAAACATGTTTCGGAGGCTGATATAGTCTTTGTATCAGTTAATACCCCAACCAAAACCCAAGGACTTGGAGCTGGCAAAGCAGCTGATTTGACTTATTGGGAGAGTGCTGCTCGAATGATTGCAGATGTATCAAAATCCGATAAAATTGTTGTTGAGAAATCAACTGTCCCTGTGAAAACAGCTGAGGCAATTGAAAAAATTTTGACCCACAACAGCAAAGGAATCAACTTTCAGATTCTATCGAACCCCGAATTTCTTGCCGAAGGAACTGCAATTCAAGACCTTTTTCATCCAGATCGTGTTCTAATTGGTGGCAGGGAGACTCCAGAAGGACAAAAAGCAATTGAAACATTGAAAGGTGTTTATGCCCATTGGGTCCCTGTGGAACAAATTATATGCACCAACCTTTGGTCTGCCGAGCTCTCTAAACTTGCTGCAAATGCCTTTTTGGCACAGAGGATTTCCTCTGTCAATGCCATGTCAGCCCTCTGTGAAGCCACCGGTGCAGACGTTGCCGAAGTTTCACATGCTGTTGGTAAGGACACAAGAATTGGGCCCAAGTTCTTGAATGCTAGTGTGGGTTTTGGTGGATCTTGTTTCCAGAAAGATATTTTGAACTTGGTCTATATTTGCGAGTGCAATGGTCTTCCTGAGGTTGCGAATTACTGGAAACAGGTAATTAAGGTAAATGACTACCAGAAGACCCGCTTCGTGAACCGTGTGGTTTCTTCAATGTTCAACACAGTTTCAGGAAAGAAGATTGCAATTTTGGGATTTGCTTTCAAGAAAGACACTGGTGATACTAGGGAGACCCCTGCTATCGATGTTTGCAAGGGCTTATTGGGCGACAAAGCTCAACTGAGCATATATGACCCACAGGTTTCAGAGGACCAAATTCAGAGGGATCTCTCTATGAAGAAATTTGACTGGGATCATCCAATTCATCTTCAACCAATGAGTCCAACAGGTGTCAAGCAAGTTAGTTGTGTTTGGGATGCTTATGAGGCTACAAAGGATGCTCATGGTATCTGCATTCTTACTGAATGGGACGAGTTCAAAACTCTTGATTACCAGAGGATTTATGATAACATGCAGAAGCCTGCATTTGTTTTTGATGGCCGTAATGTTGTAGATGTTGAGAAGCTGAGGCAAATTGGGTTCATTGTTTACTCCATTGGTAAGCCATTAGATGCATGGTTGAAGGACATGCCTGCTGTTGCTTAAAATCCCAAGACTGCATGACTTTAAGTAGCTTGTGAGTTGTGACTGGTGTTGTGGAATCGTATATGACAGGCATTATCATGTTATAATTCTTTTTCCCTTTAGCCATTTTATAATCTCTTCCAGTTTTGCTATTTGGTTGTTTTTCTTTATTTTTGTAAGGATTTCACGGCAGGATTATGTTTAGATCAATTTCCATTAGTAGAAAATTTGAATATTTTGTTCTTATTGGTTTAATGTAATAAAGCAGATCTTGAGAAATTATGTGATGACCTTTGTCCATTTAATCTTGCATTTTACTTCCTGAGGTTACGGATTTTAATCTCTTTTTGTCTTAAGGAAATTTCCGAACCAACAGTTAAATCTCTATTACTCGCTGCATATACAATGCAATTGGTGGTTTGATGCAGATGATAGTTATTTCATAGTATGAATAGTTACTAGTACTTGATTTCTATTTATATTATATTTAAATTTTATTAATTTCATCAAAATAATCAATATTTTTTCTTTCAACTTAATATTTTTTATGATATTTAATTTATAATTATTTAAACATAATAATTTTTCTGAGGTTACGGGATTTTAATCTCTTTTTTGTCTTTAAGGATTTCCGGTATTACTTCACAGTTAAATCTCTATTACTGTCGCTGCATATACAATGCAATTGGTGGTTTGGATGCAGATGAATAGTTTATTGCATAGTATGAATAGTACTAGTACTTGATTTCTATTTAATCATTATATTAAAGTTTTTATTAATTTATCAAAATAATCAATATTTTTTTCTTTCAAAGCTTTAATATTTGTTTATGATTTAATTATAAATTAGTTTAAACATAATAATTTTTATTAATAATTTATTTTAAAAATAATAATTTTTATTAAATATTATTTTAAATAATTTAATTTTTATTATATGAACGTTAAAACAAAAAAAATAATATATTCACCTTAGAATTTTTTCAATATATTAATTTTTATTTTTATTTAAATTAAATAAAACATAAAATTTTGGATTTTTTTTTGCCATCAAAAAAATTTATAAAATTAGTATTTCTTAATGGTAGCTTGAAAAAATCACTTTAAATGGTCCAATCAAATAATAGAAAAGTAAAAGAAAAAATCTATAATTCAAATATAATTCAACCAAGTTATAGAAAAATAAAGAAAAAAAATTAAAAAAACCAAATATAAATATCGAAAATTCAACTGATCGTAGCTGGGGTTTAGATAGAGTTCTTAATTCTCGATCACAAATATCCTTTTTTCTAAATAATCCTACATAAATAAAGTTATGCAATTTAAATAATTTAATAAAGATAATTTATATTAAAGAAAAAAAATTAATTTTTGAACATAAAAAAAATGCAAGTGGTTAGGAAAAATAGAATTTTGAAGAGAAAGAGCAATAATATTCATTAATAATGCTTAAATTAGAAAGACTAAAGTTTCAATGTTACGATGTTGCTTTGGTCAAAGTATGAGTTGACTCTATTCGTGGATAGTAATTAAGAAGATATTATGTTTAAGAATATAATTAATTAATTAATGAAAGAAAATCTAATTATTGAAATTTAGAAAAAAAATTTCAAATAAGTTATTATATTTCAGAAAATTGTGCCAGAACAGGAGCTTGACTTTTTTTTATTATTATTATTATTTTAAGGAAAACCAGGCATAATTGATTGAGGGACCTTAATGTCATTGCACGGGAGATCCGGACCGGTTTATTTATAATAAGGTCCAGCTCCTTACAAAGAAAACCCGGTCTATCTTTCGGATCGCGTCGTGTACAAAAAGCGCAAACCTGAAATTCGTATTCATCGTCGCCCTCTCCCAAATTCAACCTGAAATCGATCTCCGATATCTCTTGATTTTGACGATTATTCTTCGAATCAAAACTCAATTCGTTTAATTCAAACTCTCCTCTTTCGATCGATATCTCTTTCGACTTTTGCCGTTAGTTCTGACATATTCTAGGGTTAGGGTTTCGCGTCGTGCTCTCTTCGGCTCTCTAATCTCTCTATTTCGTATGGGTGTTGAGTCTCCTCTGTATATATCTTAATTTCCCCATTGATTTTGGCTCTATTTTTGTATATTATTGCTGTTCTGTTCGACCTTTAGGGTTTCGAAGTTTTCGATTCGTGTAGGATTTGTTGCAATCTGTAAATTGGTTTAGGGGTTTGATTCTCTTTGTTATTTCGCCTCTTATCATCCTCTTTTCCGTCCGAATTTGGTTGGATATTTTGTGAATTGGGAATTTAGGGTTAGGGTTTTTTTATGAAAATTTGTAGGTTCCCTTTTCATAAATTTGTTTAGGGATACGCCTAACCAAATCAATTAGTATCTTGGCGATACAATTGGGGATCCTTTACGCCTAAATTAAGTGCCATACTACTCCTATTCTGTTTGGTATTTTGAATTCAAGGAATTTGGAGGTAAATGCACGTTGTTACTCTCATTATTGTTGATTTGTCATATTTGTTAGCATTTACGTTTGGTTATGGTATAAAATATGTTTCATTGTGTGGTTGGCTACTAGCTAGCTTGGCTATATGTTTTCGTTGAAGCTCACTGTATTGTGGTAAAAATTGAAATAGTTACTGGTTAGCTTGCTTTTTCTCATATGGTACCAAGTCACAATGTGTTAGCTTAATAGTTAATTTGACAAATATTCGTTAAAATGGAACGCTCTGACATTAAGCATTTTTGTTTCCATGTCTGTTTATATAATGTTCAATCTTTATCTGTGTTCCCACCATTCATTAGTTATGCCTTTTGTGACCATGCATCTGCCATTAATAAATGCTTCAGGAATGTATTCTTTTCTTTCTTTAGAACACATATTTTTATATACTAACTATTATTCGTATCTTCTTGTATCTCATACTTAGCTAATTGTCTTATCCCCAACTTTTATTGTTTTCAATTTTGAATGAGCTAAAGGCTTCTTGTAAATATTAATCCTTTTTCACCACACCTTTTTCCCATTGTATTATCGACTTGCTGAGATATGCAATTGTTTCTGGCATTTGAGGGTATAGGAATTCTGCTTCAACTTTGTCTCAGTTTTAGTTCTTTGTCTTGCAGACTAAAATGGGATTCAAACGGCCTTTTGATAGTGATGAGTTCCAGGAGCTTCCTTTTAAGCAGGCTAGACAGTTGGACTTCGGCAATAACTTGACTCAGTTTGCACATTTGTATAAAACTACATCCCTGGCACTTGATGTTACAGGTAAAAGTTGTGGCCACTTTCTTGTATGTCTTTATTTTGCCCTTTGCTTGGTGTTTTGTTAACCTGACTTAACTATCTATATGCCGATTCATTTGAAACTGCCATTTGTTTATTGATTTTGTTTATTTTGTATGAAGCAGATGATTATGATAGAGGCTTTGTAAAATCTCAACATCATCACACATTTGAAAATAACACTGTCTTTGAAGTTCCAAATTTCTCAAGAGATATTGAGATCAGTGCTCCTTTGTCTTTGGTCACGAGCAGTTCTAGTGATGAAGATGTTGGTTCCAGGGCAGCAGCAGCAGCTTACCCTTATTCTCAGGGGCATTCTGAATTTGATTTTCCTCGGAGATTTGTTCCTTTTGAGGATGCCTACTGTTCATACTTGGACCGTTCTCCTAGAAGACAAGTTCCTCTTGGACCAAATCATCAAGCTAGCATTCCAATTTGGGGTGGGCATTTAAAGAACCCATTGGAAAGGGAAGGTTCATTCAATCCAAATAGCTACTCTTTAGTGTCTGAATCAAACAATGATATATACAATGACAATGAAGAGAGGATGATGGGCACCTGTATTATGCCAATGCCGGATGCAGAATCATCTGAAAATAAGAATAATGAGGCTGGCAATGGCAGAACAGATTGTTGTTGCCTAGATGAAGGCTCTGTTAGATGTGTAAGACAGCATGTAATGGAAGCTAGGGAAAAACTCAAAAATTCCCTTGGGTATGAAAAATTTGAGCATTTGGGATTTTATGACATGGGAGAGGAGGTGACACGTAAATGGAGCGAGGAAGATCAACGGGCATTTCATGCTGTTGTATATTCCAATCCTGCATCCTTTGGCCAGAATTTTTGGAAGCAATTGTCACAAGTTTTTGCTACTCGATCCACGAAGGAAATTGTCAGCTATTACTTCAATGTCTTCATGCTTCGGAGGAGGGCTGCTCAGAACAGATCCAACTTGCTGGACATTGACAGTGATGATGATGAGTTGCATGGAATCAATAGGGGATCATATAAAGTTCAAGTTTCAGAAGAAGATGATGACTCTGATATTGACTCTGTTGATCAGAACGATCATGCAGATCATAGAGATAATATTCCCATTGAAGACGACGATGACGACGACGACGACGACGACCATGATGGTGATGAGGATCTGGGAGATGGTGGTGGAGATGCCACAGGTGAAGATTCTGGGATAGATTATGTCTCAGAAACACCTGATACAAAGTCATTTGATGGAAGCAGGTTAAATGCTGCTGCTGTTGAGCATGTTGGTAATAATGCAGGAATTGTCAGAGAGGATTTCACTGTTCAAGATGATTCATGCATGTCGTTTGAGTTCCAAGCTGATAAGGATGACTCTTGTGATCCCGGTGACACTGGGGCGGCTCTGCAAGTGAACAGTGCAACTAAGAGTGATAACAGAGCATGCTTGCCTGGTAATGGGGATGAATACAGTGATGCGGTGGATCATGATCATGTGTACTTACTGGATCCTTGTGATGCTAAAGCTTGGGATGCCCGATATACAGTTCCAATAAAAGGTGTTGAGCTTCTACCCACATGCAACATGATTGAAGAAATTTTTGGACAAGGAACAAGCAGTGATTAGAACAGAAATAACCACCGAAGGAGCTATTGCCATCCTCAGTGTACAGTTAGTGTGACCTTTTCAAGGGTCTGGATCCTGGGAGTTCTCTAGCTAAGCAAATTATGCAAGAAAATTTCTTTCTAGAGGATGGCCGTTTTTCCTTTTTGTGAAGTAGGAAGGGGGGGAATGGAATGAAAAAAAAAGCAGATTTTTGTTTTTGGTTTTCTTGATGTACACATTCATTTTGTGGAATGTAAAATTCACGAGTTTTGTTAATATAGGCTCTCTCAATTTTAGGAATATATGTATCTAACTATTTACAAAAAGGACAGTGAAGGCTAGTGAAGTCCTGGTTGGTTCTAATCCCAACCTTATATTGAAACCTTGATGGAGAAATGGATTCCAACCTTGGTTCTCACTTGGATTCCAGTTTTGAATTATTTTTAACAAGAACGTTTCAAATTTATTGTAAAAAAAAAATTTGATAATCTCTAAACCAACGATAGTTTTATCTGCTACCAAAGCTGGTTCATGTGAGACTTGGGTCTACTTTATTTTTCTAATTTTATATTGTTAAGGATTTGGAAAACACACAAACAAAAAAAAAATGCATACATAATAACCAAAAAGAGCAGAAAGACAAAGAAGAAAAAGTTAGGCAGCTTATGAAACTTGTGGAAAATAATAATTTATTAGTTTAAAAAATGGGTTTATCTTCTTCATCCGCCAAAGCTTAATTTCATATTAGCTTTTGACTGATTACAGTTTAGTTCAGTGAATAAATATCAGCAGCTTTCATTTCTTGTTGTTATGTTCAAAGTCAATGTTGCAAAAGATTTTGAAACTTTCCAGTGAACTTCTGACAACAATTTGCCAACTAGAAGACAGTTTCACCTTTAGAAAAATAGCAGAAAAATGGAAGGCAAAAGCAAAAGCTTGAGCCTGACCAATGACCAGTGACCAGTGACCAAGACCAACCATTCCAACACAGAAAGTTCCATTTGTTTGTTTCACGTTGGCTGCACTTAAAATTCTAAGTACCTTTTCCTCTTTTTTTCTTTTTTTTTTTTTAAAGAAAAATTAAGGGAAAATAATGATTCCTAAATTATATAAAAATTAATGTGAGTCCCTCTATTTTCAAAATTCTATGGCGTTTTTCAATTTTTAATTTCATTCTACTATGAGATCCTTCTATTTAAAAAATTTAATTTTCTCTATTAGAATACCACGTGAAATGACGAAATATTTTTTCAAATGATCTTTTGCAAGCTTAGAAAGGAGGGAATTTTATTTCTTTCACCTGCCTTTTAACCGGAAAAATAGTACTTTTTGGCTAGAATGACCTTAGAGATCATGGAATTAAAACTTAAAGACTTCTAAATTACTTTTTGAAAATAAATTGACTCGTGTTAATTTGGATATAATTTAAAAAGTCATTTATATTTGTCCCTTAAATTATTTTTCTCTCATTTTCTTTTCATAATGATTAATGAATAGCTTTCATCCTTTTTCAAAAAAAAAAAATCAACATTTTTTTAAAAATAAAAAAGAATTTTATAATAAATAAAAAAAATGTACTTCATACCCTTTATTACGTAGGAAAATGGAACGAGATTAGAAAAATGGGAGGGACTACTACACCTTTTATTACGTAGTGGATGCCCACTATATTTTTAAAATAAAGATAAATTTCAATATATATAGTAAAATATAATGCAATATAACTAAATACATTTCTAATATAGATGCTAAATTAGAAATATATTTAATTATAGTAAAAAAATGCAATATTAGGAGTCTAAATTTTGAAATTACCATTATTGGGAGGAATTTATCTAAATACCATTTTAGTCCAAATATATAATTATATAAAAAATACATTTTAATATATTACATTACATTTTATTATAACTCCCAGCAGTATAAGGTGGTTGACTTGATCAAAGCAAGTACAAAAGTGATTAAGAAGAAAAATGCATATTTTAAACATTATTATTATTATTATTATTTGTAATTAGGGTTAGAAAATGACAAAAATAAAATTCCATCGAAATACGTAACATGTCAGGTGTTGTTTGTGACTGTGATCTAAAACCAGCGTACATAAGGGATTACCTTCTCCCTGGGATTTTGACTATTGACTTTGGCCATGTTTAGTTGTAGACCACACCGCACCCAATTTTATTTTCCTTAACGTTGGTCTAATTTTTTATAATACACTCACGAGAATTGGATGATCTCATTTTATTTTGTTCTATTTTCATTTAATTCTTCTATTTTAAGGATTAAATGTTAGTGAGTGTGAACTCTTTGATCTGCTAATTAGTATTTCTATATATAGCTGAAAATAGAGTGATCTCATTAATTGACATGAAATGAAACCGTTTTGGATTTATTAATTTGATAATTTAATACACATGGAAAATAAATCTTAAAATTCGATTTCTGTCTCACTTTAATGGGTTTACCTTAGTAAAAGATGGTGCTTTGTGGACCAATGAATTATAGTTCATTGGCATTGCTATTTGAATGAATATTAAAAGAAAAATTAAACTTTTATAGGTATAATCGAGATATAACATGTTATCTGAAATTCGATTCAAGTTCAATTGAGTTGTATTTTTCATATTCAATTTAACTTAAAAGTTTAAATAAATCAAATTATAAATATTTTTTATTGTTTTATTAAAATATTATTAATATGTAGATTTAGAATAAATTTAGATATTCAATTAAGATCATAATCAATCTAATTGAGTTGAGTATTACAATACCTAAATTAAAAACAAATCAAATGGAAAAAAAAAATTATTTGAACCAAGCTTGAATAAATAAGGAATAACTTGAATAATTTATACACTAAGTTCATGACAAAATAACGGAAAAAAAAAAAGAAAAAAAAAGAAAAAAGAGGAACATGGGTGTAATGAAGTAATTTCCTAGTACATAGATAATGATATTAATAAATGTAGAAGGGAAATGAGAGAAGCAAAAAGCCAAAAGCTTTGATGAAAATATGGAGATGGGAGAAGAAGAGGGGCAGGTGAGGGAAGCAAAAGGCCAATAACGGTTGGAGACTCTGACCTTTCACTTGTATTTGTATCAAGTTATTGGCAACAGAAGAAGAAGAAGAAGAAGACGACAAAGTAAGGCATAGTTTGGATGCTCCAGTTTATCAGAACAGAAGAGCTGAGCTTAGCTGCTTATATTGTTATCGTTAGTCTAGTATCTACTAAATCCTAATTCATTGGGATCCTCAAAAGTCTATAGTAAATCCTGACCGTCCAATCTAACACCGAAGTGTTCTCACTTGAGTACACGTGCTTCCTATCTTTTCTTCCCTTTTTAATGTTTTGCTTCCATGCATGGAATTCTCCTCCAACTACAGCACAAAACAAAGAGAGAGAAACAGAAAGAGTCATGGTTTAGCTTGATTCTTCTTTTATAGAGGCTCGTTCATCGCCATCTTTGGCGACCCATTTCTTGAAAAGCTTTGATTTTTTTTTCTCATTTGTAAAAGAAAAATTTCAACAGACAAATGGAGTGGCTGACTCTGTGTAATTGATAAAATGGGGATTTGGAGAGAGCTGTGTGTTTGGTGGGTCTGATCTTTTGTACTTGATGAAAAATAACTGTCACATCTTTTGATTCTTGTGATCAATCAATAGTGACAAATCAATAAACTTGTTTGATCTGTTTTTTGCTCTGATTGTTGATCTGGATTTTTATTTTGCTGCTCCTTCCTCTGTTTAGCACTATGATCATCATTTGGGTCTTCTCATGAAATGCAGCATTTTTGAAGACTTGAAAGGTAAGATATAAGTTACTGATCTTCTTCTCTTTACTGGGTATTTTTAATTTTCTCCAATTAGATCATGGAACCAAATCAAAAGAAAAAGTTGTTCATTTGTAAGTTTTGCAATAAGAGATACCCATGTGGCAAGTCTTTAGGAGGTCATATTAGGATCCATTTGAATGGTAATGGTAATAATAGTCATAATGGGAATGGCAATTCTACTGATTTAGAAGATGAATCTTTTGTTGCTGCTAATGGAAGCAATAGCAAAAGAGACTCAGAACTTTATCGTCTTAGAGAAAATCCCAGAAAGACTAGAAGGTTTATGGCTGATTCAAGCAATAGTCATTTTTTGCAAGAAAAAGTCTGTAAAGCATGTGGTAAAGGTTTTCAATCGTTGAAAGCTCTTTGTGGTCATATGGCTTGTCATTCGAAGAACAGCTTTGAAGATCAGTCAGAGACTACTGAGAGGCTGAAAGATCAAGTTTTTGATAGCCAATCAGATACTGAGACATCAGCTCCAAGTAAGAGAAGGAGATCTAGAAGAATGAGGTATAAGACTATTGGTGTTTATTCTTCTTCCTTATCTTCTGCTGCTTCTGATTTAGAGCAAGAGCAAGAAGAGGTAGCTATGTGTTTGATGATGCTGTCTAAAGATTCTGGTTTTAAAGGGTGTTTTAGTTCGATTGCTGATTCTTCAGATAACAATTCTGTGGTTTTAGAGACTAAATCATCATCATCGCCTGAATTGAAAATTGGTATAAAGAAAAATGGTGTTAATTGTGTATATAACAATGGTAATGCGGTTTTGGAGATGAAGAAAGCAAAGAAACAAGTTATGTCCACTGAAAATGATCAATCTGAGAATTCTGATTCTGGGTATTTTAGAAATGGGCCTAAAAAGGTTGAATCTGAAATTTCAGTTCATGGGTTCGTTGGGAATGATAAATTCAAGAAACATAAAGTTGAATTTAGGTCTAGATTCGAAGAAGAGGACATTGATCCTGAACTAGGGAAAAGATTAAGTGGGTTTAGGCGAATTAAAAAGGAATTGGGGAAGGATCTGGTTAGGGAAGAAGAATCAAGAAAGAGAAGCAAAAATGAGTTTAACAATCTTGAATTTCTTAGCAGTAATGGTTCAAAGATTGTTAAGCGTCCTTCTGTTGCTGTAAACAGATCAAGCCATAAAAAGAGTAATGGTGGTTGCAGTGATTCAATATATGAGAGTGGGGAAAACAGCATTAACACTGATTATGTTCCTAGTGAACTGCATAATAGTTGCAAAAGGATCAAATCTTGCAATGGAAAAAACCCAGTTGAGCAGAAATTGTCTGGCAATGCAGAGAAAAAATTTGGGACTAAAAAAGGCAAAGTACATGAATGTCCATTTTGCTTTAAGGTGTTTAGGTCGGGTCAAGCTTTAGGTGGTCACAAGAGGTCCCATTTTGTTGGAGGTGGTGAAGATAGAACTGTTGTGATTAACCAACAAGTGCCTGAAATATCAATGCCAGCTCTACTTGATCTTAACCTCCCTGCTCCAATGGAAGAAGAAGCAAATGGGTACTATATACCAACATGGTAATTCTTGAAATTCTCTTCAAGTGGGTAAATCTGGTGTCTATAGATGGTCCATTTTTCGGTTTTGATGAAGACGATAGAGACTGTACAGGCAAAGTTGGTGAATGTTTTTGGTTCTTTTGCTTCAGATTGAAGGATATGTCTTACAGAGGTAACTTACTATTCTATTTGTCGCTTAAGAAATGTAAGAAGCAAAATCATCTTTTTCCCTTTTTTTGCTCTGAGATCTATAGGCCTTTTTGTTTTGTTATTAAACATAGATATAGTATTTTGAATTTCAAGTTTCTTTCTTTACTGTTGATGCAATTTGATTTTCTTTCTTTCTTTACTAATTTTTCTTAAACTTAAGTTAAAGATCTAATTATAACCTTTTGAATCCCTTTGGCCCTTTGGGGAGAAACGAAAAAAATGAAGTAGCCATTGTTGTCTCCGACTGAAATTTAAGCTTCAAACTCCAAATTCTAATGGTTCTATATAGGGTAATTGAATTGTGTGCATTGTTGTTTAAGCGTAGATCCTAAAAGAATCACGGACCACCTGCTTTGCTTTGCTTTATGGGAGACAGTAGACGATAATAATAATAATAAAGTGCCATTTTTTTTAAAGGTTGGGTGAGAAGTTTCCTTGTCAACTTACAAGCTTACTTAAAGCACTGCGTTTTCACATTTCTTCTTCACGTATTCTTTTGTTTGTACTGAATACTACAATCATCATCTCCCTGGGGAAAGTGCAATTAACCAAAAAAAAAAAGAAACATTGGAGATTCTTTGCAATTTCACTTGTTGGCTTTCGCTCAACTATTACGGATCATCTCTATGATTCTATATACTATTACAGTTAAACAGGAGATTCAAACCTAAATCAGTAAACTATGTCTTCACGTGCTCGGTTCAATTGCATTTGATAGATTGTTCTCAAGAAGTATTTAAGACTTTAAAAATTATGGTCTAGACCAAAAGTAATCCATTTAAAAAAAAAAAAATTGAAAAATAAAACTAAAAACAAAATTTGAAAAGCAGCTTCAAATTTAGTTACATATACAGCCTAATTTAAAGCCAAAAAAAAAAAAAAATCCAATCTTTCCATTTCTGTCACTCTGTATGACTTGGAACGTAGAGAGGTCACCACCGTGCCTCATACGCAAAATTCGGCGTAGAAGAGGCTCTAAAAGACTTGGTGCTAAAGACTTGTTTATGCGGTGTGCTTTTCATAGAAAAATAAAATAGAATAATAATTAGTGATATTTTTTTAATGAATTAAATTGGGTATGCAAACACCCAGTGTTTTTTTTCACAGAAAAGAAAAGAAAAAAAAATAAGTAGAGTTTGAGAGAATGAGTTAAAAAAAAAAAAAATAGAGTGAGAAACGGATTATACGACGTTAAATGATTTAATATTAAATGAAACACGTAATAATCAGGTGACGGGTGACAGCTATTACAACATTTACAGCTATATTTCAGGAAGCTGCCAAACTAATTAGGAAAAACTTTTATTTGCAGTTTGTTGTTCCAGTTGCAGGTTCCACTCATTAGGATGCTGACATTGAAAGGAGAAAATGTTGAGGAGTGGAGTGGTTAGCCTAAGTCTAACCTCACTCTTGTGTTAGAAGATTTGATGCAAAGAAGAAAAGATCGATTGGTTCTGATTTTGCGTGGAAGAATCACGAGGAATGATACAAGTTGAATTCACTTATTATTATTATTATTATTATTTTCTTTTTTTCTTACTTGCAAAAGATATCTAGGCACGTGTCCATTTAACTCATGTCTGCTTAAGAATTCACAGACTTGACTAATTTTCGCTTGCGCTTAGAGGCAAAGAGACTGGTCCGGAAAAATTTTCATTGCAGAGGACTGAAACCATGACTTTAGCCATGATGATCAACTCCATAAGTATTTTTTGTCACTGAAGTATTCCATTCGGGTTATTATTATTATTATAGGTAAAATAAATAATAAAAAAAGAAGTTTCAAGGTTGCGGTTTAGTCACCTACCAATACCATAATCTATTTATCTAGATAATTCAATTTCCTATTTAGGCTTATACGCACCGTTTTAGGCAAAATTGGTACTTTCCTTATAGTCTAGACCATAAAGTCATTCCCATGTATAATTGTTTAGTATGTTTAGGCCGTTACATACTAATTTGGACATTTTAATCTAGAATAAGAAGTAGCAAAGTCATATTGACATAAGAGCATTTATTTTTTATTGGTTGACAATTTATCAATTTGCATTGCAAGTTCAAATAGTTGTTTTCTAGAACAAAATCATATTACAAGAAAATAGTGTGCTAATATGTATTCTCTCCTAAATCACCTTAAAGAATGTATATATAGTAACTATTGCTTAAAAAAAAAAAAAAAACTTTTAAGTCGTATATGTATTTTCAAATTTAGATAAAAAATGACATTCGAATAAAGTTTTTTCAACAGTAACAATGTCTGTAATATTTAACTTTTAGCGTTTTATAAATAACTACTCAAATAACTAAATACTACTAAAAAAGCTATCACCTACTAAAATAGTCAATCTTGCAAACTTTTAATACGATAGGAGATGACATTAGACCGGATTTGGGGTTGGCCAATTGCCAGCATTGGTAATGCCATGTACGCGTATTAATTAGCCTATTATGACAACGAAATGCCACTTCCAAAATGGATCTTTGCCTTCTTGGAAAAACGAAGGAGACCTTGCCTCCAATACATGGATTTGACTTGTCTCCTACCTTCTCCTCCTTTACTTTTAGACAATGAAAGAATATATATTTTCAAAGGTGAAATGAAGTAATTTCCGCTTCTTTTACTAAAAATCTCGAGTTTCAGTGAAAATAGAATTTTATCCATTTTATCGCTTGCCGATACAAATTCAAATTAATTGAATTCATGAATAATATCCTTATAGCATAGTGCCTTGGAAAAAAAAATCAATATAAGTAAATATATTTTTGATAATATCAAAGCAATAGATTAATTACAACATGCATGATTTTCTTTCTCTTCTTAGGACAAACAAAGTACTCTACTCTCTCTATAAACATAAGACCTTTTATAATATCTTTTTTGTCTATAAATATAAGCCATTGTAGAATAGTTTTTTTTGTTCTCAAATATAAATCGTTTTGAAAATATTAAAAAGTAATTAATGAATTCTTTTTTCAATTTTCTATTATATAATTAAACATATTAATTATTAATGACGTGAGATAAATGGTAATTTAATTAAATTAATAAAATTTTTATTAGAATCTAAGCGAGTTAATTTTTTTAAGCATCAAAAAAAAAATTAAACCACTTAAATTTATGGATAAAAAGGAGTATTTAAGTTCAAAATAATTTCAATAGTGTTTTTATATGCTAATTGCCTTCACTTTCATAAAAGGGATGGGCCTGACTTTTTTTTTCTGTCCATGTCTGTTATTATGTTGTACGTTGGGCCGGCTCTTCGGCTTTTCTGAAAATCGAATTCCAATAAAAAAAAAAATCAAATTAATCAATGGAATTTACATGTATTTTTTTAAAGAAAAAAAAAATTTTAGGGAAGGAAAATTCCAAGCTAGATTTATACCAGTGAGTATAAAATAGTTAATAACTGAAAAATTAAAAAGTGGTTCAGTTTTTATTTATTTACTTTTTGCCAATTCTATAATATTAATTCTATTGATTTCAATTTTATATCTATTCAGTTCACTTTTGATTTTCATCAATTAACTCATACAACTATTTCTCTTTTTTTAATATAAAAAATAATAATAAAAACAAAAACAATAAAAAGAGAAATATATAGCCATAAATGCAATGTAATGCTACCATCTGATTCGATGGTTGAGACTGTGGAGGCTTTGGGACCTGCATGCCCTAATCGATTATACATTGTGTGGGCAACCTACTTTCATTACAAAACACAACCAATATCAAAATTTTCTTCTATTTCTTTCTTCTTTTTTTTTTTTAAAGAAAAAGACACTAATGCCCCTCCCTCTTTGTTTAATCTACTTAATTTATTTTTCATTTTTGTGATTTAAATGCATAATATGATAAAAGGTTTGATTATTATAAGCTTGATATTATATAAAATCGAGTCATCGGTCACTAAATTATAAATTCTGTTGATGTTATATTAGTAATGACTTATTTATGCATATATAAATTTAATACTTGATACTTGTTAAATTTGTTGTTATATAAAATCAAGCTTATAGTTAAGAGTATAAAGTCAGCGCGATTTCAGATTGAACTGAATTGATAAAATCAAAAATCCATTGTTTTTTAAAACTAAACCAAATAAATTATAATATAAAATTAAACCAAATTGAATTGAATTATATATAGATTTTATCTGGTTAATTCAATTCGATTTTATCATTTCTTTCATGCAAGTAAAGAAACTGTCGATTGTCAATTGATCTTATTTGTACATTATCAAATTTAACTTATTTTTAAATAAAAATCTAAAAATTAAAATCAGCCAAAACTATAAATCGAATCATCCAATTTACCTTGCTTCTAACACTTAAACAATAAGTTGAAAGGAATTTTTTAAAATAATTAAAATTAATATAGAAAACCAGGATAACAAATAATTATTTTTGAAATATTTTATTAATTTAAGAAATGTATAAAAATTTAAAACGGTGAAACTTTTTGAAATATATTTATTTATATTACGTGACATAAAATTGTTCTCTTTTTAGATGTTGAATGAACATAAAATTTAAATAAATAATACAAACGTATATTAAAAAAATGAATTGAAGAAAAGAGAAGAAAACTTTATATCATTGAGATGATTCGGCGGATGAAAGTAAGCATGTGAAAATCTTTAATCGTTCTGCAATCTTTTGATGGTACAATCATAGAGAGAATCCCTCGCTGATGAGACGTATAACAAACGCAACCAAACTGTCCAACTGCCGTCGTATCTTACAACTGTCAATAGATCGCCGAGTAATTGAGCCGTGACGGATGACCGACTAGTTAATTTTATCTTTATCATCAAAACACTTGAATTAATTGCAATAATTCTTTTTTCAGTCTCGAAGAGTTTTTATTTTATTTTTTCTTAAAAAAAAGGTGTCAAACATGAATTTTTCTCAGAATTAATTTCGGATTTACTGGGAAAAAAATTACATTTGATTTCCATAGTTGGCCCTTTTGCCTTTCCCCACTCTAATTGTACTCCCTTATCTGTTTTCTTCTTCTTATAACACAGAAAGTTGTCCTGTATATATATGGATGGTACTGCTTGTTATATCTATATCAACCAATACTGGGATTTGCCTTTTCAAGTATGAGAATGTGTAAATTCTAAATAACAAGATAATAACTTTGACATCATCGCAGGACCACTTTTTTTTTGCTTCAAGTAGGACAGGAAAAGTAAAAGACGACTTTTTACTCGGAGGAAAGAAGAAGATTAATCAGCCAGCGTCTCTATTAGTTCACGTAATTACTCATTTAAACAAATATATCTCAAAACAATTTCCTCTTGTCCTGTTGCTCGTTGAATCCGTTGGATGATCTAGAAGGGTTATTTTACTTTTTCTCAATGTGTTTTTTCAAAATTTATGAATGGATTGGCTTAATTTATCTTGTTTCAGCAGCATATCCACACTAGTTACATATTTATTCTTATATCTAATTTAAAGTTTGAAGTAACTCAAAAGAGTCAGAAGCAATTCGGTTATATATATTCCCCTCCATTTCCCTTTTTATTTTGTGGAGGAAGGAAAATAACACTGGTATGTAAAGACAATTTATAAATGAAGAAAGGTGAAAAAAGAAAAGGGCGAAAGGGTGAAATGAAAAGTGAAAAAGAGCGGAGAGTAAAAAAAAGCACTGTCGGCTGACTCTGAAGCAACATCGAAATTCACGCAACTGAACAAGCACCAAAAGAGGACGTTGGCCCACTCTGACAGTCTCTCTCTTAGACCACTATTCAAAGTTCATGTGCGCAATTTTACAGTTACGTACGAACCTTTTTCTCATAGAAGACGCAGACCACACAACTACCAAAAAAAGCTGCACTTCTTAAATCACAAAAAATTAATGAATTAACTTAAAAACACTGTTGTAGAATTTTTTTTTTTTTGACATGACTGTTGTAGAAATATTATTACATTTATATATCACAATGCCATCGTCAGGTTTGCTAATTACCACTACAGACCTAATTAAGCCAGCGGGAATTAAAATTTAATTACGCCTGAATGATCACTAGCCAAAGGCATGCAGAATGAGGACAAGCTCGCATAGATCAATACCTGGTACATGTAAACGTATCAATGAATGTAACTAAGAGATCAGAGACGGTCATTCTGATATTAGAGCTTAGGACTTACTTCCACCTAGAAAAATGCTTTGGCCTCATCTCTGCATTTAATTTCATTTCATGAGACTTGGACCTTCATATATAATGCTGCAACATCAATTCTCTCTGTACTCCATCACCTGTATTTACTGAGAAATTAGGTTTAATCAATACTTGTTAATGAACGGGGAAAAAAAGTGTAAGGAATAAATATATGCAATTAAAACAATTTTCCTAAAGAAAGGTACAAATACTTTTTATTCCTGCATGGCTACAAATAGAGGGTGGGTGAGACAAAAGGGCTTATAATATCACACACATATATATCTGCATGCTACAAATAGGAGGGGGTGGTGAACTTAATAATGGCTTATTATAATTATCACGACAGTATCACATATAAATATTATATAGTATTATATAATATATATATATATATATATTTATTATACATATATATTATATCATGTATCAAGTGCATAGCATTTTGCAGATTGTCTCCCAAAACATGAAGTACTCTCAAGTTTAATCAAAGTAAATTCCATGTTCAAACACATCAACACACCACACACATCAATATATATATATATGATGTTGGTCAATTATGCTTTTATACTGATGGTACATATCAATTAAGTTGCACCCTAAGCCCTAAATATACATATATATATATTCTATGATCAGGCATAGCACTTTTGCAAGATTTTGTCTCCCAAACATGAAAGTTACTCAAGTTTTAACAAGTATAATTCCATTGTTCAAAACACACACACACACACACACATATATATATATATGATGTTGGTCATTATGCTTTTATACTGATGGTACATATCATTAGTTGCACCCTAGCCTACCATCTCATTAAATCCATTATTATGTACACTAAATCACATCAGTAGCACCGCATATTTGTTCTTCTAATATATTATACCATTCTGCTAGTTAAAAACCTAGCAACTATTTAAACTTCAACACCTTTCTTGCGCACAAATGTAGAAGCTGAAATTCGTCAATAAGATTTAATAAAATTATCTTACCAAGCAGAATTAAAGTTCATGAGCCCATATACATGTGCATTATAAATGAGAGTGTTTGAAACCACTTATACAAAACCAATTAACTTTTGCTACGTCTACTTATGTATCCTTATATTTATTATTTAATCCATATGAGATCCGTTTCTTGACACGAGTCAATAAATTAATTGGTTACCGAGTTGTGTTGATAGGAAAACCAAAAATGCATTTAACTGATTGGAACTTTACTGATATGTTTGACTAACAAAAACAATTATTTATGCACATAAATGGATAATGTTTATTTTTTCAAATTAGGTTAAGGAAGTAATTTGTACCATTTAAATCTCATCTATTGCGCATTCCAGGAGGCACAATGTCGCCAAGCAGTCCTTCATCTATTGGAAGCTGGTGGGTTGGGCGGTGTTGTGCACCGGGTTCCACTGTTTGCACCGGTCCTTGCTGTGAGTGTGCAATAGTTGGGGGATTTTCTTGAGGTAACTGAACTCCGTGGTAATAAAATTGCGACATTTGGGGATTCAAAGGGTTAACAAAAGTGGCTTCATGACTAATGATTCCACCTCTGGGAAAACCAACAGTATGATGACAATGCTGGCCTTCATATGTAGTAATCACAATGCTTGGATCATCAGAAGATCGTTCAACCCTCTTCTTCACGGTACATTTGCTGTTTGTACAACGATAGTAGCTCCTGATGCATATTTGGTGGAATCAACAACAACATGGACAGGAAAAAATTATATTTGTAGAATATGACTCTTCTTTTTTCATATGTAATCCCTTATGAATCTAATTTAAGATGATTGTTAGCATGCAACTAACATGTAAATCAGATTGTTTAATATTTAAGCTGTAACCAAAAGCGAGCAAGGGTGACATAAAGTTTTGGAACAGAAATTAATCTGAGAATAGGAAAAAATAAGAGGAGAAGGAATTAATAAGAGAAGATGAGTTGCAGACCTGGGAAATGGACTATTTTTAACTGCTTTCTGTCCATATTTCCGCCATCGATAACCATCCTCAAGATGATCAACTTCACTCTTAGTCATAAATGCAAAACGTGGCTGGCGCATTCGTTTCTGTCCCTTCTTTCTAACCTTACTCCTACAAAATATTTCACCTACAATTATCAAAATAAAAATAAAACTCTAGAAATTAAAAATATGTTGAAATAATGCCTTAATTACAAGAAGAATGGTGAGGAATTTTATCTTCCTGACTATAAATTTCTTAGAATATCAGTAAACTTGTTAATTTTTAATAATATAAATGCAGACCAAATGCTTCAGAAAATGTTTGAAACTGAAACTTCTATTTTCAAATGGAAGGATTCAAAAGGATTCAACCGCTTGTATTTTCACCTCAAGGATAGTCTGTAACACAAGGAGGACATGATGTGAAAAGTTTAAGGTATAAATTATGATAGCTATAAATCAAACATTTGTGAAAAGAATCAAGAAATGTATGCACTGAGCTAACTTAGAACTAAACAAAGAAATGTCATGAAGAAAATATATTCAACCTATAATCAGATTGTCACTAGACCTCGACCTGTCATTTTAAGAAATAGTTTAGATGCATGAGAAGCTGAAACTGCAATTATTGAGTACAGATTCTTCTTGTCTTATTTGGAAGGGGAAAATTGAAATTACTTACATCAATGACCTAGCGATTTAATTTGGAAAGACTTTTTGGTTATTAGTTAGAATTAAGAACTGTTGCTAATTAACAATTCTAAAAATAGAAACAAAAAGTTCAGTTTGTGCAACTTACATGAAATGGAATGTAAAATTTACAAAAGAAGATATAAAATTCCTTTAGCATACAGTATTTAAATTCTATCTCCTTTGAAAAAAAAAAAAAAGAAAGAAAAAGAAAAGAATGCAAGTGTAATATGAACATGCAAAGCTGCAAGAAAGAAAGAAACGCAAAACTGAAAATTACAAATGGAAAACGGTGAAGCATTGTGTTGTGTAACTTGCAGACACGTATCACAGTCGAAATGATTATAAGGTGTAACCACTATGCTAAAGGGAATGAATGTAGAACACAAAACAACCATCCAAATAATAAAACACAATTATAAGAGAATATCTCTACCTTCCTTCAAATAATAAAGAAAAAAGCAACGGAAATTAGAACTTTTGAATATTTTTGGTTATATTCTCGCTTTATAAATTTGTATATTCGATATATATATAGCGTTAATAATTCAGAAAATGAAAAATAAAAATATCCTCAAGAAAAATTATTCGTGTTAAAAAGCTAGAGCACGCCATTCCCGCCGCAATAACGGCGGTGTTCGAGAGCTCTTCAATTATTATCGTGTAAATAAAAAAATTTTGGCTACTTTTTTTCAATAAATTCTAATCTAGCCCCGTATTTTCTGTGAAATTACGAAACTACCTCACCCCTCTCTCTCCCGCAACTTGCATGAACTAAGAATTTTTGACAGTTTCTAGAGTGTGTACGGACGCGCAAATTGCACTCTCTCTTTCTCTTCCTGTTCCTGATTTTATCCCCATTATTTTAAGCAAAACTGTCGTGTTTGCGTTGAAATTCCAGTTAATTACAATACTAGACTAGCCATTTAATTTTTTTCATTGATATATCCACTCACGGTATGTCAGGTGGTTTCCCGCCGGAGCTCGTAGACTTGTCTGGCGGATCTTCGCTGGAGCTTGAAGAGACTGAAGGATTCGAAGACGAAACAACATCGCCTCCTCCACCACCACCACCGCTACCAGACCCGCCTTGACCCGTTGTACCACCAACACCACCACCACTTACCGATCCATGTAATCCGCTACTACTCTCAGGCGCAAACCCAACGTTTCCTGCTAAATCGGACCTATCGTTAGGTTCGATCGGGTCTAAGTGGCCAAACCGCCCGGTATCAGTAAGATTCCATCCGAATTCGCCGAGTATACTACTCTCTCTGTCGCTGGCGAACAAGTAATTGACAGTATCAGAGTCAGGTCCAAGCGACGTCGTCCAGGTGGAGTCACTGGCAAAGTCGCCACCGGGATCGCGACAGTCTCTATTATCCATGGAGAGGTAGAGAAAAATGGATCTATTTGCAGGAAGTGAAAGCGAGCAATTAGGAATTAATTTGAAGCAGAGAGATGAGAATTGACCAGAGAGTGAAAAGTTAAAAAAAATGAAGAGAGAGTTAGAGAGAGAAAGTTAGGGTTTACGAGAATGAGGTGAGAGAGACTGAGAAGTTCGTTGTAGTGTTGGAAAGGACGCGTAGTTTTTGAAAAGTGTTGATCAATACATTATTTGGTTGGGTTAGAGAATAGAGAGAGAGGGAGGGGGCGTCAACTGCAAAACAGTACGGGTGACGGATATTTAAGGGGGAAGGTGGCCCCACCACGCGCATGAATGAATAGTAGATACTTTTCCGACAAGAGGGTAGCACCTTGTTTTCTTTCTTTCTTTCTTTCTTTCTTTCTTCCTTTTTTCTAATCTGTTTATCTCATTGAAGTATTAATTATTTCATTTTTATTTTTTTTTATATTTCTACTAAATAAGTATTAATTATTTAAAATTTTAATATAAAATAACTGAATCATTTATAATTATTTTTTAAAATTTAAATTATTTAATCCTTTTCTTAACTATTATGTAATTGTTTTTTGAATTGCAACCTTACACATTACACATAAACTATATGTTAAGCGAATTTTACCTGCAAAAGAATTACTCGACCCAAGCGTAAAAGAGAGATTTGCTTAAATAGCAGATTTTATAGAATCATGAGTCATTTGATAATGGCACAGTTTTTCTTATTTTCTTTTTTCTTTTTTTAAAAAAAAAAAAAAACAATTCGGTGCAAGTTGTCTCTTGTTTGGTCAGATTATTTTAGTGCATATTCTAACTTTTTTTAAGAAAAAGAATCTTATTTATTCAATTTTATTATTTTAATTAGGAATATTTAAAATTGCAAGTAATATCAATTAAAAATTAAGTATTCATTTTGGATTGATAAATGTGAAATCTATGGTATTTACATCTATTGCTCAATTGGAAAACAAAACCTATATAGATTTCAAAGGTACTTCTAGAATAAAATTAGTAATTCAAATGTCATCATTAATAAAAGAATAGTGAAATTGAAGTCATGATTGAATTTGTTAATTCTAATGATTAGCAATTTATTTTTCTTTAAAAAGAATCTGATAAATCAGAAAATATTTAAATTTCATAATTTATATTTCATCAATTAAACCACATCTAAAATTAAAGGAGATTTAAAAGAAATTTATGTGACATGGTGGGGGATAATAGATTAGGGAAGTGTAACTTCTCGAGAAGTGCATGAAATGCTTGTTTCTGTATTCATTATTAATTCTATTTTCCAAAAAATGGATCATCCAATTTGCTCTGTATAAGAAAAGTAACTTCTTTAGGGATTACTTTTAGTGAACCGCAATAAATTTATTGATTTTTCATACTATTTAAACGTACCTAAATTTATAGTATAATAGACCTTTTTTTATCTTTTGTAATTTGAAAACAATTTACTTCCCAACAAGTTGATTTATATACTGAACACATTCAAATTATATTTGTTGGGAAATAATCTCCTTGGAAGTATATCTTTTTAGGAAATATACTACCGAATAGACTATTTTAAACCAAACAAGGTCTTAATTTCTATTTATAATTTTTTGGTGCATTGGAATTTGATCCATGTAATTTTTTTTTTTTTTTTGGTCCAGTGCATTTGAATTTTAAGACTTTTAGAGAAAGAAGGCTAATTAGGGTTAACGAATAGTGAAGACTAAAACTACAGTTGTATTAGGGTAATACTGATAAACATTTAGCCTTCTTATTGGTAAATATATATTTATGTATTTTTAAGTATTACTTTACATTAATTGTATATATAAAATTGCTTACAGCTTGGTTTGAATTTCAAAATTAAACTGAATTATAAACCAGCTTTTCTTTCAAAATTTATTAACCAAAATAGTTTTTTTTTTTAGTAACCAAATTGAATTAAATTGTCTAATCCAATTTTGTTAAATTCAGTTTAGTGGTTTACACTGAATAATGAACACACCTACCAATATTTTATTCAACTATAAATAAATAAATTTTATTATCTGCAGCAATTTTGGAAAGTATATATATATAAGGAAAAAAGAAAAGTTGCATGAATTTATTAATTTCAAATATATGAACAAAATAACTTTCTAGAACATTAAATTAAAAATCTTGATGGACCAAATTAAAAAATAAATAAATAAATTGGTTATACTATTTTGGTTGCAGGCTTGTAGATGTCATGCGATGAAGTAAGAGGGGATAACATCAGGACCTATATTATATACTGTTTTCTTTTATTTTTCTCATCAGGACCAACTTACTTTCGTACTTTGACCGAAACAGATTCTGCGAAAGCAAACAATGGAAGAAAATCTTTCAAATTAGTACCATATTATTTATGGTAATACTATAACTCTCTTCTTAATTCATCAAATTAATAAAAATTTTTAATCAAAAGTACTTAAATTCAAAATTTTCTATTTATATAAATAAAAAAATCAACCAAATAACATTTGATTAACATTTAACTGATATAATTAATCTAAAGTGATAAAAGGAATATCGATAAAGTATATATAAAATAATCTCATTATGAAATGGCTCTTAAGAGGAAATCAAAAAAGATCAAACAAAACAAGTGGTTGGAATGCACAAAGATTTGTTGTGTTCTTATAAATATTTTTACTTAGTAAGAGTTGAACTTTCCAATAATTTAAATTCAAGCTATGACCCACTGGTCTATCACTAGATATAGCTATTGATGTTGATAACAAAGCTAAGTTTTGGGATTCATTATTAATTATTTTTAAGCTTTTTTAAATAATGGGTCACCTCTTAAATGCATATTTTTTTTCAAAAAAAAAAAATTATATAAAGTAATTTGACCACACAAATTTTATCCCAAGACGAATTCGTCGATCAGGTGGTAGTTTAGTTGATCTTCTCATTTATATGAAGAGTTGAAAGTTTCAAATTCGAGTCATTTCGGTCACAACCAACTGTTTTTATTAATTTGATGAGCACTCTCGATCCATAAAAACCTCCAATTAATTAAAGAAAAGAGAGGACGGATTCATTTTTCTTCCTTAGGATAACTCTATCTGTCCAACGTTTAGCAATGAAATAATTCCATATGGTTGGTTTAGTTTCTCTTTTTTTGTTTCTTTAAATGAAATACTATTTAGTTTTTCTGTTATACTTTTTAGAATTATATATATATATATTTGGAATTATTTTTAAATATATTAGTCAAGATTTAATTTCATTTTTATTGTATTATTGAATCATTCTATTTATTTTTCACTTACTTGCGAGTGAAATATTGTTATTATCATCAAAAAGCACACATGTCAGTTATATGTTGTGTAAAAATTATTAAAAAAAGGAATTATTATTTAGTCTTTCAATTATACAAGAATATATTAGTCAGGATTTTTATTTTTTTTTAAATTTAAATATACAGTCAAGTACTTTTATACCACTTAATCCTTTTAATGATAAATTTTATAAAAAAAAAATTAAATACTACAACGATTATATAATTGAATTTGGAAATAGAAACCTGAACCAAATCACTATGTAGTAATTCACTCATTAACGAAGAGGTGGCCCCACCCAAACCTAATTTTTTTACCTCATAGAATAATGAAAAATTTTAATTTACCTTTTAAAATAGTAAAAATTTTTTTAACTCCAACTCTTGAAATTTGTTCTAGTTTCTCAGCTTTGATTTCTCGCTCCGTGACTGAATTCAATCTTTAAATATAATAAAAATGCATTGGAAAAGGTCTTTCTTTTTGATAAAGAAAAATCAAAAGGGTTTGTACGTATTGTATGAGATGGAAACATTTAACAAATGTATGAGAAAAAGTCATTTTGCAATGCATAAGAAATCTCCATTTGCGTGATCATAGAAATTGATTGATTATATTATTTTTATATTAAATTTGGAAAAAAAAGATATGAGGGATGACATGAAAGGGGGAAATGTAATCTTAACAAACGAATGGTGTATTTTATTTTTATTTATTTATTTATTTATTTTTGAGAATATAAAACAAACGTATGGCCCAAACTTGGTCCACCGTTCACAGGTCCAAGCTTTGACGTGGAAGTATCATGACCTCCCACACTCTTATTATATAATATTTAATTAATCCAATCCGTACTGTTTTCTGATATAGAAAAACAATTGTAGAATCATTGTTCTAGTAAGTGTCTACTCTAGGATGATTGATTTGTATTTTGAATCCAAATTTGTTCTTTTCTCCAACCAAAAGAGAAAAAAAAAAAAATACTTTTTTAAATTAAATTTTTATTATATCTTTTTTCTCCAACCAAAGGGAGAAAAAAAAAAATACTTTTTAAAAATTAATTTATATAATTAAAATCAATATATTTTAAGTTATTTACAATATTTAAGTATATTTACAAAGTAAATATTATATGAAAAATACATTTTTAATTATATTATATTATATTTCATCACCATTACTTTCGTTAAATAAAATTTAAAAAATTATACAACATATATATCATTTCGTATTTTAAATATTGATTAATTAGTAATATAATTTTTTTTTAAAGTTATGCTTATTTAAAATTTTATCAATTTATTTTAGGAACAGAAAGCATAATATGAAAATTCATTGTATTATATTTAACTCCAATTCCCCAATTTCAATTGTTATTGATTCAAAAATCGGGTAATGGGATGAAACTATCAATTGCTATCACTGCTTTCATCAAATCCAATTATTCTTGTAGTTGCCGGAGAATTGGGGGAGGTGATAGTTGCCTCTCTATTCTTGTCGGCGTGGCCAGAAATTGAAGATCCAATTCCTCTCCTTTGTCTATATTTTGTTTTTTTTTTTTTTTTTTTTTTTTTTTTTTTTTTTTTTTTTTTTTTTTTTTTTTTAAAAAAAAACAAAAGGGAAAGGTTACCCCCTTTTAATTTTTATGGTAGTCTGCGGTAAATATAGATATTAGGTTTAATTAATCTGTTTATTTTAAGGACCCCATCTTTATTTGTTAACCATTAAGGAGGAGTTTATTTTCACCCAAAGGTCACTCTCAGTTTGTGGTTATTGCATGGATACCAATTATGCAATAGGGGTAAAATGTAGTCAATAAGTTTCTAAAATTAGGACATCGCCAGTTTTGGAACTCCGATTAAGAATCACCAAAAAGATTAAAATAAAATAAAGTTAAAAAAAATAAACTTTTTATTTTTTTTTAAAAGAACAATTACGTTTCTGTACCATTTAAAAAATTTACCATCCTAAGATTC